GACCCCTCTGCAAAACATGACTTAGTACTTGGTGGCAAAACCCTTGTTGGCAATCACAGAGGTCAGACGTTTATTGTAGTTGGCCACAACGTTTGCACACATCTCAGGAGGGATTTTGTCCCACTCCTCTTTACAGATCTTCTCCAAGTCATTAAGGTTTCGAGGCTGACGTTTGGCAACTCGAACCTTCAGCTCCCTCCACAGATTTTCTATGGGATTAAGGTTTGGAGACTGGCTAGGCCACTCCAGGACCTTAATGCGCTTCTTCTTGAGCCACTCCTTTGTTGCCTTGACCGTGTGTTTTGGGTCATTATCATGCTGGAATACCCATCCATGACCCATTTTCAATGCCCTGACTGAGGGAAGGAGGTTCTCACCCAAGATTTGATGGTACATGGCCCCGTCCATCGTCCCTTTGATGCGGTGAAGTTGTCCTGTCCCCTTAGCAGAAAAACACCCCCAAAGCATAATGTTTCCACCTTCATGTTTGACGGTGGGGATGGTGTTCTTGCGGTCATAGGCAGCATTCCTCCTCCTCCAAACACGGCGAGTTGAGTTGATGCCAAAGAGCTCCATTTTGGTCTCATCTGACCACAACACTTTCACCCAGTTGTCCTCTGAATCATTCAGATGTTCATTGGCAAACTTCAGACGGGCATGTATATGTGCTTTCTTGAGCAGGGGGACCTTGCGGGCGCTGCAGGATTTCAGTCCTTCACGGCGTAGTGTGTTACCAATTGTTTTCTTGGTGACTATGGTCCCAGCTGCCTTGAGATCATTGACAAGATCCTCCCGTGTAGTTCTGGGCTGATTCCTCACCGTTCTCATGATCATTGCAACTCCACGAGGTGAGATCTTGCATGGAGCCCCAGCCCGAGGGAGATTGACAGTTCTTTTGTGTTTCTTCCATTTGCGAATAATCGCACCAACTGTTGTCACCTTCTCGCCAAGCTGCTTGGCAATGGTCTTGTAGCCCATTCCAGCCTTGTGTAGGTCTACAATCTTGTCCCTGACATCCTTGGAGAGCTCTTTGGTCTTAGCCATGGTGAAGAGTTTGGAATCTGATTGATTGATTGCGTCTGTGGACAGGTGTCTTTTATACAGGTAACAAGCTGAGATTAGGAGCACTCCCTTTAAGAGTGTGCTCCTCATCTCAGCTCGTTACCTGTATAAAAGACACCTGGGAGCCAGAAATCTTTCTGATTGATCGGGGGTCAAATACTTATTTCCCTCATTAAAATTCAAATCCATTTATAACATTTTTGACATGCGTTTTTCTGGATTTTTGTTGTTATTCTGTCTCTCACTGTTCAAATAAACCTACCATTAAAATTCTAGACTGATCATTTCTTTGTCAGTGGGCAAACGTACAAAATCAGCAGGGGATCAAATACTTGTTTCCCTCACTGTAGCTACTTTTGTTACTAGGATAATCCGGCACTGCCGAGGATCATGATCGCGCTCGATGAGGCGGACCGGAGCATGCCTTTCGAGGAGGCCTGGCTCGGGTCGATGGATCGCGACACGTGGAGGAACATTCGAACGGTCCCATTGATGGTTTAGCGATCACTGCGGTCCTATTGCCAACCTTATTTTGGATGAAAGTTGGGTTGTGGTGACACTGGCTGTGACCTTGGACGAGGCAGCCTTGTCTTGGCAAATTTGTTTTCTTTCACAGCCTCTGGGAAGCCATTGTCGATACACACACCACACACACACTTTAATCACAATAGACTACATGACTAAAGCAAGGTCGCTCCCAGTAGTCAATGCCGATGCACAATGTACGTACGATCTCTCACCACTGAGGGATTCATGATCAATTGTTGAATTTGCATTCTTCAGAATTTGAACCAGGAGCAGCGTGAAGAATGTTGGCCGTGTGGGATCGTTGGTCCTGCCAATGGGGAGCCGTTGGAGTAAAACGATGTTCCCACTGATAACGCGAACGCGTCTGCGCCGAGTGCCAATTGCAGCTGCCGTAACGACTGCCCAGTAGCGCAACTGGCGTGAGAGCAGGGGGTGCCTTGGCCCCCCGCCCCCCTGGTGGTCAAAGCTACGAGTTGGGCCCCCCTTGACAATCACCAAGAAGGCAACAGTTTGAGGCCGTACATTTGGGGGAGGTAATCTCCAAGTTTTCCAAACGCAAAAAGAAAGAACGGGACTGTCAAGTAATGAGAGATGAGTCATCTTTGTGATGAGTTGACAATGTAATTAATTATTTTCATATATAGTTCTGTTGATTATTCAAAACAAGTATGGTCATGTTAAAGTTAAATGTTCGAGACGAGCGTTTCTGTTGAAAGCGTTTGTAGGATCCATGCTGTGATAATATAATTCTAAAATAATATAAATATTAGAGAAATGTTGTGAAAGGATATTATTGTTATACATTAATTTGCTGCTGTATATGTTCTCGTAACTCTTGCGTAGCTGTTAAATATTGGAAGTAATAGTTTCATTTACCGTAAAGAAACGTAATGTAACGTAACGAAACACAATTTGCGTTGAACGACAGTAACTTCAATAAAGAACAATGGATAATAGATCTCCGTTTATGGGATTATTTATCTCCTTAGATACGCGTCAATTACATTTCACAGAGGTGCTACGGAGCTTTAGTGGCTGCATTTTGCCAAAACGGAGTTTTATTTGTATGTGTTTGGGGGATTTGTTTACCTTTCATGCTTTTGTACTGTTTGTTGTTGTAACGTTCTTACCCGCCCCTACCGGACATATGTGCAAACGAGCTTTATAGCTCATCGGATTCCTCCTGTACAAATAAATAGTCTGATTAATGTTCGATGCCTTGAGCGTAATGGTGTGATTAGACAATAGGAGCCCCGATATATAGCCTAGGTGCGACCGTGCCAGACAAATCAAATAAGGGGGTCCCACCTGATCGATTTCCATACACCCTGAGCTGCCAATGTCGTTTCGATACTGATACTACCCCCTGATGCGCGTGTACACTCCCGATGCTACTCCTCTCACTCATCCCCTTCTCCGCTCCAAACATTGCACCAGATGCAGACTCCCAGCTCTGCAGAAATTACTGTTTAAAATCATGTATACCTATCTCCCTACTCCCCACCTCCCATTTAACATTTGAGATGCGTTAAACGCAGTTATAGCAAAAACAAAATTTTTGAGCCCTTGATCAATCCAATGCTGGCCTCCCTACACCGTTGAGGTCGCAGCTCAGAGCGGGTTCGTGAAGGTGGGGAGGAGCATAGATGCTGGGTCACATCACAAAACAACAGTAGATTATCTCTGTGCTGTGTCCGTTTAATCGTGTCGCTTTGCGGACACGACCAGCTTCAATAAAACAATGGCAATGCAGCAAATGCGGGCAGCAGCAGTAGCGATATTTTCATTTTCAATGCACGCAGGAAGAAACTGGCAGAGAGGGAGGTGGAGAAGAATAGCAGCGCAGTGTGATCGATTGACATAGCGCCAACGAGGCCATCAATTCTCACTCACCGGCGACTGACACTCGTTAAATCCGAGACTACAGAGTAGCGAGCCCCCCCCCCCCACCCACCCAACTGATTTAACTCATGGAAATGAGCCCCGGGTTGTAATTGATTAGATGCTGCTGCTGCTGTTCCTACGGCCGCTCCCACTCTCCGTTCGTGCAAGCAGCAATGGAGTCGATGGAAGGTGGTGATCGGATCACGGCAAGGCACGCATCATCTGCATTCTCAATTCCACGAAGAAGACAAAGGTCCCCCGTGTAGCCTGAACAGACTGTTGGGGCAAGTGCTGTTAGCGGGCACCTACGAAGGCCGGCACGGCGCACGATTGGGGTACGTGAACAGCACCACTCCCAACCGCCTTTGTCTCCCCAGCGGCGATGTTTACACACCGCAACAGGTAATTGTTTGAGGCTGAGTCGACCTTGGGGAGGTCCAGGACCGGTTCGGATGATGGCCACCGGTGTATGCCGTGAGCGGAAATCGAAGTCGGGTGGCCAGGTTCGGAGAACCGCGGCGCTACCCGCTACACTACCGCTCAATTAAACACACACACACAAGCGCGCATTCTCGCTCATACAGAACTCAAGTATCCAATGTTTAGCCGTACGATCGATACAGCAATTTGCCGTTAGCGAGCGAGCCACTAAAGTTTGTGGTGTGGCGAGAAACCATCGCACCCGTCCGGCCGTCGCTTGTATCTGCCCGTGCTCAAGTTGACACATCGCACCGCGTACCCATTGAAGGACGAATTTAATACGGCGGAGACGGTCTGATAGGGTTCACGTTATTCTCTGCAGGGAATCAAACCCGGGCGGCCGTGTTCATCGCTTAATTCGGTCCACACGTCAAGCAAAAAAAGACTAAATCCCCCGTACATCTTTAACAGGCTGTTGGGGGCAAGTGCTGTTAGCGAAGGGGGGGGGGGGGGGACACTACGCCCGGCCGCGTCTCCCCAGTGGCGATGTTTCTACACCACAACATGTACTCATTTGATGCTGAGTCGACACAGGGGAGGCCCAGGACCGGTACAGACAATCGTCACCGGCGTTGGCCGTGAGCGGGAATCGAACTCGTGTCGGCAGGTTCGTAGCGCAGCGTGCTGACCGCTGTACTACCGCTCCCACACTCGTCCAACACGCACACATTCAGAGGTGATACAGGGTCTCGTCAGCAGAGACAGGCTTGCTTAACACCAAGAATATAAAAATGGCAAGCGTTACTCTGCCGATGCGACACTTCATAGGGAAAGCGGCCCAGAGTTTGTGTCTGTATCAAAAACCAATTACGCTTAAAAACAAACACGTTAAGCAGGCGGTATTGTATGTTTGTTTGATTATTATTTTATTTTCTAAGCACGTGAGTGGTGTCTTTGTTACGAATCCTCCAGTGACCCCCTTCCCGTTGCCTCCCACTCTGACACCTCCTGCCCCCTTGTATTCGACGTGACGCGTGCGAGACGCCACGAAACAACCCCACCACCACCACCACCCCCACCACCACCCCCCTTAAAAGCCACCACGAGCCGGCGTGATTGTGCTCATTACGCACAGCACTCGTGCAGTCTAAAAGCAGCGATTTTCAGCCACAACATATCTGAAGATATTTGTTTGTGTGCGTGTGTGTACATTCTACACAATAGTACTAACATGAATACATGACTAAATGTACACCCGGACGGACGACGTGGCCTCGACGCCCGATCGTGTCCGCAGCTTGTTTTATGCCAGCGGTTCGACTATAACCAGCGTTTAAATTCCAGCGGTTCGAGACCAGCGGTTGTATACCAGCGGTTCGATACCAGCGGCCGCCCGGATTAATACTGCTGGTGTTTTAACCATTAATACAGACGTCGTCCGAATCACCGTGGAAGTTAAAGATCCCATCACAATCTAACTTTGAAAGATGATCCGCAGATTGCTCAGCTGGATTATACGTAGCAATCATCGCTTTCCAACGTTAACACCTTTTGGAGGCAGGACTCTCCTATGGCATGAGACTTAGTGAAAGTTCCTTGGGTAAACAAGAGTAATAATAAGAAGAAGAATCAAGTCATTGCCAATCCACTGCTAGATAAAGGCCACTTCATGCTGTGTCTATGAAGAAATTCGTTTTACCATACTTCACCACGCTGGTCAATGGGGATTGGTAAAGGGTGGGGAAGGGTGTAAATCGCTGCTGCTGTTATCCGTGGCCAGGAATCAAACTCAGGTTGTGTGAGTTCATAGCGCGGTGCGCTAACCACTGGGCCACCCCTCCATTCTATGAATATGAAATATTAATTATGCACATACAGTAATGTATTTCAGCAGCGCAGATCCTAAACGAGTGCTCGGCAGTAGCGGGGATCATTCAAGGCGCTCGCGATGCTTTGCAGGACCGCGTTATTAGATCGCACACGTGCGGTTTTATCCACGGCTAATCAACGACCGAACCCAGCGAGGGTCAAAGTGTTCCTGGCGTTTCGTCAGTCTCCGTGTGGGCAATGCGTGGGCGGGTCATTCGAAGAGAGGAACGGACACCGCACGCTAATTGCAGGCGCGACCTTCATCATAACCATCTGAAGCATCGGCGCATCAACAACACAAAAACACAAAAAACTGCTCATTTGGAATCGGTCGACCCGACTCGCGTCCGCTCAGCCAGCATCGGATGAGCGCGCATCGCCTCCGCGTTTGCGCATTAAGTCTCTCTCTCTCCCCCTCCTCGAGGAGTCCCAGCGGTGCCGCTCCGCGCTCTTCACGCGGCGAAAATCGCCGCTCTCACGACACGAGACGGCAGCGCAGCCGCGGCAAATGAACACAACGAACAAACACAGTCATTGCAATTCCACACTCCACGTGAGTCGCTCGCAGACCCACGCTCGCGCATCCAGTGATTGCGCGCACCTCCAGTCATTGCGCGCACATTAGCGGCGCGGCTCTACTTGTGCTCGGGGCCACGAGGAGGCTGGACGAGAGCGAGCGTGCGTCACCGCGCTCAATCTGAGATCCGAGTTAGACTCCACCGCCTCCTCCTCCTCCTCGGAGCCGTCACCTCGCGTCCTGTACGAGGCTCGCGGGCAGAAGCTGCGAGCGGGCGTCTTTACGCGTTCCTGCACTCGAGCCATGGCAGCCGAGCCCTGCAGCGCGTACTACGCGGAGCCTTGGGACGGCACCGCGCCGCCCACGGGACAGCTGAACGCCACGCACTGGCCCCCGGGTTGCGACTACGGGGGGTACGACGTGGAGGACGAGAACGGGGCGCAGGGGCCCGGAGACCCGACGCTGCCCACGGCTCGCCTGCTCATCGGCGTGGCGTTGGGCACCACGATGCTCGTCTGCGGCGTGGGTAACGTGCTCTTCTGCGTGGCGCTACTGCGCTGCCGCCGCCTGCGCAACACCACGAACCTGCTCATCGCCAACCTCGCCGTGTCTGACCTCGTGGTGGCCGCCGTGTGCTGCCCCTTCGAGCTGGAGTACTATGTGGTGCGGAGGCTCACGTGGAGCCACGGGCCCCGGCTCTGCGCAGTGATCAACTACGTGCGTGCCGCCTCGCTCTACGTGTCCACCAATGCGCTCCTCGCCATCGCAGTGGACAGGTGCGTGCGCGGAGACACCAGTGTCACGTGGGTGATCATCTCTAGTCTCACGCAGGTGGTCATCTCCCGTCTCACGCAGGTGATCATCTCCCGTCTCACGCAGGTGATCATCACCCGTCTCACGCAGGTGATCATCGCCCGTCTCACGCAGGTGATCATCTCCCATCTCACGCAGGTGGTCATCTCCCGTCTCATGCAGGTGGTCATCTCCCGTCTCACGCAGGTGATCATCTCCCGTCTCACGCAGGTGATCATCTCCCGTCTCACGCGGGTGATCATCTCTCGTCTCACGCGGGTGATCATCTCCCGTCTCACTGAGGGACCACCCTCTTGTCTCATGCCGGCTCTCTTTATCGCCCAGGGATACTGCGAGCACCGCACGTGATTCACACATTGGCATATGAAAAATGTCATCCTCCACGGCTGTAATGCGTCAGTGAATCTTCCCGACTTATTATTAATATCCTGTGTTATTATCTGGATTGGCAAAGCTCCATGATCACTTGTCTTCATTCAAACACCCCCTAGGGCTCCATTGCCTCGTGAGATGTCCACTTATATCCCCATGAGATTGTCCACTCATTGCCTCATGACATTCAGCGACCTATTAGACGATCGCCTGAGTCTGCCACGGTCTTTATAAATTTCATCCTCCGCTTAAATGAACTGAGATCTTCACTCAGTGCCTCCAAGATATCGCTTCATCGCACCGTGACACTTCACACGTAATGTCCCATGAGATGTCAATTGCAAACCCATCACCCTCCTCCCAGGTCCCCTATCACATTCACCAGCTCCACGAGGACCGGACCCTCACCGCGAGGCTGCCGTCTCCGTCACACCCCCTACCCCACGCCCGCTCTTGTCTACCGCAGGTACTTGGTCATTCTGCGGCCACTCCAACCCCGCATGGCCCGGCGCACCACGGCCGCGCTGCTGGCCGCCGTGTGGGCCTTGTCCGCGCTGCTCGCGGTCCCAGCCGCGCGTTTCTCCACGGAGACGGCGCTGCCGGCCGCGAGCCCCCGCGACCCCGTGCAGCGCAAGTTCTGCGGGCAGATTTGGCCCGCGCAGAGCGCGCTGCTCTACAAGTCGTACTTCCTCACCGTGCTCAGCGCGCAGTTCGTGGCGCCCGTGCTCGCCATGAGCTTCTGCTACGCGTGCATCGCCAAGGAGCTGTGGTTCAAGGTGCGACGACGTCCCTCACTCATTCCCACGACGCCCCTCATTCATTCCCACGACGCCCCTCGCTCATTCCCACGACGCCCCTCGCTCATTCCCACGACGCTCCTCGCTCATTCCCACGACGCCCCTCACTCATTCCCACGACGCCCTCACTCATTCCCACGACGCCCCTCGCTCATTCCCACGACGCCCCTCGCTCATTCCCACGACGCCCCTCGCTCATTCCCACGACGCCCCTCGCTCATTCCCACGACGCCCCTCACTCATTCCCACGACGCCCCTCACTCATTCCCACGACGCCCCTCACTCATTCCCACGACGTCCCTCACTCATTCCCACGATGCCCCTCACTCATTCCCACGACGCCCCTCACTCATTCCCACGTCGCCCCTCACTCATTCCCACGACGCCCTTCACTCATTCCCACGACGTCCCTCACTCATTCCCACGACGCCCTTCACTCATTCCCACGACGCCTCTCACTCATTCCCACAACGCCGCTCGCTCATTCCCACGACGCCCCTCACTCATTCCCACGACGCCCTTCACTCATTCCCACGACGCCCCTCACTCATTCCCACGACGCCCCTCACTCATTCCCACAACGCCGCTCGCTCATTCCCACGACGCCCCTCACTCATTCCCACGACGCCCCTCACTCATTCCCACAACGCCCCTCACTCATTCCCACGACGCCCTTCACTCATTCCCACGACGCCCCTCACTCATTCCCACAACGCCGCTCGCTCATTCCCACGACGCCCCTCACTCATTCCCACGACGCCCTTCGTTCATTCCCACGACGCCCCTCACTCATTCCCACGACGCCCCTCACTCATTCCCACAACGCCCCTCACTCATTCCCACGACGCCCTTCGTTCATTCCCACGACGCCCCTCACTCATTCCCACGACGCCCCTCACTCATTCCCACAACGTCCCTCACTCATTCCCACGACGCACCTCACTCATTCCCACGACGCCCCTCACTCATTCCCACAACGCCCCTCACTCATTCCCACGACGCCCCTCACTCATTCCCACGACGTCCCTCACTCATTCCCACGATGCCCCTCACTCATTCCCACGACGCCCCTCACTCATTCCCACGTCGCCCCTCACTCATTCCCACGACGCCCTTCACTCATTCCCACGACGTCCCTCACTCATACCCACGACGCCCCTCACTCATTCCCACGACGCCCCTCACTCATTCCCACAACGCCGCTCGCTCATTCCCACGACGCCCCTCACTCATTCCCACGACGCCCCTCACTCATTCCCACAACGCCGTTCGCTCATTCCCACGACGCCCCTCACTCATTCCCACGACGCCCCTCACTCATTCCCACGACGCCCTTCACTCATTCCCACGACGCCCCTCACTCATTCCCACGACGCCCTTCGTTCATTCCCACGACGCCCCTCACTCATTCCCACGACGCCCTTCGTTCATTCCCACGACGCACCTCACTCATTCCCACGACGCCCCTCACTCATTCCCACAACGCCCCTCACTCATTCCCACGACGCCCCTCACTCATTCCCACGACGCCCCTCACTCATTCCCACGACGCCCCTCACTCATTCCCACGACGCCCCTCACTCATTCCCACAACGCCCCTTACTCATTCCCACGACGCCCCTCGCTCGTTCCGTCATTCCTCTGCGCCGTGGCTCTGCTCACCAATTCCCTGCTGCTTCTCCCCCATTATAACGCGGAGTGGCTGCGATGAGTGGTGTCCCCTGGCGGGGAAACGAGAACAAGGCGCACGCAATGCGCGTGGACGTGGCGTCTAAATGCGACACCACATTCGAGGAGGCCGCGCGGAATCGGTGGACACTTTTTTTCGTTGCCCTCTTCCACAAGCGACGTCAAAAATCCGTCTCGAGTGAAGCGGCAGGTTAGGACATTGCGCTTTGAACCCTACGACCGGCTGACATCAGCAGCGAGTGATATCTGAACGAATCCCGGGCCCATGCCAGAGCCTTTACTGACATTACTGACCTGTACGGTGGTAGATGACCGACAAAACCATCCCCGCTCACCCTCCCCCACTCACCTTTCCATTGCTTTCACAATTAGGCCGAAGCGTTTTGAGACGCGAAAGATGTTTCATGGGATGATGATGGATGACGGATAATGCTGGCTACCATGGATGAGTAGAAATATGAAGCATGCTTAGGTGGTGGTAGCGGTCATCTGATAAGTAACGGATCAGTATGTGGTGGCGAACGAGAGCAATAGGGTGAAGCAGTGCGTCATGAAGGAGTTTATTGTGAATACAACTAATTATTGGCGAGTTATGAATGAGTGAATGTGGTCATTAGTGGTGAAGCATGGTTATGAATGTGCATCTGTACATGACCGGCACAAATGAATCAGTAGCGCCGTTGAGAGCCTAATAAATGACTAATGTGGGATTATAAATACAAATCAACGCCCCCCCCCCCCCCTGCCGCGAAAACCTGGCAGGACCCTCCCGTAGAAGAGTCACGAGTCTCGGTCCGGCTTTCCTGGGAAATAAAGAGGAATAAAAATACACAAAACAGAAATTACGGCCCCGCTCAATCCTCCATCAGCCACACGGTCTTGTTGGGGGGAGCATCATACAATCCGCAGCTGTGGTTCAACACAAGGGGCCGATTTCTACATTCGGCGACATCGTCAGCTGTTTTCGAACCAATTGCTCGTGAACCGGCATATGTATTGGTTAAGGAGAGAATACGCCGAGAGTAGGAGGCGTAGTGTCTGCGTGTTTATGCTACTCATACCCTGCGCAGCGACCCGAAATGATGGCACGGTGTTAGTCATGAGCAGATGCATCCGTTCACGCACATCATGCTCCGTTATTCGTGACCACGTTCACTCATTCCTATCACTTCTACTCATTAAAAAAACACACAAATCACGCTCACCAGCAATTAGTTTTGACTTAAAACTTTCGTGACTGCAGGAATTCATATTCTTTGGTTCTTTCGGTAAAGTCACGTAGATAGAAAAAAGTTAATTAAAAAACCCCACCACGTTTCGATCGCAACACAAGCGGTCATCATCAGGACCGCTTGTGTAGCGATCGAAACGTCGTGGTTTTTATTTTTAATTTTATCATGATTTTTTTGATTCACTTTATTATTATTTTTCTATCTACGTGACTTTACCGAAAGAACCAAAGAATACAGTAATTTGTTGTATTCATAAGATATATATATTCAGCCATTCATTAATTCATGCGACGCTAATGATTTGTGTGCGTTAACAAGTGAGCGTGCCAATGAACGACTATGGTTTAGGAGCGAAAGAGTGCGCGTGTTTACGAGTGAGCGAAGGAGCGAGCCGAGTCGAGTTTCTGATGACCCCCCACCACCACCCCCACCTCCCCCGCACCACCCCCCCCCCCACCACCCCCACCGGCACTTCTCCGACACAGCGCGTCCCGGGCCACCAGACGGAGCAGGCGCGTCGCCGGCTGCGTTCGCGGCGGCGCGGGGTGGTGGCGCTCGTAGGACTCCTGGGCGCTTTCGTGCTCTGCTGGGCGCCCTTCTACGGCTTCGCGCTGGTGCGCGACTTCTTCCCCGCGGTGCTGCTGCGCCAGCGCCACTACATCACCGTCTTCTACGCGGTGCAGTGCGTGGCCGTGAGCAACAGCGCCGTGAGCACCGTGCTCGTGGTGGTGACGCTCAAGCCAGACGCTCTGCTCGCGCACGCGCTGCGGCCCTGCCTGCGACGGGGGCCGAGCGGCCGCGCCGCGGTGCCGCCGGCCCCCGCGGTCGTGGCCACGGCTTCGGCCACTGCGCCGAGCAGCCCGGCCGGCGTGGAGCTCAAGTGCACGGCGGTGTCGGACGCCTGATGGGGGCGCGGAGGGAGGGGAGGGGAGGGGGTGACGCGGCTGCTTCACTCGAATTCAAGCTCGTCGTGGTGGGGCAAATTTTTTTTGACGTGGGAAGTCGCGATTTATTCGCGGCGAGTTTAGGGGGGTTGGTTTAGAATGCCGCTGTGAATTTGGGAGCTGGGGCGCGGTGCCGCTAATTCATTAATGATGTTAATTGTGTGTGGGGGGGGGGGGGGGGATTTTAATGAGTGGGGTTAGGCGCGTGCTGTTGAATGGATGCGCCTCCACGTTGTGGTCTCGTTGACTCACGCTGGGGATGAGCGGAGCGCGCAAATGCGTGGCGATGTTCCTCACAGCCTCCAGTGCTCGCGACCATCACCACCACCACCACCCACAAGGGCGCAGCTTGCCGTAATTACCAATCGTCTGGTGCATCGTGAAACGTGGAGCGAATTCATTTGCGTCTCAATTGCAGAATGGGTAAACAGAAAGAAAAAACGCTGCACCGTGGAGGTGCTGGGTGAGGCGGCGGCTAGGTGGGGGTGGGGGGTTATCAGGGTGAATGATTTAAGTGAAGGGCATCCCGCGCGCCTGGAGCTTTCACCGCACACCTTCCTCCGCTGGCCGTCATTTAATTGCCGCTAATTGAGAGAAGCGTGACGCTTTCTGCAGAGACGGGGGTGGGGGGGAGTCTCCGTAACCTCATCACTCACGAGCACCCTCCCTCTCCTGCTGAAGCTCCCCTGCTGAACCCCCCAAGAAACCTCGTGTAACCCCTCGTCTCTCTCTCTCTCTCTCTGATGTCGAGGTCACGATCTTGCCCATGCAGCCTAAATTTATCCACAGGCCGCGTGATCGATCAGAGTATTTACAATTACCCCACGCCACCACTGCCACATGACCAATTACCAGGGTCATTATACAATCGTACTAATAGCAGCGTGCGCGCAATGACCTCGCCCTGTCGGGCCCGCCACGTGGATTATTATTCTCGACAGAAAAAGGCCGCGTCGGGTCGCTCGGCACGTGGGACCGTGCCCCGCGGCTCAGGTGGAGGCGAGAGGCACTCAACTCGCCAGAAGGGGAGCCCCCCCCCCTCGCCCTCTGTGTGTGCTTGAGATGGAGCAGGAGGAGGCATCTCAGCTGTTTATTTATTCCCCCACAAACTTTGCTTTTGTGACTAGGACAGAGTGATATTGAGAAATTTACCTATTTTCAATGGGAAAACTTGGTGTGCATTTGTAGTGACTGTGATTGTCACTGTGTGGTGCCGGGCTTACGAAGCCACGGCGGATAATGTGCTGACATTACTTGGAGCAGCCCACTCGCGGGGCGTAGTACCTACCAGCCCTAGCGGGGCTTGGGTGAGCGCTGGTCAGCGTGGAGGCATCGCGAGCAGTGTGCGGTGCCGGCTCCTGGTGAGGGAGCGAGAGGGAGCGTCAGCCAGCCAGGGTTACCTTGGGGTAATACGCTGGTTGACCTGCTGACACGTGACCGGATGATATTGGAGGGGGGCCACCGGTGGATGGGGGCCGCGGGGCGGTCACGTGGTCCAAAAGAGCTCTCGGGAACCTTCGAGAAAGAGCTCGAGAGACCTGGAAGGTGGGGGGCGGGGGGACGAAGGGCGGAGCCAGCCCCAGCCCGGGGGGATATAACGTGGTTCTTCGTGGTGTCGGTGTCAAGAAGATCCACGTCGGGAAGAAGAAGCCTCTAGCCACGCGGTCCAGGACCCAGCTTGTGGTCCGGACCGAGATAGCGAACCGTGTCTAGTTCTGCACTAGCGTGGTTAGATGGGCATTCGAGACCCGAGTGTAGATTGTGTGATGTTCCGTTAAGTTTACGTAATAAATAGTGTTGCTCCCAAGATAACGTCTGCGACTCAGTTGGACTCACTACACATTTGTGTCATTCCTCCACGTAAAGTCCTGGTCACAAAGGCACAGTTTGTGGGGAATACTAGCCATTTTCTATACTTTTGAGGCATACGCAATTAGAAAATAACACTTACTACCCAGGAACCAAAATCGTGTTACATTGTAATAATTATCGCGGCCAATTGCCTTCGGGAGGTCTTGGACGTCGTCAGGGTTCCCCGCTTGCATGCGACTCACTGAAGCAACCTGGCGTTTATTGCGAGGTTGCTTGCTTACCTGGGGATAAGCGGCTCTGCGTACGGGTTTTGTTGTTGCTGTTGTTGTTTTAAAGTAAGATTCGTATACAGTTTTTGTGAGTCGCGGTTAGCGCTACGCTGCGCTACGAACCCGGCGGCCCGACTTTTAAGTCCCGCTCGCGGCCAACACCGGTGACGATTATCTGAATCGGTCCTGAGCCTCCCTTAGGTCAACTCAGCCTCAAATGAATATTTTGTGCGGTTGTGTAAACATTGCCACTACGGAGACAAAGGCGGTCGTCATAGGTGCTCGCTAACAGCGCTTGCCCCAACAATCAGTTCAGGCTATAGGGAGGATATTTGTCTTTGTATATATGGTAGTAGGGTGCGGAGTGTCGTGGTGAGCGCATTACACTACGAACCCGGTAAGCCACGTTCGATTCCCGCTTACGACCAAAAACAATGGTCAATATTTACACCTGTCCTGGGCCTCCCCTACGGCGACTCGGTGTTAAATGAGTGCCTGGTGCGGTGTGTAAACATCGGCATTGGGCGCGGTGTTGGTTACCCACTCCCTCGTGTGTCGTGTTGATTTAATAGATGCCACTCGCAAAACGCACTTGCCCCAACAGCCTGTTAAAGGCTATACGGGTGATACTTATCTTTGTTAAAAATACGGGTGAATTTATCGGGAGGTAACGATCCTCTTTAAAATAAACACATGGTGGGCTACAGAAATTGGGTCTGTGGAATTGGCTGCGTAAAGTGTATATTGGAGGGAGTGGCTCGAGGTGGGTGAATTAAAATCTCTTAAGTGACGAGAAAACCCATGGCGACAGAAATCAAAATCGCGCTTGGAAACAATACAATAAATTTCGATTTAAAGCTTTCGTGACTGCAAGGATTCATCTTCTTGGTTCTTTCAGTAAAGTCACGTAGAATGAGAATTAAAAGAATAAAACAAAATAAGACAATACAATTATCACGACGTTTCGGCCACAACACAAGTAGTCTTCTTCAGCGCTGTCGTCCCGACAGTTCTGTTCCTTCACCTGAAGAAAGCTACTTGTGTTGTAGCCGAAACGTCGTGAGGATTGTATTGTCTTATTTTGTTTGATTGTTTTATTCTCATTCTACGTGACTTTACCGAAAGAATCAAGACGAAAAATACAATAAGTCAGTTATATTATTGTATCGAAGGACGGTGAGAGATGGCTCTACGGCTTGGGGATTGATCACGGCTGATGATGATATATGTTAATGTGAACCATCTCGTCGAGACTGCGGCGGCTTCTGTCCTCGGCAAGGCGGATGAGTCGCTGTGCCTTGCTGACAGATGCACGTGGGCATCACGAACCAGTGCCCGAACGTAACTCAGAAAGCTCCGCGAAGCCCGCGTCAGTTCTCCGGGCGACTTCAGACATCACCGTGCTAATCCGTGAGCTACATTGCGCGTTCCGGATCCGTCCCATACCACTCGCCCCCTCGATTTCCTCCGTGAAAAATTATAGCCCCGGTCCTTCTGGCCCTTCCCGGCCTTCCTTTAGAAAATGCTCGGCGTTGAGCGATGATGGGTTTTGGCGTTGACAAGTGGCGGGGCGGCCATGAGATGGCAATAAGCCTAGAAACAATGTGTTCAGCCTGCTGATGATTCATTCTTCACCGATCCACCCGTGGAATGAATACACAGTTTACGTGCGTGGCGTTGAGTGTTTATCTCCTCGTATGCGTGCGTGGGATGTTCCGGGTACTCCGGTTTCCTAGCCCATTAAGCCAAACACTCGTAAACATAATAAGCTAAACATCCCAATAAATCAACACACCCCTTTAAATGAGATACAATGAGAATCAGCTTGATAATGGAATTAAGGGACCTTTAATTACACTGGCAACACACACGAATCCAGCAGTGAATTGATAAAGGGCTTCCCAAAATGAGAACCAATGTATGAAAAGTGCTAATCCGTGGGCGTTACGGAGGCGTTTCGCCTAATTATCTGTTCCGAGAACTCTGCGTTTTGAGCGCAGTCGGTGTAACACGGCCATGCCGTTCTACCATGGGCACGTTAATTATCGCGACCCTCTGTGTGGCGAGCGAACGCAGCACTCACTGCCTCGCAAACACACACTCACGCAAATCACCCCAGCGCGCACGCGGTGAAGAGTCCTACAGGAAGGCCCTTGTGCGAGACGGTTCCATGGAGGCAACGTCCCACTTATTAAAGCCACGCGTGGTGCTGACCACACAGAGATCGTAGGGGTGCGGAATCATTCCGTTTTTTTATTTTTGCTGGCCCAATATGACCTTCAACCACCCATTAAAGCGAAAGCTCACACATTACCCACGAATAATCACGCGAATAATCCCAAGCGTTTGCCTTTACTGAAGGAGCTCAGATTTGAAACAGTGCTGCCCTGTGGAATACCCCCCCCCGCCCCCACCGAGTACCCCTAGGGCAGCAGCGCGGAGGCTTTCAGTGACGGATACATTTTGCCAGCGGTCCGACTCATGGAGCCCGCGGGGGCCTGTGGAATTAATTCGTATCGGTCCGTGGACCGGAGGCTGCCGCCCTCTATACTTTCGAGACGACTGGAATAAAATAACTGCTGTTACCGGGCACCTTTTTGAAGCCGGCAATGACAGACGAACGGTTATTGTGACCAGCACCACGCCCGGACGTCTTTGTCTTCCCCCCCCCCCAGTGCGTAAGATTAAACACCGCACCAGGCGGTACACGTTCGCCTAGGGGAGGCCCCCGGGACACGGCACTGATGTGAGCCGTGATCCGGAATCGAGCTCAGGTGACCGAGTTCTTAGAACAGCGTTGGTCACGTGCACACCTTTATAGCCCTATCAGACTCTTTGTCGCAGGTGCTGTGAGCGAGGGAACTATGAAATCAGGCACGGCACACGAGTGAGTTGGTGGCTATACACCGCACCCGGTAGTAAATTTAGGCTAAGTCGACCTAATGGAGGACCAAAACCGGTTCAGATAATTGTCACTGGCGTTGGCCGTGAGCGGGAAGAGAACGCGGGTTTCCGTGTTCATAGCGCAGCACGCTATCCAATACACGACCATTACCCACAAACATACATCCACAGATATATATGCACCCACGTACACACAGGTACATTCACACATACATACACACGCATACATACGAATATGCACACACGTGCGAAGTGAATACAACCAAATGACCGATGAAAAGCTAAAGAAACGATGCTGCTGTGGTCAATTCTCGTGTAGATGGATCCGTCTTTACAATTTGGTTTTCCGAGTGTCGATTGAACACGCACTGGCTTTAGTTCGCTGTGGGTATGTGGGCAAGAGAAGGAATATTCTGGAATCGCGTTACAGTGCCAAGTGACAATTCATAGTGTATTTAGGGGCCGTCCATAAATGACGTCACGCACCTAGGGGGGGGGGGGGTTGAGAAATGTGACGTCACATCAAAATGCGCAACTTTAAATAAATATAGAATTGTTATAACAACACTAATTATAACAACACTCCTACAACATCAGAGTGCAGCGCCACATTAAATACGCACTACAATGACAATAGTTTAAAGCGATTTGAAGCACGTTTTATTTTCAAAATAAAAAAAGGGTTTTGGGGGGGGCAGAGGGGGGGGGTCTGACTTTTTGTGACGCCGTGTGACTAGGGGGGGGGGGTTAATAATCGTCCAAAATCGAGTGACGTCATTTATGGACGGCCCCTTATTTTCCGTCAACATCGTAAAGTTTGCCTGTCCCGTGAAAACGTTATTTATCATCAAATTGTGAAAAAAAATATATTTTTTGGTGAATATGTTTCTGCTTGAGTATAGTATTGCAATACTGTCCAGGTACAGTATACTATTTCGAAACACAGAATGAAGTGACCGCATTGGCCAAGACCAATGACGGAGTGGCGGCCAAAGGAGGGGAACGCGCTCGTGTACACCCTGGATACTGCGCGCTGACATCAATCCCTTTGTGAAGGCGCTCGAAGGTTTTTTTTTATACACGGCAGGTATCGTGAGAGATGGTGACGATTTGGAGAGAGAGGCCGTCATCCATCAGTGGAGTGGCGGTGGTGATGATGATACGGATGCAGGGCAGCTAGAAACTATTTATCGTAGTAAAATATTAATGCGGTGCATGCACAGATATGGGCTTCAAATTAGAGAGCACGTGGAATGGCCCTGGTGGGTCAGGGAGCTGATACCGGACTCGAGACACCGAGGACCTGGGATTGAATCCAGGTGGTTAACTGCTTATTATCAAGTGTAGCGATTCCGTGGTGTCGGCACCGTCACAAATGAGTTTCCCCTAATACATCAGAATTTTTCCAATATCTGAGAATTTGAAATGGACACTTGTTGTTTCATGATAAAAACAAAAATGACGCATATCGCGCAATATGAACAGCTCATGAGGTTTTCAGACAATATCAATTGTAGACAAATCAAGCCAAAGTGCCTCCCTACGCAACCGAGAGTTGACCAGCGCTCACAACCGTTGGGCAGCCCTGTGCCAGTGGTGGAAATTCAACATTCCTATGGCGGGGGCGGAGTGGAAATAATCGTATTTGTTTCTGTCAATGGGGAGACCAGGCCTAGTCACGCGCAACGTCCAAGCGATGTCGCTTTCACTGCGAGTAACGCGTTTGGAGTTGGGGCGCGCGCGTTCAGCGCCCGCGCACCACACAGACACACACACACACACGCGCGCGTGTGTCTGTTTCGCGTTGTATTTATTCTGTTGCCAGAATAGGCCGCTGTGTTTGTGCAACGGGCGTGAGAGCTGATCGCAGGCGCGGGGGCCGAGCTTTGTTCCCGGCTCTGGGCGGTCGCGGCCCGCGTTGGTGTTTCCCTTTGTCTCGCTTCATCCGCGCGCGACCCGCACGGCAGCGCTGGCATTTTTTCGTTTCATTCGAGCCGTCAGACGAAAATACCGCTGAGCGCGATCGGCGTCCGAGCGCCGCGGATTAGCGAGCAAATCTATAAATGTGGAGGCCCTCGGGCCGATTGCGCTTTTCTCACGCTGGCTGGGATGCCCGGCCACCTGACACGACCTGAGCATGTCCCAACCCAGCGGGGTCGGGGTACCGCGCGGGGATGACCGGCACCGAGGAGCCGCGTCCCCTCCGCGCCGCGGTCTCGCCGAACGACAGGAGGTCACCGCCTCCATAGGGGCGCGTGACCCGGCTCGGAGGGACGACGGCCTCGGGCGTTGGGGAGCCGGCTCGCTGGCTCGTTTCGAGCCATCCGCCCTGCACAGCCGCCTCTCTCCGCCGCCGCAGTCGCAGTCAGCCCACTTCGACGCCGACGCGGCCGAAGTGGACGAAGTGCGCGAGCTGAGCGCACACCTGGGCGGCTTCATCGGCCGAGCGCGCGCGCTGGAGCAACGCAGCCTCGTGCTGCGACAGCAGCTGGAGAAGGCGCGGCGCCTCGCGCAGCTGTCGGGGCCTGAGGACGTCTACTCCGAGTGCCTCGGGCTCACGGAGCAGAGGCTGGACGACCTGAAGGCAGAGGAGCGGCGCCTGCGACGCGAGCTGGAGGCGGCGCGCGGGGAGGAGACGGATTACAAGAGCCGGTAGGGGGCCCAAGGGCATGAGCGAGGAGGGTCACGTGGAGCACGGGGACCAGGGGTAGTGGAAGTTGGGGAAACTTGGCCCAGGTACTTGGGGCGTGGGGAACGACGAGGCCGCATGGTGCAGGCGACAGTGGCCTGGCGTAGCTGGTGCCCCATTGATCAAGGACGTCGGTATTCCGGTGTCCGCCACGGCAGGGGAGTGATAACGGGTCAAGGGTCAAGGTGTGATGAGACCAGACGGCGGTCCGCGTGCACACACAGAGAGCTGCGGCAGACGTGCCACGCATTCCGCGAGTGTTTACTTGTAAAACGTTTATTTTATTGTATTCAAATGTATTCCTCAAAACACAGCTGCATCGTGACTACCGCCAACACCACTATACCCATCACTACCAGCTCCAAGACAAAAGGTCCCTCGTATGGAATTATGAACAGTTGGGTCAAGTGCTATTAGCGGCCACCTATTTAAGGCCTGTACGGCACACGATACTAGCACGTCCGGCCGTTTGTGTCTCTCTCTATCTCTCCATAGTGCTCATGGTTATACATTGCACCACTGATTTTTTTTTAAGTCGAGTCGACCTAGAGGAGACACAGGTCCAGTCCACCAGTCAACATCAATCTTGACTTGAAGCTTTCGTGACTGCAGGAATCCATACTCTTTGGTTCTTTTGGTAAAGTCACGTAGGTAGAAAAATAAAATAACGTCGTGATAAAAATGTTTTACAAATTATTTCAAAAATATTTTGTTCTACCTACGTGACTTTACCGAAAGAACCAAAGAGTACAGTTAATGTCACTTGCTACTGGTATTAACCGTGGTCGGAAATCGAAGTTACATAGCCCGGCTTCGTCGTGAAGTGAGCTAACCACTTCGCCGCCACTCCCGCTCCACTGGCTCGCGTTGCAGTGGCGTGCAGTGAAGTTTAGCGGAGTAGCGATAGGTAGAGTCCTCTGTTTATATACCCTACATTGCCACGGAACTTGGGTGGGTCCCAAATTTCTCAAAGATTACGATAAACATTAACGCGCTTTCAGATGCGCTTCCGCGGCCGTCTGGAACGCTCTTCTTTCCGATATTAGGAAGCCACCAGAGCAGTGGTTTTTAACCTATACTGCAGCCTTGCACCCCTTTGGTTCTCAATCATTAAAACATACACATGTACAATACTCATAAATACATAGGGGTTGATGAAACAAGGTAGTTGTATAATTAGACCTCCTTTGCCAGTACCAAAATGTAATAATAGGGTTTTTCCCCTTTTTTCTGGCAACAAAACTGAAACCTTTTTACAAGGATTCATGTTTGCATTAACCACAATACCTGCAGTCAAAATGCAACCAAAAAACATACTATGATAATATATGCATTGTCCTTGAAACTGATTGGTCCACACCAAGGGACGGCTTTCTTTTGAGCCTCGAACCAATTGGTGCTCGACCAGATGACGCCAGAAGGCGTACAGCTCAAAGACAATGCACTATCAAAGTAATGAGGGCTCGGGGTGAGCATCTACATCATTAGACCTCCTTTGCCAGTACCAAAATGTAATAATAGGGGGAAAATCCTATTATTAAAGTAGTTGTACTTACGTGACCGTGCTTAATTTGCGTTTCGATTATTTACCTTCTTAAGAAAAATTTGGCCATGTCTCTCACCCCCAGGGGTTGCGTGAACCCCCAGGTTAAGAAGCACTGCACTAGAGCTATGCACTTCTAAATCTAGATTGAAAACTCAATTCCTAAGAACTGCTTTTTGTTTGTTAGTTTGCTGTCCTTCCCCCGCACCTCCGATGAGCACGGTTGGCTATGTACGGTGCGAGAGAAGTTTGACCCGTTATATATTTTGGTTTGGTACACGTAAATACGCGTGCATTATGCCCGTCTTCGTTGTTGTTGTTATTTATCACCGGCTATCGGTCCCGTTGTAGACGGCACGAACGAAACTCAACTCAACATTCACGGCCTAGAATCGGGAAAAGCCGCGTCAGTTGCACCACGGTCCCTCTACGTCGGTCCCACCGACTCCTCGTCACCTTGCACAGGGGCGCAGCGAGGGAGATTTCAGTGTCTGCCTGATTGATCGAGCGATTGATTGCCATTATTTAAGCCAGCTAAGATCCCATTGAGACCGCAGTTCTCTCTCTAACTCTCTCAAGGGAGACTTGGGTACAATTGTATACAGGGTGCTTCAAATTTTTGTAACACTTACTATCGTTTTTAATGGAAAAAGAACGGATAATACACTGTAACATGATAACAACTATATGTCAATAGCTTCAAAAAGTCAAAGAGTCTCCCACGTGTTCGCCATCGTCGTCAACGCGTGGCCTGGAATCTTATCCAGGTAGTCTCCAGAGCCCGGCAGCAGCACATTTCTTGTGGTGTTGTTGCAAATTCTCCGAAGTGTTCACATTATTTTGAAGCACCCTGTACAACACACGTCATAGGCCACGGGGCTGTGTTGTGGGGCAGTAGTAGCAGGCGATGCACGCGCGATCCGTGGTTGGACTGTGCTTCTACGCGCCCGTCTCTATGCTCTACGCCTTCACGAACCCGGCGCGAACTCCGCGTGGTGAAGTAGAGGCAGCGTAACCCGCACGTGCTACGCGTGGATTGACAACAGGCATGTACATGTAGAGTGCATCAAACAGCAAAAAAAACCCGCCAAGTGCTCAGACGTGGCAGGTTGATATTGATTATTATCAGTTTAACACCTCGTAAGCTTTTGCGACCAATATAATCCATAATATCGTTTTTTTGTTGTTAGATTGCGTAAATATCAATGTGTCGGTAAAACCCGCCACCGCCCGACACAGCCGATTAGTAAGGATTGTCACGTAAACAGAACGTGGCCAATTCGTCACTAGTACAGCAAGCCGGTGTGTTGGAGAGTAAACCCACGACATTTATAACCTGAGTACGACGTTTCACCAGGAATTACAACTAGCTTCATCAGGCGGGCAGCCAGATTTGTCAACGAATTGGCACGTTCTGTTTACGTGACAAACATTACTAATTTCCTGTGTCGGGTGGTGGTGGAGGTTTTAACGACATATTTATATTTACGCGCTCTAACCCACAAAAAAACCCCTCTATTATAAATATTGGTCGCGAAAGACTACACGTGAAACTAACAGCGCCGTCTGTTTTGAGGACGGAATGTTTAACGCGACAAACATCATCCATAATATAGATGTGTCGTTAAACCCGCCGACACAGCCAATTCGTAAGGGTTGCCACGTAAACAAAACGTGCCAATTCGTTGTACCAGTACGGCACACCGGTGTGTCGGATGGCACATCCACAACGCGATCGAATCCAAAACAACCCCATGTATTACGGACGGCAGTGATAATGGTGTCGACTGACGAGGTGGTGGGATTGAAGGATGATGTCATGATGCCCCGATCACGGCCCAGTGCAGCGTCTGACAAGAGACTCTCCGTGAATTTCAGGTGGAAAAGTGAGAGCGACAACCTCCAGCGGCTGCGGGAAGACCTGGGGCGGCTGAGCCACGTAAAAGCCCCGCTCGGCACTACCCCCTCCACCCCCACGCAACTCTCCCGCACTGCCGCGCCTTGCTCGGCGTACCGGCGTACGGCAGCAATAACTCGGCGGAGGAGGCAAGGGCTGGGGAGCAGTGGTTCTTGACCATTACTGCAGCCTCGCCACCCCTTTGGTGCTTCTCAATCGTAAACAAAAAATGTGCACAATGTCCATAAATACATCGGGGTTCATGTTCTATGGTTCTTTCATGTAAAGTCACGTAGATAGAAAAAAAAATAGCAATAAAATAATGAAAACAAAGTGAATAAAAATATCGTGACGTTTCGATCGCAACACAAGCGGTCGTCATCAGGGACAGGGAGGTTAGCCTCTGAAGGGCAAGCTGTTTATAAAGGTTTAGGGATGGACGGGGCAGCTAATGTTAATGTAGGCGAGGGCCCCGACACTGACAGTAGGTCTACACCAATCAGAGAGCTGTTTATAAAGGTTTAGGGATGGGCGGGGCAGCTAAATGTTAATGTAGGAGAGGGCTCCGACACCGACAGTAGGTCTACACCAATCAGAGAGCTGTTTATGAAGGTTTAGGGATGGGCGGGGCAGCTAATGTTAATGTAGGAGAGGTCTCCGACACCGAGAGTAGGTCTACACCAATCAGAGAGCTGTTTATCAAGGTTTAGGGATGGGCGGGGCAGCTAATGTTAATGTAGGAGAGGTCTCCGACACCGACAGTAGGTCTACACCAATCAGAGAGCTGTTTATAAAGGTTTAGGGATGGGCGGGGCAGCTAAATGTTAATGTAGGAGAGGGCTCCGACACCGACAGTAGGTCTACACCAATCAGAGAGCTGTTTATGAAGGTTTAGGGATGGGCGGGGCAGCTAATGTTAATGTAGGAGAGGTCTCCGACACCGAGAGTAGGTCTACACCAATCAGAGAGCTGTTTATCAAGGTTTAGGGATGGGCGGGGCAGCTAATGTTAATGTAGGAGAGGTCTCCGACACCGACAGTAGGTCTACACCAATCAGAGAGCTGTTTATAAAGGTTTAGGGATGGACGGGGCAGCTGTTAATGTAGGAGAGGGCTTTGACACCGACAGTAGGTCTACACCAATCAGAGAGCTGTTTATAAAGGTTTAGGGATGGGCGGGGCAGCTAATGTTAATGTAGGAGAGGGCCCCGACACCGACAGTAGGTCTACACCAATCAGAGAGCTGTTTATCAAGGTTTAGGGATGGGCGGGGCAGCTAATGTTAATGTAGGAGAGGGCTCCGACACCGACAGTAGGTCTACACCAATCAGAGAGCTGTTTATGAAGGTTTAGGGATGGGCGGGGCAGCTAATGTTAATGTAGGAGAGGTCTCCGACACCGAGAGTAGGTCTACACCAATCAGAGAGCTGTTTATCAAGGTTTAGGGATGGGCGGGGCAGCTAATGTTAATGTAGGAGAGGGCACCGACACCGACAATAGGTCTACACCAATCAGAGAGCTGTTTATTAAGGTTTAGGGATTGGCGGGGCAGCTAATGTTAATGTAGGAGAGGTCTCCGACACCGAGAGTAGGTCTACACCAATCGGGTTCGATGAAGCAAAGTAGTTGTACTTACGTGCCCCCGTGCTTAAATTGTGTTTCGATGATTTACCTTCTAAAATAAATCTGGCCATGTCTCGCATCCCCAGAGAGGGCGTCTCGCACCCCCAGGGGTGCATGCACTCCGGGTTAAGAGCCGCTGGGCTGTCGTGATGTTTCGGGCAATGGCCCCTTTTGCGGGGGGGCTCTCTGCCACATTGGCCCCGCATCAGAATCAGAATCTCGATTTGGACTGGGAGGAATCCGATGAGCTTGTGGAGCTCTTTTTATCACAGTTGTCCAGCGACGGGCGCCCGGCACAGGGCAGCCTTTAAGCAGCGCCGCGGTGGCGCGCGCACGCGCCCCCCCTAATCCAATGCTGTAAAAGTTAAAGGGGGGGGGGGGGGTTGGTGGATCAGCCACGCGAGTTGTCAATCTCCATTCTCGCGGGCGTCGAGGAGGTTCCATTAACCCCGGGCTCTGCCAGGAGGAGAAGGAGGCAGCAGAGAACAGACACACAAAAAAAGGACGTGGACTCCACCTGTCACGTCTGTATGGGGATCCCGGTGTTTTCCCTTTGGAGCGCGTGGGTTTCCTCCGGGTGCTCCGGTATCCTCCCCCATGTGAACGCCCATTCATGGGCTGAAACACCTCGACTCGCAGAAGATCGCAGAGCTCGGGTAATTGTCGATAGCGCCGCCAGCTCGCCGCGTGGCTGCTCTGAGAGTCGTTCTCTCTCTCTCCAAGAGCGAGTGAATGCTCGCGCGCGTGCGCGCGTGTGTTTTTACTACTAATGTAATAAGCCAAGAACGTGTGTGTCCTGCGCGTGACGTCACTCTACATGAGGCCCCCCTTCCTCATTAATAATCATGAGCCGGTGACGTCACTCCAAATGCCGCACCCCTCCCCAATAACCATGAGGGGGTGACGTCATTCCACATGCCACACCCCTCCCCAATAACCATTAGCGGGTGGCGTCACTCCAGATGGGGCAACCACCCCACCCCCCCCGCCCCGCTCATTAACAATCATGAGCTGAACAATTTTTCTATTGAATATATCATATTTACTGCAATATACAGCCGTCCTTGGTCGGGCAAACAAGCTCGTATATACTGTGCATGATTGACGAACGCCGACGATGCCGGTGGTGGGGTGGAGGGGGAGCGGTGCTCGGTGGATCTGTCTCTGGAGCAGACGTTGTGTTGCAGGACGCGCACGAGGCGTTGTCCGCCCACCTCGCGCTGCAGATCGAGACTCAGGCCCTGATGGAGGACGTGGCGTTCACGCGGGACGCTCACAAACAGGTGGCTGCTGCTGCCTTCACACGTTCCGTCACTCATTCATTCATTCAACAATCCCACCCCCGCCGCCCCCCCAGGCCGGCCGTTAGTTCGTTCGTTCACCTTTGGTCGGGCGTTCGTGTATTCATCCTGCGGCCAGGCGTGTATCCTCGTTCGTACCTGGCTTATTCACACCTCGTCAGGATGCATCCTGAGTCCGTTCGCTCCCGGTCACGTGTCTCACTTAGTCACTCGTGGTCGCGCGTTCGTTCATCCATCGCTCATTCAGTTCGTCCCTCGTTGAGCCATTCGCTCATTCGCCCTTGCTTCGATCGTGCGTTCACTCATTCGCCGCTGTTCTTGCGCTCACGCTTCCATTCGCAGTTGGTCTGCTCATTTCACTCATTCACCCTTGGCCACACTCACACTTCATTCGCCCCATGCCCGGCGCTTGGCAGCGCCGCGCTGTCGTTGCTAAGCACCACTGCCTCGCGAGCTAATAGAGCAACACGCAGCGGGACGACGCTTCGGACGATGTCCCTTCTGCAGAGGCTTCGAATTCTCCGCGGCATCACGAGCAACGACGCTCGTCCATCACGCACTCCGGCGATGCTCCGGCGATGACGGTGGAGCACAGCAGTCTGATGCGATAAAACCTGCCAGATGTTTCCCGCATAAATATTTTCGTCCGGCCTGCGGGGACGAATCTTAGGGTCATCCTGGACTCCCCAGGTGGTCCGGGTTCTCTTTCGAGGGCAGCTTCCAGCAGCATTAAAAGCTTAGCCACCCGGAGGTGACGCACTGCCCAGCAGGGAATTCTTGAGCTGTTCCTCCAAATCGAATGTATTTCTTACGACTCAAAATTAAAGCGCAACGGAGATACGGACAGAGAGGTCGTGTTATTTTCTTCCAGGAGCTGAGATGTTAACCGCCTCGCTTGGTATGGAAAAGAGTTTGCATGTTCTCCCTTGCTCGCGTGGATTTCTGTGGATTTCCCCTCCACATTTAGAATCATGCGTTGAGAGTATTTAGCTGATGGACATCTCCACGTGATAAGCCACGTCGTTGAGCTATCATTTGTGGCCAGATCGCTTCTGAAAAAAAAGATCTCTATAGCTCAGTGGGCATTACCTGGTAATTGTTTTTTTTAAGTTTAGAGTCATATGAGTCTCCAGGAAGGGAAATCCCCCGGAATCGAGGACGCAGGTTGGCCGGGTTGAGGTTGTGACTGGGGCTGAACGATCAATCCATTGCCCATCGCAATTTGAAACAATCCGATTAGCAAATCACAAAAGGCTGAGATTTTTTTTCGATTTGAAAAGTCCTATAACTTTATTATTGGAATTGTTTTATTATTATAACTTTATTTATTTAACTTAATTGTTCTATGTTTGATTGTTCTATGTTAATTTTTGTTTTATAAATACATGTTGGAAGCAATTCATATCTTTTAAGTTCTCATCCTTGCATTATAATATATTCATATGTTGATGGCATCATGTGGTAATGCTCCATCACGTGTTTTAAATCTATTACACAGTGAATATTGAACTGAAGCTTGACTTTAAACAAATGTAATCGCAAATCAAATCGCAATATCCGTCAGAAAAAAAAAACAATTTTAAATTTTCGCCAAATCGTTCAGCCCAAGTTATGACCCCCCCCCCTCCTTCTCCTGGCACCTCCCCTGCCGTGATCCTCCTCCGCCTCAGCACCTGTCCGAGCTCCGTGAGAGCGTGGAGCTCGTGGGGCAGATGATGTCCTCCATTGAGGGGCTCTCCCCAGACGTCTGGGGGACCACGGAGGCCGGGCAGCTTCAGCACGAGATGGGCACAGACTGCCAGGTGAGCGTGGGTGGGGGGGGGGGGTCGAGAGGGGGGGTTCGAGGGGGGGGGGGGAGTCGGGGGGAGTCGAAGGGGGGGGGGCCGGGGGGGCTCGAGGTGGGGGGTTGGGGGGGGGTCGAGAGGGGGTTTGAGAGGTTGGAGTTAGAGGTATGGTGAGTACTAGTTGGTTGGTGTTAGAGGTAGGGTGAGTACTAGTTGGTTGGTGTTAGAGGTAGGGTGAGTACTAGTTGGTTTGAGTTAGAGGTATGGTGAGTACTAGTTGGTTGGTGTTAGAGGTAGGGTGAGTACTAGTTGGTTGGTGTTAGAGGTATGGTGGGTACTAGTTGGTTGGAGTTAGAGGTAGGGTGAGTACTAGTTGGTTTGAGTTAGAGGTAGGGTGAGTACTAGTTGGTTTGAGTTAGAGGTATGGTGAGTACTAGTTGGTAGGTGTTAGAGGTATGGTGAGTACTAGTTGGTTTGAGTTAGAGGTAGGGTGAGTACTAGTTGGTTTGAGTTAGAGGTATGGTGAGTACTAGTTGGTTGGTGTTAGAGGTAGGGTGAGTACTAGTTGGTTTGAGTTAGAGGTAGGGTGAGTCCTAGTTGGTTTGAGTTAGAGGTATGGTGAGTACTAGTTGGTTGGTGTTAGAGGTAGGGTGAGTACTAGTTGGTTTGAGTTAGAGGTAGGGTGAGTACTAGTTGGTTTGAGTTAGAGGTAGGGTGAGTACTAGTTGGTTTGAGTTAGAGGTAGGGTGAGTACTAGTTGGTTTGAGTTAGAGGTAGGGTGAGTACTAGTTGGTTGGAGTTAGAGGTAGGGTGAGTAGTAGTTGGTTGGTGTTAGAGGTAGGGTGAGTACTAGTGGCTGGTGTTAGAGGTAGGGTGAGTACTAGTGGCTGGTGTTAGAGGTAGGGTGAGTACTAGTTGGTTTGAGTTAGAGGTAGGGTGAGTAGTAGTTGGTTGGTGTTAGAGGTAGGGTGAGTACTAGTGGCTGGTGTTAAAGGAAGGATTAGTACTAGTTGGTTGGTGTTAGAGGTAGGGTGAGTAGTAGTTGGTTTGTGTTAGAGGTAGTGCTATTACTAGTGGTAGGTGTTAGAGCTAGTGCTAGTACTAGTGGTAGGTGTTAGAGCTAGTGCTAGTGCTAGGTGTTGAGCTAGTGCTAGTACTAGTGGTAGGTGTTAGACCTAGTGCTAGTACTAGTGGTAGGTGTTAGACCTAGTGCTAGTTACTAGTGCTTGGTGTTAGAGGTAGTGCTAGTACTAGTGGCTCGTGTTAGAGGTAGTGCTAGTAGTAGTGCTTGGTGTTAGAGGTAGTGCTAGTACTAGTTGTAGGTGTTAGAGGTAGTGCTAGTACTAGTGCTTGGTGTTAGAGGTAGTGCTAGTACTAGTGCTTGGTGTTAGAGGTAGTGCTAGTACTAGTGGTAGGTGTTAGAGGTAGTGCTAGTACTAGTGGTAGGTGTTAGAGGTAGTGCTAGTACTAGTGGTAGGTGTTAGAGGTAGTGCTAGTACTAGTGGTAGGTGTTCGACCTAGTGCTAGTACTAGTGGTAGGTGTTAGAGGTAGTGCTAGTGGCTGGTGTTACAGGTAGTGCTAGTTCTAGTGCTTGGTGTTAGACCTAGTGCTAGTACTAGTGGTAGGTGTTGGAGGTAGTGCTAGTACTAGTGGTAGGTGTTAGAGGTAGTGCTAGTACTAGTGGTAGGTGTTAGAGGTAGTGCTAGTACTAGTGCTTGGTGTTAGAGGTAGTACTAGTGGTAGGTGTTAGAGGTAGTGCTAGTACTAGTGGCTGGTGTTAGAGGTAGTGCTAGTACTAGTGGTAGGTGTTAGAGGTAGTGCTAGTACTAGTGGTAGGTGTTAGAGGTAGTGCTAGTACTAGTGCTTCGTGTTAGAGGTAGTGCTAGTACTAGTGGTAGGTGTTAGAGGTAGTGCTAGTACTAGTGGTAGGTGTTAGAGGGAGTGCTAGTACTAGTGGTAGGTGTTAGAGGTAGTGCTAGTACTAGTGCTTGGTGTTAGAGGTAGTGCTAGTACTAGTGGTAGGTGTTAGAGGTAGTGCTAGTACTAGTGCTTGGTGTTAGAGGTAGTGCTAGTACTAGTGGCTCGTGTTAGAGGTAGTGCTAGTACTAGTGGTAGGTGTTAGAGGTAGTGCTAGTACTAGTGGTAGGTGTTAGAGGTAGTGCTAGTACTAGTACTTGGTGTTAGAGGTAGTGCTAGTACTAGTGGCTGGTGTTAGAGGTAGTGCTAGTGCTTGGTGTTAGAGGTAGTGCTAGTGCTTGGTGTTAGAGGTAGTGCTAGTACTAGTGCTTGGTGTTAGAGGTAGTGCTAGTACTAGTTGGTAGGTGTTAGAGGTAGTGCTAGTACTAGTCGCTGGTGTTAGAGGTAGTGCTAGTACTAGTGCTTCGTGTTAGAGGTAGTGCTAGTACTAGTGGCTGGTGTTAGAGGTAGTGCTAGTACTAGTGCTTGGTGTTAGAGGTAGTGCTAGTACTAGTTGGTAGGTGTTAGAGGTAGGGTGAGTACTAGTGGTAGGTGTTAGACCTAGTGCTAGTACTAGTGGCTGGTGTTAGAGGTAGTGCTAGTACTAGTGCTTGGTGTTAGACCTAGTGCTAGTACTAGTGGTAGGTGTTAGAGGTAGTGCTAGTACTAGTGGTAGGTGTTAGAGGTAGTGCTAGTGCTAGGTGTTAGAGGTAGTGCTAGTACTAGTGGTAGGTGTTAGAGGTAGTGCTAGTACTAGTGGTAGGTGTTAGAGGTAGTGCTAGTGCTAGGTGTTAGAGGTAGTGCTAGTACTAGTGGTAGGTGTTAGAGGTAGTGCTAGTACTAGTGGTAGGTGTTAGAGGTAGTGCTAGTGCTAGGTGTTAGAGGTAGTGCTAGTACTAGTGGCTGGTGTTAGAGGTAGTGCTAGTACTAGTGCTTGGTGTTAGAGGTAGTGCTAGTACTAGTGCTAGGTGTTAGAGGTAGTGCTAGTACTAGTGCTAGGTGTTAGAGGTAGTGCTAGTACTAGTTGGTAGGTGTTAGAGGTAGTGCTAGTACTAGTGGCTGGTGTTAGAGGTAGTGCTAGTACTAGTGCTTGGTGTTAGAGGTAGTGCTAGTACTAGTGCTAGGTGTTAGAGGTAGTGCTAGTACTAGTGCTAGGTGTTAGAGGTAGTGCTAGTACTAGTTGGTAGGTGTTAGAGGTAGTGCTAGTACTAGTGGCTGGTGTTAGAGGTAGTGCTAGTACTAGTGCTAGGTGTTAGAGGTAGTGCTAGTACTAGTTGGTAGGTGTTAGAGGTAGTGCTAGTACTAGTTGGTAGGTGTTAGAGGTAGTGCTAGTACTAGTGGTAGGTGTTAGAGGTAGTGCTAGTACTAGTGGTAGGTGTTAGAGGTAGTGCTAGTGCTAGGTGTTAGAGGTAGTGCTAGTACTAGTGGTAGGTGTTAGAGGTAGTGCTAGGTGTTAGAGGTAGTGCTAGTACTAGTGCTAGGTGTTAGAGGTAGTGCTAGTGCTAGGTGTTAGAGGTAGTGCTAGTACTAGTGGCTGGTTTTAGAGGTAGGGTGATTACTAGTGCTAGGTGTTAGAGGTAGTGCTAGTACTAGTGGTAGGTGTTAGAGGTAGTGCTAGTACTAGTGGTAGGTGTTAGAGGTAGTGCTAGTGCTAGGTGTTAGAGGTAGTGCTAGTACTAGTGGTAGGTGTTAGAGGTAGTGCTAGGTGTTAGAGGTAGTGCTAGTACTAGTGCTAGGTGTTAGAGGTAGTGCTAGTGCTAGGTGTTAGAGGTAGTGCTAGTACTAGTGGCTGGTTTTAGAGGTAGGGTGATTACTAGTACTAGGTGTTAGAGGTAGTGCTAGTGCTAGGTGTTAGAGGTAGTGCTAGTACTAGTGGTAGGTGTTAGAGGTAGTGCTAGTACTAGTGGTAGGTGTTAGAGGTAGTGCTAGGTGTTAGAGGTAGTGCTAGGTGTTAGAGGTAGTGCTAGGTGTTAGAGGTAGTGCTAGTGCTAGGTGTTAGAGGTAGTGCTAGTGCTAGGTGTTAGAGGTAGGGTGATTACTAGTGCTTGGTGTTAGAGGTAGTGCTAGTACTAGGTGTTAGAGGTAGTGCTAGTACTAGGTGTTAGAGGTAGTGCTAGTGCTAGGTGTTAGAGGTAGTGCTAGTGCTTGGTGTTAGAGGTAGTGCTAGTGCTAGGTGTTAGAGGTAGTGCTAGTACTAGTGGTAGGTGTTAGAGGTAGTACTAGGTGTTAGAGGTAGTGCTAGTACTAGTGGCTGGTTTTAGAGGTAGGGTGATTACTAGTGCTTGGTGTTAGAGGTAGTGCTAGTACTAGTGGCTGGTTTTAGAGGTAGGGTGATTACTAGTGCTTGGTGTTAGAGGTAGTGCTAGTGCTAGGTGTTAGAGGTAGTGCTAGTAGTAGTGGTAGGTGTTAGAGGTAGTGCTAGGTGTTAGAGGTAGTGCTAGTACTAGTGGTAGGTGTTAGAGGTAGTGCTAGTGCTAGGTGTTAGAGGTAGTGCTAGTACTAGTGGTAGGTGTTAGAGGTAGTGCTAGTGCTAGGTGTTAGAGGTAGTGCTAGTACTAGTGGTAGGTGTTAGAGGTAGTGCTAGGTGTTAGAGGTAGTGCTAGTACTAGTGCTAGGTGTTAGAGGTAGTGCTAGTGCTAGGTGTTAGAGGTAGTGCTAGTACTAGTGGCTGGTTTTAGAGGTAGGGTGATTACTAGTGCTAGGTGTTAGAGGTAGTGCTAGTACTAGTGGTAGGTGTTAGAGGTAGTGCTAGTACTAGTGGTAGGTGTTAGAGGTAGTGCTAGTGCTAGGTGTTAGAGGTAGTGCTAGTACTAGTGGTAGGTGTTAGAGGTAGTGCTAGGTGTTAGAGGTAGTGCTAGTACTAGTGCTAGGTGTTAGAGGTAGTGCTAGTGCTAGGTGTTAGAGGTAGTGCTAGTACTAGTGGCTGGTTTTAGAGGTAGGGTGATTACTAGTACTAGGTGTTAGAGGTAGTGCTAGTGCTAGGTGTTAGAGGTAGTGCTAGTACTAGTGGTAGGTGTTAGAGGTAGTGCTAGTACTAGTGGTAGGTGTTAGAGGTAGTGCTAGGTGTTAGAGGTAGTGCTAGGTGTTAGAGGTAGTGCTAGGTGTTAGAGGTAGTGCTAGTGCTAGGTGTTAGAGGTAGTGCTAGTGCTAGGTGTTAGAGGTAGGGTGATTACTAGTGCTTGGTGTTAGAGGTAGTGCTAGTACTAGGTGTTAGAGGTAGTGCTAGTACTAGGTGTTAGAGGTAGTGCTAGTGCTAGGTGTTAGAGGTAGTGCTAGTGCTTGGTGTTAGAGGTAGTGCTAGTGCTAGGTGTTAGAGGTAGTGCTAGTACTAGTGGTAGGTGTTAGAGGTAGTACTAGGTGTTAGAGGTAGTGCTAGTACTAGTGGCTGGTTTTAGAGGTAGGGTGATTACTAGTGCTTGGTGTTAGAGGTAGTGCTAGTACTAGTGGCTGGTTTTAGAGGTAGGGTGATTACTAGTGCTTGGTGTTAGAGGTAGTGCTAGTGCTAGGTGTTAGAGGTAGTGCTAGTAGTAGTGGTAGGTGTTAGAGGTAGTGCTAGGTGTTAGAGGTAGTGCTAGTACTAGTGGTAGGTGTTAGAGGTAGTGCTAGTGCTAGGTGTTAGAGGTAGTGCTAGTACTAGTGGTAGGTGTTAGAGGTAGTGCTAGTGCTAGGTGTTAGAGGTAGTGCTAGTACTAGTACTAGGTGTTAGAGGTAGTGCTAGTACTAGGTGTTAGAGGTAGTGCTAGTACTAGGTGTTAGAGGTAGTGCTAGTACTAGGTGTTAGAGGTAGTGCTAGTACTAGGTGTTAGAGGTAGTGCTAGTGCTAGGTGTTAGAGGTAGTGCTAGTACTAGTGGTAGGTGTTAGAGGTAGTGCTAGTACTAGTGCTAGGTGTTAGAGGTAGGGTGATTACTAGTGCTTGGTGTTAGAGGTAGTGCTAGTACTAGTGCTAGGTGTTAGAGGTAGGGTGATTACTAGTGCTTGGTGTTAGAGGTAGTACTAGGTGTTAGAGGTAGTACTAGGTGTTAGAGGTAGTGCTAGGTGTTAGAGGTAGTGCTAGTACTAGTGCTAGGTGTTAGAGGTAGTGCTAGGTGTTAGAGGTAGTGCTAGTACTAGTGCTAGGTGTTAGAGGTAGTGCTTGGTGTTAGAGGTAGTGCTAGTGCTTGGTGTTAGAGGTAGTGCTAGGTGTTAGAGGTAGTGCTAGTACTAGGTGTTAGAGGTAGTGCTAGGTGTTAGAGGTAGTGCTAGGTGTTAGAGGTAGTGCTAGGTGTTAGAGGTAGTGCTAGTGCTAGGTGTTAGAGGTAGTGCTAGTGCTAGGTGTTAGAGGTAGTGCTAGTGCTAGGTGTTAGAGGTAGTGCTAGTGCTAGGTGTTAGAGGTAGTGCTAGTGCTAGGTGTTAGAGGTAGTGCTAGGTGTTAGAGGTAGTGCTAGTGCTAGGTGTTAGAGGTAGTGCTAGGTGTTAGAGGTAGTGCTAGTACTAGGTGTTAGAGGTAGTGCTAGGTGTTAGAGGTAGTGCTAGGTGTTAGAGGTAGTGCTAGGTGTTAGAGGTAGTGCTAGTGCTAGGTGTTAGAGGTAGTGCTAGTGCTAGGTGTTAGAGGTAGTGCTAGTGCTAGGTGTTAGAGGTAGTGCTAGTGCTAGGTGTTAGAGGTAGTGCTAGTGCTAGGTGTTAGAGGTAGTGCTAGGTGTTAGAGGTAGTGCTAGTGCTAGGTGTTAGAGGTAGTGCTAGTACTAGTGCTAGGTGTTAGAGGTAGTGCTAGGTGTTAGAGGTAGTGCTAGTGCTAGGTGTTAGAGGTAGTGCTAGGTGTTAGAGGTAGTGCTAGTGCTAGGTGTTAGAGGTAGTGCTAGGTGTTAGAGGTAGTGCTAGTGCTAGGTGTTAGAGGTAGTGCTAGTACCAGTGGCTGGGCACGAGTCCCACGTGACCTGCTCGTCCCAGCTCCGCATTCTCCCCGAGTTTGCCCCTTCAGTGTCGTCTCGGCTTCCACCCCCCCCCCCCCCCACGCTACACGGGGGGACTGGCGCCGCTCGCTACGCTGCGCTGAACCGACTTGCCCCGGCCATGTGAATGTGGACATGATGAGGCGTGATGGGGGGGGGGGGCTTGTGAGCGTCTGCAGGGGGGCGCTGGCGGGACTGGCGAAGTCCACCAGCAGCAGCAGGTGGCGGAGCTCCGCGTCCAGGTCGACTCCCTCTCCAGCCGGCAGAGGGCGCTCCAGGACGAGGTGCCCCATCATCATCATCACCCCCCACCCCGACTCCGTCTATCATGTCGCGTCCGTGGGGTCTTCAAGCAAACACTCCGAAGCCCGCCGGGGCTTGTCCGTCACCATCGCCATTATCAGCATGCCACGAGTGGGACGTTATGTGACAATGGAAAGTCTAAATGTAAATCCAGTAGGGTCAGTTAACTGCTCTTCAATGGAAGGTGGCTTCCTCCTCGGTTGCCCAACGTGTCTGGAGCTCTCTACCCCTGGCCATCTGCACTGCTGTGACCACATTGCAGTTCAGGGTCAAGTCGCCTCTGTTTTCCCCTCTGCCTGTTGACTCTCTGTTCTCTAAGCAATGTCGTTATACCCTCTCTACCCTGTACCCTCCTATACCAGAGTGGTGCAGCGTCTTTGTAATGGGCCCCGGTACAGAGAATGACATGGGGCCCCCTGTATAATGACCCCCTTGTCTATAGGCTGACGCCTGGGGCCCCCTGTGAGAAAGAGCTTCATAGCTTATCGGATTTCTCCAGCATCAATAGTCTGACTCTGGATTCTGGTGCAGTTGCACCGCCTACACACTCCACTGCTCCTACCCCCTCCCCCCTTCCCCCGCCACAGCATTTTCCAACTGAAAATAACATCGAAGAACCAAAATCTCTTTCCAAAGATTCGCACGGCCTTGTGATGCGGTCATATTTAGACGCTGCGCTAAGTCCAAATTGTGTTTTGTACGGAGCAGAGATCTGATGATGCGTAGGCCGTAGTATGCCTGGCACAGGGACGTTATAATCCACAGCCTGGGCTTGTGGCAAGATCCCCGTCAATCTACCCCCTCCGTCAGGCAGGGTGCACGGATTACGTTCATTCCGTCAACTCAGCGATTCGCAAGGACCCGATAATCCCATTGGAGGAAATCAGATTGGACCGGGAGCTATTTCCACTGCGCGTTGTTCGACTTCACCTGAACGGCAACAATATTTTGTCGACAGTGGCTTAGCGGGAGCTTTGCTCGCCTGTGCCGCGTGGCCGCTGGCAATTTTAAATCAAAACGTAATGCTGAACTTATTGTTTTAACGAGTAAATTTGGGCGATGTAAAGGAAAACGCAATATATATATAAAAAAAACATATCTTACCTTGTAGAGCCACACCTAGGCTGTGCGTGCCGGTCTAATCCAACATCAGTTTCAAGCTTCGTTCATGAGAAAAAATTAAGACCTGAATTACAAAAAAATACCAACAGGTGTGTCTTCATAACACTCCAGTACTTCCGCTACGTTAACATTGAAAAAAAACCTATCAAACTATATTAAATTTTACCAGGTAAGGCCCACTGAGCTGTATAGATCTTTTTCAGAAGCTACCTGGGCACAAATAATAGCTCAACGAAGTGGCTTATCACCTGCACATTTATGGCAGCCAAATACTCTAAGAGGCGTGTTTCTAAATGTGGAGGGGAAAAACCGGAGGAACCGGAGAAAAATCCACGTGACCACGGGGAGAACGCGCAAACTCCAAATATAGAGGCGTCAGGGTTGGGATCGAACCCACAACCTCCTGTATACCACGCGAACCGTGTTGCCCGATTGTATTGAGATGTGTGGGATTGGCATTGAAGTGAAGTTACTAGAACGATCTAACACAGGGGTATAAATTCCACATGCGCGTTGCAAAAACTAGTTTCTGTGTGCAGGATGACCGCAAGCGGTGCTCATTTTATTCATTCTAGCTTTAACCCTGACTCCATGACCCTTGACCCCCTAAACCCACCCTTCCTGACCTCCCCCTCCCTCCCGTACCCCACAACGACGCCACGCTGGTGGCAGTGCCAGCAGCTAGAGCGCAATCTGCGGGAGGCCGAGGGCGCCAGCGAAGCGGAGCTGAGCCGCGCCACCGCCAAGCTCCAGGCGCACCGGGTGGAGCTGGCCCAGGCGCTGGGGGCGCTGCGATCGAACCGTGCCGAGAACGAGCGACTGTGGGCGAGCACGCGCGACCTGGAGACCGAGCTGACGCGCTACCGCCGCGCCATCGAGAACGAGGACTCGCGGTAACGCTGGCGCCGCAGGCAGCGACACCGAACGCGAATAGCGGCGTCGCAAACACCCCGCCCCCCCCCCCCTCCCCGCTGAGCAAACACCGATCGTCTCTGTCCGTGCGTGTGTCCGTTCGTCTGCGACATCCAGCCTGCACTCGGTGATCATCGGCGCTGTGCCAGCGACGGTGCACACTCTGGAGCGTCGCTGCGTGCCCGAGCTGGTGTCACGAGAGCTGGGCCGCGGGGCACAGTCAGGTGCGTCATGTCACGCCGCCGACCGCACGGAGTGCCGACGCGAGCGCGCTTCGCAACTCCCGGCAACCCGCTGACGTTTCGTGCCCTGTTGCTGTGGCCCTGGTAGACAGGGGCATTCGAGCATTGAAAAACAAAAAAACCCATCAGGATGTGTAAAAGCTAATCGATTCTACGGAGCTGTTTAATGTGTCTTCTTTGGTTCTTTCGGTAAAGTCACGTAGAATGAGAATAAAATAATAAATTGATAAAATAAAATAACACAATAAAATTCTCACGACGTTTCGGCCACAACACAAGCGGCCTTCTTCAGGTGAAGGGACGAGACTGTCTGGAGGACAGCGCTGGAGCGAACACAGCCAAGCCCAGACCGCGACCTTTAAGCTGTGTGAGAAGAAACAAAGCGCCTTGACAAAGGAATTAGCATAGCATTTAGCATTGAAATAGCTGAGTGATTAGCTTGTGACTGGTCACAGAAATAGCTATGTTAAAGTTAAAGCCTACACATCCACAGAGGCACCTAGTACAAATCAAACAGGAGAATTTAGCATTAATGTGTGTTGACATTTTAAGTGATGTACTTTCTGGATACAACATTTTGGTGTTTCGAGAAGAGCAACGCTTGTGCTCTTTTAGACGTTGGCACAGCGCACTTTAGCAGAAGGAAAACAAGGGCGAATCTCGACAGTGTAAAACTAGGGGCGGTATATTGCGCCCTAATGTGGGTATTGCACAGTGCGCGCACGTGTGAATTCTGTGCTGATGCCTCGATGCTGGCGCTGTCTCGATACAGACTCAGACTCGGTGATTGTGCGGGCCCGCGGTCGAAAACTGGCCGAGTCCACCTCCCCGATGGAAGATCCGTGCAGCGGCCACACCGCGCCGGGTGAAGACGTGTTTGAAACTGAAGGCCGCGGGAAAGATCGCTCGGGGAAAACGGGAATGGAAGCGTGGACTGGGCGTAAACGGAACGAGGAGGAGGGGGAGGACGACGAAGCAGGAGGTGACGTCCCAGACGGATTGAGATTCAGCAGGGCCTACAGCAAGGTGAAGGATTTCATCAGGGAGAAGATTGGCTCCAGGGACGCAGAGGACTGTGTCTCCGAGACGAGCAGCAGCGAGGAAGACATTGCGGTGTACACGATGCCGAGCTCCGTGTGCGTCACCGGCCATGGCAGCTGGCCCCAGCCCTCGTGCTACTACGAGCCGAGCCTCGGCCACGTTACGGTGGTGGAAGCGGAGGTTGAGGACGAGCATCTGCATCCTCTGCCATCACTGGGACCCCTTCCTGCTCCTCCTCCTCCTCCTTCAGATCCCTCACTTGACGGAGACACCCTCGTCCCTCTGGATCCCATGCTTATGCCAGACCATGTACCTCCGCATCCACCTGCTCCTCCCTCCGTTCCAGATACCGAGCAGAGCCGGGAATCCAAGGAACCAGCGACGCCAGCACGGGAGGCCAGCGAGGAGAAAAAATATAAAGACGAAAAAGGGAAGGACAAAGGTCCAGAGCCCTCTCATGACGCGGACAGGAAGAAATGTGACGCAGACAATGAAGCCAAAGATGGAGACAAAACGTCCATAGGCAAAACCCCTCCATCTTCTCCACAGGAGACCCTGCACGACGAAGAGAAGACCAAGAGCGCAACGGATCTGGGCAGCCGAGCCCTAGGAAGGCCCGGCGTGGCTGGCGAGTTCACGTCCTCCTCCATCAGCTACGAGAAGCTGGAGGTGATGGAGTCGACGGAGACGACGGTGGATGACAAACGGCAGGACTACGAGGAGAAGTCTTTGGTCATCGAGACGTCAGTGGAGAGGAAGGAGACATTTTCTTCGCACTGAGCCACCTGGGTTTCGATGCAACGCGGGGCGTGGCTCACCGCTGCGTGTTTTACTGAAGTTCAACCGAAACGATCGGCCCCGTGAACAGGATTTCCAGAGCGATTCGGTTAATGGCTTAATCCACGCGTCAAGGTTTTTTTCTGGCGCCGTGCAGGTATTTAGATTTAGCTCACGGCGTGGTCAAGGGCGAACACAATTCACGAAGCACGTGCTTGTGAAATCACACACACATACACACTCTCAAGCGCTGCATCACCTACTCATTTCAAGAGTTGACCAGTGCCGTTGATTTCCGCATTGTCTATAGTCTCTACTACAAAAGCAACGCGCACGGTTGTGGTTTTCATGATGTGGTAGTTGGTGGAATCCTTAGTAAATAAAAAAAGCAGACTACCCCACGGTGTTGAGACATATACTGGTTGTGTTGGGATGTGCAGGAGAGTGACCAGACTAAATCCACTGTTGACACGAACACAAAAATAACGTAATAGACACAAACAATATCTAATAGAACCGAGAAAAACAAATACGGCGAAGAAAATAAAAAAACATAATCTACTACTGCTAAAAAGCAGACATTGACGTTTGTATTATACAGTTCGAAGAGTTAGGCACGAATTTCAATCCATCCGTAAGTTGAACAATAAAAACGAATGAGGGCTGCAATAGGGCTTCAGAGGTTGTGCCGAACGCTTAAAATTTGCGCTTTTTTGGGGCCACGGCGTCAGCAGGCGCCGGCCGTGTTGCGGAGGAAAAAAAAAATTGGAATCTGCGGTACCCCGCGGTGCAACGCGCACGATCGGACGGGATCGGGGGCTCGCGTGGCCTGGTGAGCGAGGTCCCTTGGGCCCAGCTCTTGGGCCCATCGCTGCCGGTCAGAGTTGTTTGGAGACGCATTTCAGCGCTTCGTACATCGCCGCGGTTGGGGGTGGATGGTCACTCTCCTGCACATCCCAACACATCCAGTATGTGGCTTTCAGCGCGTGGAATAGAACTTCGAGCGGAAAAAAAAGGATCCTTGCCGGGGTTGCCTTGGGTGTCGCCGCGTGTGTCTTTTAGGCGCATGCCCGCACGAACACTTCATTACGTTAAGGTCACAGCCGTCCACCCTCCCACCGTTCGAGACGAGTCTAGGTCCGTGAGTGCCAGGATGACGACGTCACTTTGATGTTCAGCCATAATAATAATAATAAGAACAATACTTTCAAGTGACCATCATGAGCACAATTGTAGAACTCTCGTGACGTCAGTGCAGTGTGATGTATTGGATTCTCGACATTCACATCGCAGTGACATCATCGATACATCGTCACTCCTGAAATTCACTTTGAAGTCTTTATTTGTCTTCTCAACAAACCATCAAACTTGTGCCGGACAGCTCCGGCGTGTAGGCCACAAGCGAACTTGAGCCGTTCAATGTTTTGGTTGGGCCTTCCCCAAACATCGTGGTATGGCATGGCAAGCCATCTCCGGCAAGACGCACCCGGCGATCCGGTAGGTGACAGAGCCCGCAGAGTTGCGTCTCCCACTCCTTCCCGACGACGCGCAGCTGAGAAACCAACTCGTTTGTGCCACAGAAATCACGTTCCATCGTTCCCCAGCCATCGTTCTCTCCGGGCAGCTATAGCCACGCATTCTGAGTTAAACCCTTGATATAAAAACTTTCAAAAACGTGTTAAACGGTTGCTCGGTTTGCTTCGAGTGTAGTTGTAACTCTTCCGTTCCGTCTGTTAGGTCCTGACTTCGTCCTCACCAATGTTAGCGCTGGAGCCCAATCCGCGACTCTATACCTGGGTTACGCAGGGAGGGCACAACATCCATAATCGAGGTTTTTTTTTGGGTGACTAGTGACGAATTGGCACGATCTGATTACGTGACAACCCTTACTAGTTGGCTGTGTCGGGCGGTGGCGGGTTTAACGACACATTTATAAATTTACGCGATCTAACCCCCCCAAAACCCCTCTATCATGGATGATATTGGTCGCGAAATCCTACCACGTGTTGAACGGAGCACAACATGCTGCGTGGACCAACGTTCTTTAACACAACAGACACTGGCACGCTCCCCCCACGCACAGTGACCCCATTTGTTTTGATTACGGAGGCATGACCAAGCCCTCCCCCCATACCGTGGGGGCTGGAGCCCTACCCCGAACGTTGACCGAGAAGATGGCCAGGAATCAGCTCGTGCGCAGGTTTGTGAGGTGGATCACAATGACATCGTAAGTGACGGCGGCGGATTGGCGAGGCCTTCATGCAGCAGTGGAATGACCATGGCTGCTGCTGCTGATTATAACCGTTTTGCATTTCGGTGTCATCCACAATGTAGCTTCTCGGCTGCCCTTACACGAACCTGCACACATGCAATACCCTTACTTCCTACGAACAGCAGACAGTGGCTTGAATTGAATGCGAACAAAGACAAATATTCCCCGTATAGCCTCAACAGACTGTTGGGGCAAGTGCTGTTAGCGAGTAGCGTCTACGAAGGCCGGCACGGCACACGAGGGGGGTGGGTGGCCAGCAACCACGCCCGACCGCCTTTGTCTCCCCAGTCACGACGTTTTCCACACCTCACCAAGGACTCATTTGAGGCCGAGTCGACCTAGGGGAGGCCCAGGACCCATTCAGATAATCGCCACCGGTATTGGCCGTGAGCGGGAATCGAACTCGGGTGTCGGCGAGTTCGTAACGCAGCGTAGCGCTAACCGCTACACCACCGCTCCCCCACCCAATGCGAACAACACCCACGGCTCGAGAGAGATACGGCACACGTACAGCCGTCCACCGAGTACCCACGAGGAGCAACAGCTCCACGAGAGTCCAGCCGAGTGGCTTCCACGCTCACCGGCTCGTCCCTTGCCTCCGACTCTGGACGAATCTCTGCGCCACGCGAGATGACGAGGGGCAAAAAAAATGTTCGCGGTGCCCATTTCTTGATGGCAAATGAACCCAGTTGTGTTACAGAATAAGGTTTTTTTTTTCCCGAGAATAAAAAAAAGGTCACTTGCGTTTAAAATTGAATTGAAAAAGGTGCCAACAAATGTTTAGCTTACCTCCGCTGCGTCTCAAAGAGTGAAATATCTTGTCTGGGAGTCCATGAACCATTGGGGAAAGGGGCAACGCTTCCTCGATCAGCGACCGAGCGGCTGATCTGGCTCAAGCTGTCTAAATGTGCGCAAGCGTCCTCCGAGACACGGGGCACTGCGGTGGCTAGGAGATGTTAACTAGCTCGCCTGGTATACAGGAGGTCGTGGGTTCGATCCCGACCCTGACGCCTGCTGTATATTTGGGGTTTGCACGCTCTCCTCGTGGTCGCGTGGATTTTTCTCCGGGGTCCTCCGGTTTTTCCCCTCCACATTTAGAATCAACATCGCGCGTTTAGAGTGTTCGGCTGCGATAAATTTCCACGCGATAAGCCACTTCGCTGAGCTATCATTTGTGGTCCAGCTCGTTTCTGAAAAAAGAGCCATACAACATCGCAGTGGGTCTTACCTGGTTTCAAAAAGAAATAAACAAGTTGAATAGTTTGAGAGTAATGAGGAGCCTCGTCCTCGTCTTAGAATCCGGGGCAAAGGATTCCCAGCGTGACGCTCGCGGCTCCGGGCGCACGCGAAGAGAGAGAGAGGAGAGAGAGGGGAGAGAGGAGAGATCCTCGCTCAGGATCCAAACGCAACGTTCGCGCGGACACGAGGAGGCGGCAGCACGAGGAGAGAGTAAACTGGAACATTTATGTAAATACGCAGCCGGAAAAAATTAGACGGAGACTAAAGCCACATTTGGTTGACGAGAGAAGGTTCGTACACACACCTCGCGAGAAGAGATGAACGCAGAGGGCAAGTTTTGGAATGGCGACAGGTCAACGAGAACACGGCCTAAAGTGGTCTTGCTCCCCGTCATGTTAAGACGACGATACGGTACTTCATGTTTACATTCAAATATTAATTCGACAGGCAGACTACAACGGTACACTTATATAGTTTTATAGGATATTTTAGGGGGGGGGGGGTTCCCCCTTCTTTCTGAAATATATTAATCTCTCAAAATGTTAATAAATAATTTTATTGTTTTCTTCGGTACATTTAAGCTCGATTGACATCCAGCGTAAATGCTGTTGCAAGCCGAGCCCACATCTCTCGGCACCGGCACACGGCTCGGTGACGTTTTTTTTAATCTCGTCTCTTAAAATTGCACATTTTTAGGAGGAGGAAGGCCCTCTCTCACGAAACCTCAAGAGATTTATAAACGAAGTGATAAAAACACTGCGCCGAAACACTAAGACAGCGGTGTGTGTGTGTGTGCAGTATTCATCAAGTAACTGTCAAGTATTTACAGTAACGTAGGATCTGTCTGTGATACCGCCGATCGTCATAACCTGACACTGTTGCTGGCCTGCGTGCACAGACCATTGCGGAATGACGTGGAGGAGCCACAGGAGCTTTCGTAAGGGGGTTTGACCGAGATCAGAGTACGGCTCTGCCGCTTTTCTGCACTCAAAACGCAACGGGCAATCGGTGCCAGATGGAAAGACGCTTCGGAATCCCGAGCGCCGTGCTCATTTATGCGGCCTTTGAAAATTTGAACGCTATTGTGCGCGCCTACTGTGAGCGGCTATTGTGAGCGGAAAACACCGGACGGGGCCCTAAGGCGATGGGATTTCGATATAAATGACAGAGGGGCTGAGATTGTGACAATCGGGACATGGCGGTGGAGGCCAGGCGGGAGACCCGTCAGCCAGCAGCAGGGCCACTCCCACAGCGGCGGCACCGAGAGGCTATCGTGGGCTCGCGGAGCCGAAACGCCCGAAGCATGACGGCGCGTGACCACTCACCTGCCTGTCCCCTTCTCAAGCGGCACGGATGGGTGCCCACGGCCCGGCTACACAGCCCCATCATTACACAGCTGAATCTGAGGACCATCTCAAAGACGTCTGAAGAGCCTGTGGAAGCTGGCGTGTGGGGACGCTGCAGAGGCCGACTGTACGTCGGGACGCAGTCGCAAGGAGCCCCTCCGCTGACGGCACCAGCAGCGCAAGGCGTTTACGCCAAGGCCGATTATTAAAATTCGAAAGCGTGATTATTTCCCTTCGAGGTCTTTTTCGAATTTCAATTTCTTTACTCATTTCAGTGGGGCTGTAAAAGCTAAATAAGCAATGAGTGTTTGTGGAGCCAATTCCTCTTGAAGGCCGGAATGTTACCGGAAAAGGTTATGGCAGTGATGTGCACACAATTAGTGGTATTGTGGATTTTCAAAAAATAAATAAACAAAAATAACCAACCACTGATGCGTGTTTCTGCTTATCGGAGGAACGACACCCACATACGAACGAGCGGGAGCGTTTTCTGGAGCACGGAGAGCCCGAATGGAGTGAGGAGTAAACATCTATTTTACGTAACGCCCTAAATGCTATCATCACAAAAGTTGATGGGCAATATGGGGGGGTTGTCAATAAGCGATAGCTCGCACCATCGATCAGACGTGGCACAGTCCGGACGTGGAGTCTATTACTTTGGCCGCATTGTTTTTCAATCGTGAGAAAGTGCCACGTAATTCCTCATCTCATTTGTGCGGGCAGTTGTCCCGCAAATGTTTGATGGCCTCCGTGGAATATATCCACGCGTGCATTCGAGTTTGAACAAAGCCAAATTAAAAGTCGGTGCTCAGCTGTGCCGGTGGGGTGGAATAAAATAAAACTCACATTATTAAACATCTTTAGTAGAGATTATTATGATCATGAATATTACTCATAATAGGCCCAATAGAAACGGAGTACATATTACATTAGCGATGTCGGTGGCTGGATGTGCGTATGTGTGTGTGCATGCGCGTGGTGTTTGCTACTCAGCACGGCCCGGTGTGGGCTTGCGTGTGTGCGCGCGGGTGAGGACAAGTGTGTGCTGTGTTGCTGTGTGCGCGTCGGCATGTGTGTAAGAGTGTACATGTGTTTCAGAACATATGTGTGAGCGTACGCGTGTGTCAGCGTGGGTGTGAGCTTACGCGTGTGCGCGTGAGGGACTGCGCGCGCACGTGTGTGTGTGAGCGTACGTGTCAGAAGCTCTATGTGCATGTGTGTGAATGTACGTGTGTGTGTGTGTGCGCACACGCGCGTGCGTGCACGCTCGAGGGCTCCATTCGGTTGTCGCCGCCGCCGCCTAGCGGCCGCCGTTTCTCCGCCGGAGGCTTCGCGCCACGGCCTCGCCCAGCTCCTGCTCGAGCTCCTGCCGGCGCGACATCGCCAGCTTGGAGCCCGAGTCGTGCACCACCTGGCCCACGTAGGGCGGCGAGTGCGTGCCGTGGAGCATGAGCGTCCACTCGGAGAGCACGCCGCTTCGCGCCGCCGCCGCTGCCGCCGCGGGGCCCTCCGCTCCATCGGCGAAGCCCACCTCGAGCGTCCACCGGCCGCGCGGGTCCTCGCCCCACGTGTGCGTCGTCATGAAGGGCCAGCGGTGGAAGCCGACGCGCGAGTCGGAGTCGCGGGGCCGCCGGCCGAGCAGCAGGGAGCGCGTGCCCATGGGCGAGGTGAGGTTGAGCGTGAGGTCGCCTCGCCGCGTCGCGTTCACCGTCACCACGACCTGCACGTGCTCCAGGTAGCGCACGTGGTCGGCGCGCCCCTCGCACGCGTCCGTGTCCACGGTCAGCACCAGCCTGCCCTGGCCCGGCACGGCGCTGCACGGAACGCACGGAACGCAACGGCAAGGGGAGCGACTCCTTAAAGGGGGAAAGGTGCGAAACGGACTTCTGAAGGTCGCCAAATGCTGTTGCTGCTGCTCGGTGGAGCGGCTGAAATGGCCAGCAATGTCACAACAATTTACAGAAATCCGATGAGCTGTGAAGCTCTTTTTACAGATGTCCAGTAGGGGCAGGTCAGAAAGTTCACACAAAACAAATAATACACAAACTAATGGAAAGGTAAGAAAATCATGAAAAATAAATAAACAAACGTCCTCGCCCCGGAAGGCAGTCAAATGTGTCGTTGGTTGCTTCTGCAGATGGAAGTCGTGACAGATACCCAAAAATCCGCGAGATTTAGTGACAAAAAATGCTCGGTTAGCGTCACTGGTTGTTGTGCGCCTTGCTATACACGGGGCTGTTTCTGGGTGGCTTTGGGAGCGGGAATGAGGCAGGAGGGACACTGAGGCGGAGGTGCTCAGAGAGAGGCACGACAATGAAATGGAGCACGGACTCCCGCTTCACGCTGCGAGTTAACCGGTCCCCCCCCACCGCGCACCAACGGTGTAAATGCATTTCGTTTTGCCATTAAATCGGCGAAAGCCCGGACTTGAAGGGCTTAGTCGGCAGAGGCTAAGGGTGAAGCATTCGTTGATGCGCACGGCTCAGTAAAAGCCCAGTCTAGTGGGCACACAACAACAACAACAATACAACAAACCCCAGATAGACACAGGAAAAATTCGACGATGTCACTTGTGGAGCCACTCCACACCTCTGCAATATGCAGAGAGCAAAGAAAAAGTTCTTCCTTGTGCCTGACGTCGAGAGCACATTCAGTGAAAGGACCCCACCGCAGCCATCAGAATGGTAAAAAAAGAATAACACTCTGCTCATTTGTCATTATCACTGCCTTAGATAACAGACGAATACACAGCAGGCCGAAATCCCATCGTCAGAGCAGAGACGTTGGCTGTCTTGTGCTTGTCGATTGTGCTTTTACACCGGGCACCGAGACATCTGGGAGGTGTTAAGAAAGCTGAAGGGTTCAACGCGCTTTGAATCGACCCTTGAGGAGGTTGACATTTCGTAGACAACGAGCATTCAGCGAGGCTCCGATCGCGGTTTTTTTACCCGCGCACCATTTGGGCTCGTGGCTCGTGATTATTTTCTTGGCTTCATTACCCACGGTCTAATTTTGCATTGTCCCACTGTGTGTGTTGTGTTTTGCTCATTTGAATAATTGCGTTCGCCCAAACAGCCTAGGCAAACACTCGCGCCTTATTATTATTATTTCCAAAGAATTTGCAGACACCGCAAATAATCGACTCTCACGTGCGCGCAATGTGACGAATGTAAAGTGAACGTAAGAATCGATCGACGAATCAATGGATATTCACGTGCAGTGTTTAACAAGCCATTGCTGCGAACGTCAGCCTAAGAGACACCACACTGCTGCTATTCCAAGGCAACGTAGCAACGTTTCATATGTTATTGTTTTATGTGTTGCTTTTTCATCGCTGCCAATGCAGCCCCTTAAATGTTGGTAATATAGTAGCAGCGGGTGTGGGGAGCTACATCGCGAGTGGATGACAACAACAATTTAGAATTCCATGGCTTCTAGGCACAATCGTATCCCAAGGTGCTTTACAAAAATGAAAACCAAACTACATTAGAGCATAGCAGCGGATTCGGGGGAAAGGGGAGAGATCAGGCCAGGGAAACACGAGAGAGTGGAGCGAGAGAAAACGCTGCGACACAGCGCTGGGATGAAGCAATCACCAATATTGAGGCCAATAACGAGTCACTGGGACAGCAGGGACAGCCAGGGCAGCAGCACCGAGTCACTGGGACAGCAGGGACAGCAGGGACAGCCAGGGCAGCACTGAGTCACTGGGACAGCCAGAGCAGCAGCACCGAGTCACTGGGACAGCCGGGACAGCCAGGGCAGCACTAACGAGTCACTGGGACAGCAGGGACAACCAGGGCAGCACTGAGTCACTGGGACAGCCGGGACAGCCAGGCCAGCACTAACGAGTCACTGGGACAGCAGCGACAGCCAGGGCAGCACTGAGTCACTGGGACAGCAGGAACAGCCAGGGCAGCACTAAGTCATTGGGAGTGCAGGGACAGCCAGGGCAGCATCACCGAGTCACTGGGACAGCCAGGGCAGCATCACCGAGTCACTGGGACAGCCAGGGACAGCAGCGGTGACACGGCACTCACCGCGCGCTGGTGATGGAGCCGCCCTTGCAGTGGAAGCGCTCGGGGACGCTCCTCCAGTCGCGCGCCATGCGCACCATGGCCCCGGCGTCGAGCACCCCGTAGCCAAAGAGGTGGTTGAACTCGAGGCCCACGCCGTTGCGCTGCCACTTGTGCACCTCGTCGTGCAGCTGGTTCCGCTTGGACGTGAGCACGGTCAGGTGCTGCAGGTCGCGCCACGTCAGCTCCGGGCTGCGTGTGTTGGGAAAGGTCGGTGGTGGGAACGAGCGATCACTTAACGCCGACTGCTCCGCACTGAGCGGCTATATGCAGGAATGAGTCCGGTTCTAATTGACAACAATTATTGAGCGACGCTGCTGCGTTGGCAGCCGCGCACGAGCACGATGAGCGAACAGGACTCGCCAAGTTCGTCGATCACACTGTGGCCTCAAAAGGAAAGGTGTGCAAACGGTGACGTTTCGAGCAATGGCGCCCTTCGTCATAGCACGTGGTTATAATGGAGGTGTCCTGGAAATCCTGAAACAATCCCCCAATGTGGGTTTTTTTGTTGTTGTTGTTGTTGCGGGTAGGCGGATTCAGTGCGTGTTGTGGGGGTACAATCGCGTGCCAATGTGGGGGGTGGGGGGCGCGCGTGTGGTGACTTACTTGGCCTCTATCGCCAGGGCGAACACCCCGGCTGCTTCGGGGGCTGCGGCAGATGTCCCGGAGTGTCGCAGCGTGCAGTTACCGTACAGGTCCGTGGTGGCCTGGGCGGGAAGCGACACGCGACACGATCGTGGTTCCCGTGAAACCTTTCACCCCGTGCGTCTGTCACGCCAAGGAGCTGTGATTGTTCGCAGATGCTGTTGCATGCCTCTGATGCATTAGGCTCCTGCTAATGAGGAATTCCTTCACTCTATTATAGGCACGACACATCTACAACCCACTGGATTTTCATCTCATTTGTTTTTCAGGAGCGCAACACAATTATTCACAAACGCGTATCCCATTAGCGGAATTCCATCGCTGTCATCTGCGCGCGTCAATAACGCAGCTCCCCACTCAAGCCCACAAGGTGCCGTGTCCTCCCAGCCGCCCTCTTCCCGACTCCTCCGCCCCTAAAAACTCACCACGCCGGCCTCGGGGTCCTTCTTGCGCCCGTTGCTGAAGGTGGAGGCGAGCGTGGAGGAGCAGCTCTCGTCGTAGAGCGCCGTGCGCCCGTCGTTGATGGCCGAGTTGATGGAGATGGTCCACATGCTCGACGCGTAACCGTCGCAGTTACAATCGTCGTAGGAGCCTCCATCTCCCGATGCCCACACGTAGACGCTGCCCTTGCCTCCGCGGCCCTGAAGGGGCGACGTTGCACAGCAGCCGTCGTCAGGGCGATGGGTGGTTGGGATAGGGCGAGAAACGTGGAAGCTATCCGATGTGTTTTGGGAGCGTCCATAATAAATGACGTCACGCGATTTTGGACGGTTTTTGACCCCCCCCCCCCTCGTCACACGGCGTCAGAAAAAGTCAGACCCCGCCCCCTCAAGTATGACGTCACAAAGCTTTCCCCTCCCCCCCCCAAAACCATATTTCCATTTTGAAAATAAAACATGCTTCAAATCGCTTTAAACTATTGTCATTGTAGTGCGTTGTTAATGTGGCGCTCCACTCTGATTTTGTAGGAGTGTTGTTATAACAATTAGTGTTGTTATAACCAGTTTATATTCATTTAAAGTTGCGCATTTTGATGTGACGTCACATTTCTCAACCCCCCCCCCCCCTCGTCACACATCGTCACAAATGTCTGACCCCCCCCCCCCTAGGTGCGTGACGTCATTTATGTACGGCCCCTTTCGCGTGGCACCGCGTGTTGTTCGGCATGATGCCCGGACGTTTCGCTTCCACGTGCCGGGAGAGCTCCTTCAGGAATTATTCGCGACTCAGCTCCTGAAGAAAGCTCCCGGCACGTGGAGCGAAATGGGGGGCATCGTGCCGAACCGCACGCGGAACTACGAGAAGAGCATTGGTCGAGCTATTCAGCACAAGCCACGAACACCTACGCAGAAGCGAGATGGACGTTCAGCACAGAGATGCTCGAAGAAAAATCTGTACAGCAGAGCTTATTTCCCGTGACTCGCAGCATTATGCGTGGGAGCTGTAGGGTCCGTGGAAACTCATATTAGCTAGCCGTGGCTTTAATTTGCCTATTATCTGCGATTGTCCAGGATTTTTTCCATGTGGACAAGTGGAGTAAATTTGCGGACATCCCCGCGGATAATAGAATCCGCGGTTTTCGCCCCCCCCCAACCCCCCCCCCCCCCCCCCCCCCCCACATTTCAAAACGGATAAGAGGAGTTCCTTTGTAGATTTAATCAGAAAGGGGAGGTTGCGAGAGGCGACGCACACTTGCAAGACGGAGGAGGGTAAGTCAAACAGGGTGGGTAACCATAGGGAAGATCAAACAGCAGGCAGTGGTGGTGGTGGTGAGCCTATAAGAGTAGGCCTTGGAAGCCGCGTGCTGACGACAAGACAACTGTCAATTCTAGCAGAAGCAATGGCGAGGTGGGGGGTGCCACAACAGGCATTAGGTGTGACGACCTCTTGACCCCCTTGACTATTAGAGAGCACTTGCAAGCAGAACACCACAGGAACAAACGGTAACCTCATTGAGGCTCAGCACTCATTCGTCCGGAAGGGTGCTGCTTGTTACATTATGCAAGGTCCTCCTTTTTTCACGAGGAAGCAACAGGAGCACCCCAAAGAATATGTACACGCGCAGAAGGAGGAGGTCACTACCTCCGTACAGGCATGGGACATACCTACTTGCCGTACTGTCTCACACGAATCCCTCAAAAACACTCGTTGTTTGGGCAGCCCCTTTGTTGATATATTGCTGGGTGAAGGCCTCACCACGCCGTGGTGGTCGTGTGGGGTATATGGCCCTGGCCTTACGATGCTGGGTCAATGCGAGTTGGTGGAGGTGAAGGCGGGGGCGGTGGGGTGGCTTGTTGCAGGGCCCAGGACTGGCTCCGGAGTTTGACCTCGGGTCGCCGGATTCAGAGCACAGTGCACTAACCGTTGCGCCACCGCTCCTCCCCAGCCCTCATTATATTTACCTTTTTTAATACACATTGGATATGTACATGCAAACCACGGTGTACGTATATGCCACTTCACTCGCACGGTATTAACCAGAGAGAGAGCTGTTTATTTGTATTCCACACTTCCCTTGTGCATTGGAGTGAGTCTGTCTCCAAGACAATGTCCTTCGCCATGAAAGGGATCAATTGGCTATGATAAATGAACCAAAGGCGTAATGGATCTGTAATGAAATTTCCTTCGTCGTGCTGTTATTGAGCTTCGATGAAGGCCGACACGGCACATGAGGGGGTGGGTGGCTAGCACCAAGGCCGGGCGCCTTTGGTCTCCCGAATGCCGATGTTTACACACCACACCAGGTACTCATTTCAGGCTGAGTCGACCTAGGAAAGGCTCAGGACCAGTTCAAATAATCGTGACTGGTGTTGGTCCTGAGCGGGAATCGAACTCGGGTCACTGTGTTCGCAATGTGCTATTTTCTTTCTAAGTGACTTTACCGAAAGAACGAAAAAGTAAGGCTGTGTTATGGGCATATCGTCATTCACACCACCCTCCACCATCCCTGGTAATTCAATTAATTGTCACGATTAGGGAATCAAAATTTTATTTCAGAACTGATTACTTTTTGTCTCGTCCGTACGATTTTGTTAGAATTTCAGTTAATGACATCAGCAAATCATTTTCACAAAATTCCAATGAACTGCAACATATTGATTCTCTCGCGCACGATTCCGTGCACGCACTTGTGAGCACAAGGAATTAAGTAAGCCAATATGAAATAAACACGTGCCCAGCGAATCACAAGCCAGTGACTCTTGACGCACAACCGCATGCCCCATGAAAGTCGAAAATCCGGACCTTGAGCGAGGGACGTGTCCACGGCGGAACGGACAAACCCCGGGGGATATCCGCAACGGCGACGTGCCGAGATGGCATCGTTTGGGAAACTTTGCAGAGAGCAGACGTCCAGTGACGGCGCAAAACGGCCCTTTCCCGTCGGCGATGCTCGCGGACGCCCCAGCGTAACGAAACCGCGCGTCCGGGGCATCGAGGACGACGTTGCAAATGAGAGCAGGCCTCGGCCAACGAGGATCCCGGATTCGAACCCGCGATCTCGGCTCTCTGAGGTTGCGCGCGTTAGAGTGCAGCGTGGCGTCGTGGTGGCGACACACCCCCCCCCCCCACCCCCACCGAGCGGGATGATGTTCAACGGGCCGCGCGGGGAGCGTGAATGAGTCTGGGTGTTTGTGTGTGTGATGAGCTCACGGGCATCGCGTGATATTTGTCGCGAATTTTTTTTTTCTTCCCACGAACAATTACGTCCGTGCTTTGCGTGATGTGGCATTACTTGAGGTTTTCTCTTTAAAATATGGACGTGCTTAATTCATATTTGTAGAATGTGGACGTAAAAAAATGTCGCTCTTCGGAAGGCTTTCAATATCTTTGTATTGGGATACAATGCGAGAGCAAAGTATAATTATAGTTCAATTATAAAGTGCAGGGACGCAACAGGTGAGAGAGCACGCGGGTTCTCTTCGTGACAGCGCGGACGGGACGCACCCAGGAGACCTAGCGACGAGATATTGTTGCCGCATGAAGACAAAGACCCCCCGTATAGGCTTTGGGGAAAGTGCCGTTAGTGATGCTCACAAGTGCGTGCACGGCACGGCACACGAAGGGGTTAAGTGGCCAGCATCTTCCTAATAAGTCGACCTCGGGGAGGCCCAGGACCGTTTCAAATATTCGTCACTGGTGTTGGCCGTGAGCGGGAATCGAACTCGTGTCGCCGAGTTATTCGTGGAGCGCGCTCACCGCTGCGCCACCGCTCCCCGCACACAATGGCACGTGCGCTGGCGTTAACGAGCGAGCGGAGTAATATTAACGAGCAGGCGCCAAGCTTTAGAGGAGTGCATAGCGTCTTAGCAGGCCACGCGTCGGCGTTCCTCCCAATTAGGCGTCGGCGCGCGCACTCGTCAGATCCTGCAGCGCTGCCTCCGGCCGCACCTCGCGATCGCACGGTCTCTCCCCCCCCACGCCCTCTCGGCTCCCCGCAGCCGCTCTACCGATGGCCCATCCCGCCCCCCCCCCGACTCCCGGAGCGAACCTTGTTGACGCCGTCGGCCATGGCCTGGAGAGTGAGCTCACGAGGGCCGTCCACGGTGCGCCCGTCGTCCGTGGGACCCCAGCTGGCGCTGTAGATGTCGATCATCTGGGGCAGGTGGCTGATGGCCGACGCCTCGATTATGTCAGTCATGAAGGGCTGGTCCAGCATGCGGATGCCTGCAACACGGGGACGCGCGCGACTCACGCACACGGACGTGCACACGCGCGTGCACGGAGCCGTAGAGGCACGGTGGAGCGCAGGGCACTTGCTATTGGCCACCCCCCTCCCCCCGTGCAAAGCGTGAAACGGGAGCACCCCTGCCAAATCTTTACCCTACCCTTGCTAGCGCCCGCGAAGAGACATCTGCTGTTGCCATTGTTGGAAAAGTATGGAGGATCCGTGGATTCGTGATTTGCATTTGACCCGGGATTAGTAGCACCGCCCGCACGCTGGATAGCTACGCCACCACACACACACGGACACGCACGCATGGGCACCAGCACGCACACAACAGCAGGTGCTCGCACATACACATACGCGTACACCTGCATGCAGATCCGCACACACGTACGTGTACGGACACAGACGCACACGTGCACGCCGACACCCATGGCGCACACGTGCATGCACGTGCGGGTACGGGTGGAAGGCACGAGCCACGGTGAATTCATCGCTCTAAGTGCGCTATTTCTGTCACGTGTGCCAATTTCAATCCTGGCTGTTTTCATTTACATTTGTGCTCCGGCAAACCACATCCCCGAGACCCACGATCCCATTCTACGTGTCGGGTTTTGCCGCGCTATTCATTTCCGAAGTGCATTATGCACGGGCACGGCCAAGCGGAACAGCCCATGCCACCACGATCGCCAACCCTACCCCGGCCCTCCTTACCGGCGGCGCGCGCCACGCGCACAACGCTGCACCGCTGCATCAGCCGCACACCCGCGCGTCCCATTCCGCCACTCCGGGAAGGAACAGTCCCCACTTTTGACAGTGAATTTAATTCGTCGTCGTCTTTTAATGCGATGGTGATTTATGCCACGGCCGCCGCGGCCCTGACGTATTGCGCCGCGCGACAGACGGCACGTGCAGAACTCAACAGTTGCTTATTAGCGACGATCGCCCGTTACATTAATTGCTTGGAGGAGTTGGCGAGATGGTGATGGTTGGGTGGGGGGGGAGGCGGGTGTTGGGGGGGGTATCACGCGAACTCAAGTGTGGAGAAATCAAGCCCCGTGGAATAACAGCGCAGACCCTTGACAGGGTACACGCAGTGCCGTGGCCTCGGCAGTCCGAGCGGGGTTACGTCATTGTCATTCTGCCGGGGAGGAGGGAGGGAGAAGGAGGAGGAAAGCGCCCGCGCCGAGCTGTCAAAGGAGCTGATGAATTTGGAAGCCGAGGTTGGGGGTGACACGAGCGTTTGCTGCAAGCAATTTAATTCACGGTCCGCTGCCATTGCCGACGAGAGCACGGGACTAATCTGGGGTGGGGGTGGGGAAAGCGCGTGGACGCAAACTGAGATCAAACGCAACAGGGTCACTAATACGTCTTTTTAACACCGACAGCAAATTTAATGTACGTGATTAGCATCCGTTTTTTTCCCCGCAGGCAACGCAAAAGAAAATAAAACCCGCTTTTAGACGGCGTTTGTCAGTGTTTACCTTTGCAAGCAAGCATGTCGTGATGGAAATCTCCACGTTCGTTTGACCGGGACCGATGTCGCCACAGACTAAGCACTGCTGGCTTCGCGACAATGTGGTGCAAATTTTATCGACCCGAGGAGGATGATGGGTGTGAGCCAGCCATCAAGTCGGATTTCATCGAATGCCTTTTCCACGTGTGAGTGCGGAGCTCTGCGGAATTTCTACACCCGGTGTCATCACCATAAAACTATTCACGCAAGCTAAAATAAGCAACACATGGACGTGCCTATTGTCCCAAGAGTCATTAAGGAGGACCCCGTATTTGGATTTTGGCCAATTCTATTCGCGGGAAGCTCCCACTATGTTAATAGAAACTAGAACACACGGGAGAAAACCCACACACGTATAAGGAAATAACACTCAAACCTCCAAAGAGATGGATTATATAATCAATTGCTTTGCTGCCAGTTCCCGACTACCCTCACAATCAAAATCAACAACACCACCTGGTGTGTCTAGACAGCCTCCCGTCCAATTGCTAAGCGGGCTCCATCACACTTAGCAATCAGGATGTATTGGGGCCCATTCGGGTGATTTTTTTGTCATCAGCTCTAGAAAAGGCGCCTCCACCTTAGGGGCTTGTGCAATGACTGGTACAAGTGTAGTGATTGTTCCGCACGATCCCTGGGACAGAGAAATCAAGAAGGCGGGGGAAAACACTCCACGCTCTGATTGGTTAGAGCACGGAGAGCAAGATGATTGGACGGAACGTTCAAAAAGGGAAAAGTAGCTGGTCGGGTTGGGTGAGCGTCAGGTGGGATGGTTACGCCAGGTGAGGGTGAGAGAGGGTGATGAGTGATGGGGAGCCAGGAAGAGGTTAAAAGAGGGAGCGGGAGGCGAAGTTCGTGGGCATTGCGGGAGAGAGCGGAAAACGAAGGTATGGACCCGTGCCCTGAACAACAGAGACCTTTTCCTTGTGGATAGAGAAAAGGGCGAGAGCCTTCTTTCACAAGCGACTGGGAGCGGTGCGGCGAGCGATGCCTGTGTGGGCAAATACTCGGTGGCCGCCCAGTGCGTGTGTGTTCCATGCGTGCGCGTGGTAATTACTGCACCGCATTACGAAGCCGGCAGCTGTCAAACAATCAGTGGCAACTGCCTGAACGGCGCCTGAGCGTGGTGCTGACCATGCAGCGCCATCGTCCGCCGTGTTGGCAATAAGCCGTGCCCGCGAGCAGCAACTTGCAAGCCGACAGTCCGTGTCGAGGCTACCTGGGGGACCTTTTATTCTTGTGCGTGCGCGTGACTCCGGTACCTGCCACGCGCGAGTTGTACGCGACTCCCACTCCACACACGTTGTTGTTGGCGACTGCAGAAACTTCCCCCGCACAGCGGGTTCCATGGCTGCTCCACACACACACACACAGAAAAAGCCTAGCTTTAGGGGGAAATAACATCATCTCATTTCATTTCCACTCCAAGGCGACGTCGGCGCGTCTCTCTGCTCACTCGAGCATGCAGGGAAGAGGCTTAAATCCACTCGTGGCCGTGAGCCAGATATTCCACGGCGAACATCCCTTTTGTGCAGTCAACCTTTTCGTTGGAGAAGCTATTGCCGACTTCCCCCCGAGGCGGCACGGTGGCGAGATGTTAACTACCTCGCCGGGTATGCAGGAGGTCGGAGAGATCGATCCCGACCCTGACGCCTGCTGCTGTATATTTGGAGTTTGCGTTGTTATTCTCGTGGTCGCGTGGATTTTTTTCTCTGGGTCCTCCAGGTTTTGCCCCCCCCCACATTTAGAAACATGCATTGGGATTATTTAGATTATTTTTGTGCTATAAATGTCCAAATGATGGGGCCACTTTGTTGAGCTATCATTTGCGGCCAGGTCGCTTCTGGAAAATAAGTTAATACCTCAGTGGGCTTTTGCCTTGTACAATGCGGATGGTTTAGTTTTATTTGTATGTTTGGGTGATTTGTTTCCCTCTCGTGTACTTGTTTGTTGTTGTAACGTTCTTACCCTCCCCTACTGGACATCTGTGAAAAAGAGCTTCATAGCTCATCGGATTCCTCCAGTGTCAATATTCTGACTTATATCCAACCTCGAGCGGCGATCATGATTATAATGGGCGTCTGGATTGACCCCGAATCAAGATCGCGACTCTGGACCCTTCCAAATGACGAAGCCAACTGTGGCAGTCTCGGATTCATAATTCTCTCTGACCCCGCGGGGTACACGGCTCGTTTGTCACTGCGCGCACCGCCCCAAGCGCGCGTTACCTGTTGAACCAGTCGTCGGTGTAGCGTGGGTACGGAAAGGGATCGTTGCTGCTGAAGTCGTAGCTGGCCTCGGCATGCTGCGAGCAGAGCAAACACGGATTGATTAACTTGCCCGTCGCCTCGCCTGTTATAACCAACGCCGTAAGAATTAATCTGTTCAAAGTGGCGTTTTGTTTTACGCGAGCCCTCTGTCGGAGGGTTTAATTGGATCGCGGCGTGAACGTGAATCTGGGCGTCGTTTCGCCTCTCTACGCACCGAGATGGGATTATTCGGCACAAATGCGTAGATTCACTCCGCTCTTTGTTCATTAGGTTTGGTTCATTGCTGTTGACTGGACCACCCTTTGGAGTGGCTGATGGTGGAGACTGGGGGAACTGCGTAGGTGATCAGAAGTAATACAGTTTTCAGTTTCAGTTTCATTTATTTAGAATAACCCTGTGAGCCACTCTTGATTCGGGTGCAACCGCAACAAACAATAAAATTACAAGAGACATTTAAAATTGACTGTACGCAAATTGAAACATCCCCTACAAAAACAATAAAATATTCCAGAAAAAAGCACCATTTGTTTATGCTGCGTACAAAAATGTGAACAAAAAATCCCAATACGACTCTCCCCACTCCTCTCTGAGTCGCCTCTTCCTTGCTTCCAAGACCTTGGCACCGGCCAAGCAGTGATGCCATAGTAGGTTATGAAATGAATAAGCGTACAATATATCGTCTCCATGTATCCGTCTACTTCACATAAAGTAATGCGTTTCTTCCACAACCCATCATAGTACGGCCTTCTGTGAGTATTGTACTTCCGTCAGTACGGATGGCCCCGTGTAGGCGATGGCTTGTGAAAGACTTTTTTTATTGTCGCAGAGAGACGTACATATGGAGTCGAATTGTCCGCTTCTCTATTTTATCATCTGTTCTCTACAATGACGCTTATGATTATTTTCAGTCATAGTACGTACTGAATTTTCAGGGGTTTTTCTTCTTCTTATATTAAATAAGTTTGGGGTGACATTCGCATATCTCAAAATGTGGCCTTTCATGTCGCTTATACTGTTGCCATTTACGAAGACAAAGATCCCCTGTATAGCCTTAGCAGGCTGTTGGGGCAAGTGCTGTTAGCGAGCACCTATGAAGAACTGCACGGCACACGAGGGGGTGGGTGGCCAGCAGCACGCCCGGCCGCCTTTGTCTCCCTAGTGGCCAATGTTTACACGCCACCGCACCAGGTACTCATTTGAGATATATAAAATATATATATATACCATTCCGGACAAAAAGCATCAGCATGTACACAGTTTGTTACGGCACTTACTTGTAATGTAATTTAGCAATGTGTTTCATTGTTGAAATGTCACCTTTTTCCCACGAATACACACGTTCTTTTTCAATCACATTATTGCCATTACCCCCAATTTCAAGTTTTAATGTAGGGCTGAGCAAAACTAAACAAAACCGACAATTCCAGTGATTTCACTTTTCAACAAAACCCATTTTTTGTTGTTCCAGAATCCTAATTCTACGTGATGCGTTAAACAAGGTGGGGATTGTCACACGCAGACCTTCATTGGAAGTACATTACAAATCCATTCCATTCACACTGTCAGCCTGGTTAAGTGCTCATTCCGCTCACTACACTTTTACTACTTGCTCATATATATTTATTTGTATTGCTGCTGCAGGCCGGGTACAATGTTGCACATCCTCCCGCATTAGTTAACCATTACAAAGCTAAGCCACTCGATGTCGAACAAGCCATTCGGGCGCCCACCAGCGTAAACCTTGCACAATGCAAGTGGGCAGAATTCATGAGCCACTTTAGCTTGTGTTGTTCCTGTGTGCGCGTGACTCGTCGTCTGTGTCCCCTCCCCCCTTAACCATTCAAAGCGTCTTCTTGACGATGCTCCTGGCTGATGGTGAAGGAGCTTCGAGGGCTGACTGTAGGTGAGGGCTGAACGATTTGGGGAAAATATCTCATTGCGATTTTTCTGACATATTGCGATTTGATATGCGATTACATTTTTTTTAAGTCAAGCTTCAGTTCAATGTTCGCTGTGTGATAGATTTAAAACATGTGATGGAGCATTACCACGTGATACCATCAAAATAGAAACTGCTCAATATATTGTAATGCAAGGATGAGAACTTAAAAGATATGCATTGCTTCCAACATGTATTTATTAAAATGTGTTAATTGGAATAGAACAATCAAACATAGAACAATTGTTAAGTTAAATAAATAAAATTATAATAATAAAAAATATAACAATTCCAATAACACAGTAAGATGACTTTTCAAATCGTAAAACATCGCAGCCTTTGCGATTTGCTAATCGCATTGTTTCAAATTGCGATTTCGATTTTAAATCGATTAATCGTTCAGCCCTACTTAAGAATCATTGATGCTGCTCTGCGAATAATTTATGACGTGCCACATCCGTATCGCATTATTTTTGTCCTTGTGCCCTATATTCCTATAAACTTGTGCTAGCATTATAAGAATAGGGTGCGATAATATAGGATTATGGATTCGCGTGTCATGTATCTCTAGTGGGAGTGCCTTACGCCGACAAATCACTTTTTAAGCCAGCCTACAGCGGTGTTCCCAAAAATATCGAGCAAGGAATTCAGCCCTGGTCGTGTGTGGTGTCACGGTGTCGAATGTCAACCTCCAGATATGCGCTGCAGTGGGAACAACGGAGGATCAATGGCGCCGTCACATCGTCTTTGATGCCACGGTGGCTCACTTTGCTGTGAATCTCAGAAACCGGTGGTGTGGTGCCACAGCCACTGCATTCAACTCCCTACTCCGCTTGTTCTTTGCGTTGCAGCTTCTCGTTAGGTGGTGACACCTCCAGGTGCGCACGGTGCACACAGGAGAACGCATTACTCAGTTAAAATAATGATCGTAGTGCGAATAAAAAATAATAATCTAACGTATACAACCGTCCACAGATCCTGTTGAGGCTATGATCAAATCACCCTGGGCGTGCACCACCTCATCAGAGCTCACGAAGCTCAGCAGCACAGATCGCTGGGCGTTACGCGCGCCAACGCCGCTCGCGCTTCGGTACGGCGACGGCAGCGAGCGAGTGTGCGTTGACTCACGTAGTTTGCGGCAAGGTCCGGGTGAAGGTAGTCAATACCTGCGGGTCGATGGACAAAACATCAGCGGTGTAACACAACACCACCAGCGTTCACAATAACACCTTTGTAAAACGTGGCCTTGTGTTTTTTTTTAACAAAAACAAAAAGGACCCACCGTCATCCATGATGGCGATGGTGACTCCTTTGCCCGTGTAGCCGAGTTCCCAAGCCTCCACCACGTTCAGATCCAGTCCAGGTTTTCCATCTGCCTGCCCCGTGTTTATCTAGGACATCGAGAGGCAGCCGTGGGGAGGGGGGGATGGGGTGCGAGGGTGGTGGGGGAGGCACAGGAGAGCGACAGCGCAACAAAGACATCAGAGACGTATTCACCAGGACTGTGAATATGGTGCTGCATCATGGAACACTTGAGGAAATGCGTGTCCGCTTAAGAGCTCACAGGTGCACGACTTCTGCTTGGAGTGCATTTTCCACGGTATGGACATCCACCACTCGTCCGCGCAGAGAGGCCCAACGAATTTGTCACGTATCGATTTGTCACGTATCGCGTTATTTAATGATTTGTCATGGGCTGCTAATTTCCATCGTTGGAAGAGCCGCGACTGCCGAGAAGCACACGTGACAGCAGACACATGTGACGCCATTGTTTTCATCGCGTCAGAAAGCGCCTCTTTAGCCCCTAAGTGCAGTGCTTTTAGTGTTCACTTTGCATGTTAGCCTCAGGTTGCAAAACGCACGCAAAGTAACATTAATTCGGGAACCATTAGCAAATGAAGCCCATGTATAGTGACGAAGGTTGCCACCTCTTGAGGTACACAGTACAACCAGACCATATAATGGGAGGAATATATCACAATCCTGGAGGAAAGGAGAGCTGCGTGTACACGCGTTGCTTTGAGTGTTGTGCTCTTTTTATTTTAAACACCTCATGTACTGTATGTATGTATGTTGAACTTCGTTCGTGCCGTACGTAGCCAACCATACTAATCGGAGGTGGAGGGAAGAAAAATTACTCGTAAAAAAAACCGGGAATTGTAATGTTTCGCAGAAGACTTACAGATGAACCCGGACCGCTGACTCAACAAAAATGTGAACAATCCCAGGTGAACAATCCCAGGTGATCCGAGACAAGGTGGCGACCGTAACAATCGAGGCCCCTTGGCGGTCGGGGATGGCGCTTGCGATCAAAGGGGTCCTCCCTACCAGGTACCACTGCTTGCTGAAGAGCGGGTCGTTCATGTCGATGTTGAAGTTGTCCAGGGACTTGTATCCGCGCTTGTTTCGCGAGTATCCCTCCTGCTGCACCACGCGCTTCACCTGCCGCACGCGTCCACGGCACGAGGAACAACGGGCGGGAGGGAGGGGGAGTAAGGGCGACTGCGGTGACAAACGCCCTCGATTGTGGGTCCCAGAAAGGATGGCAACGACAGTGGTGAATCTGTCGCTCGTCTCAATTTCCGGCCCGATGAAGCTCGAAGTGAAAATTTCGCATTGCCACGGCGGTCGGAAGCCTCTCCGTCTTAAATAGATGTGCGAGACTTGATTTTTATTTTGTTATCTGAAGAAACTGAACAAAAATGTAACATTGTAAAATATAACGAGTGTATTGTGAGCGTGACGATCACGATGGGTTTCAAAAAACAAAACGGCCAAATTGCCTCCGGTCATTGGGTGGTTTCTGCACCAGCGGTGTTCATCGTTGTGATGATAGTTATATTAAAGGATCTTATTTCTCTTACTATATTTTGCTACGATGGGGGAAGGAAGGAGATTTGGACAACGCACGTGAAGTCAGAACTACACGTTTACGCGAGTCGCCACGGTGGCGAGATGTTAACTACCTCGCCTGGTACACATGAGGTCGTGGGTTCTATCCCGACCCTGATGCCTGCTGTATATTTTGAGTTTTCATGTATTTATCCCCGTGGTCGCATGGATTTTTTTCCCGGGTCCTCCAGATTTTCCCTCCACATTTTGAAACAGGCGCTTAAGAGTATTTGGCTGCTATAAATGTGCACATGATAAGCCACTCCGTTGAGCTATCATTCGTGGACAAGTTCGCTTCTGAAAAAGAGCTGTAGAGCTCAGTGGGCCTTACCCGGTAAAATAAATAATAAATAAACTATACATAAATAAGTCAAACGCCTCGAGTGTTGGAGAACAGCAATCGACTAGCCAAGCGCAGTGGCAGGACAGGTGGCCTGAGTCACCTATGCGTGCTCTCAGTCACCTGCGCGCGCTGTCACGCATGGTAATGTCCTCTTTACAGCCCCACGCCCCTGCTTGGCCGAGCTCCAACACGGCAAAACTGCACTTTGTTAAATGAATGCTGGCTGACGGGCTGACGATGTCGGTTCCAAGTCGCGGGAGGCACAATAAATGTAATTCGCAAAGGCTTTCGAGGTGTGTGTGTGGGGGGGAGGAATTTGAGTAAAGGCGGCCCTTCAGGCCCTCAAAGATGTGATGGGGGGATAGAGTTGCGTGTGTGATCTCCTCCCCCCCCACACCTCTGCCTTCGCCTCCGCTGAGAGCCCCTTAGCAGTTTACTTACACGGGGCAATAAAGTTGTGTTCACTCGGCATGCCCTTTTCGTCAAGGCTGGCCCTGACTGAATCCATAATAAAATGTGTTCACGGACGGAGAATGAAATATTCTTCATATCCACCGCAACTGGTTTAGTCGCTGTGTATGTGGCTGCGCGTAAAAGCATAAAGCGCAGCCAACAATGACTATAGCAAGATAATAAATTCACGTTTAGCTATCAACTCGCTTAAATGTCCCCTCTTGATGAGCACTGTCCTGCAGCTAAATAAAAAAAGCCATCTGGAATTGACGACACCTGGAATGATGATGATGATGATTGCGTGCGGAGGAGGCAGAGTAGCCATTGAATGCTGCTACTTAAGCCGCTGGGCACAGCGTATTAGAGCTGAGCAGAGCGAGCTTTGGAGATTGGCGAAACAAAACAGGAGCAGGCAATGCCCGTTGTGCACACTATCACGCCACACACAGCGCGCGTTTAAATGATTCAGTGTACAGTCCCTGTTAAATTATTCAGTCCGCGATGCCCAAAATCCACAGTCCTCCACGTGCCCAGGCCTCCTGCAGCTGCTCTCGAGCCTCAATGGCTCAACGAAGCCGTTTATTCATTTTCATATTTTGCTTTCTCGAATCGTACAAAGCTGCAGCTCCAAATCCCCCTACCCCTCCCCATAATGAGCGGAGGACAGGCGCGGCGAGCCCAGAGCGAGTGCTCGTCGCATCTTCACGATGATGTGAACGCATGCGGTATAAGGAATTTAAACGCAGGCCCCAAATCTCTCACCCCGTAGGAACTCTCTCAAATTATCCCCCATTAATAATGCAGCTCAGGCTCGATCGGCACGGCAAAGCCAACGCCGCGTGCGCGTGTGCGCGTGCGTGTCTCTGTGTGTGTCTTTGGAGCGGTGGGAGCAGTGGTGAGCGCACTGGGCTACGAAACCCGACGCAACGGACGCGAGTTCAATTCCCGCGCATGGCCATTAACTGCGGCGAATACAGTATCTGAACCGGTCTTGGACATCTTCGTTAGGTCGACTCAGCCTCAAATGAATACCCGGTGCGGTGTGTAAACATCATCACTGGGGGAGACAAAGGCGGCCTGGTGTGGTGCTTGGCCCACACCACCCCCTCGCGTGTTGTGTCGGGCCTTCGTAGTTCGCTCGCTAGCAGCACTCGCCCCAACAGTCTGGGAAAGGCTCAACGGGGGATCTTTGTTGTGAGATCAATCTGCAGAAGGCGAGCACCCGATTTTCCTTCTCCGCAGCTGGGATGCATTTGTGATGACCGCGAACACTGTCCCAATAATACATCCAGGAATACTCTTTATGTAATGATGCGGGTGAAAAAAAAAATGACAGATATAATAAAAAAAAAGATGTTAGACGGCGACTTTACACGCAGAGGAACGATGAGTAAATAAGACGGTACATGTGGGATTTTTTTTTACATATATAATTCTAATACAGTACATTATCATCACCAGCCATGACCTATCTAATCCACTGCTGATTGAAGGACTACCCAAGTCCTGATTATCGCTCAAAAATACGCAACGTGTTATCTTTAGTAATCGGAAACAATGGGAGTCCCATCGGTAAATTCTCAAAGCGAGCGCACAAAACACACGGGACACACGTCGCAAGATTACGGCGAGCATGAAACAAATGCACCGGCCCCTCCATGGAAATACGAGAGTCTTCACGGTCTTATGAAAGTCACTGCAGAACGGCAAAATCAGCTCGACCGTAACGAAATGCACGCGCTCACAGCCTTTTCGGTCTGAATTTCCGCTATGCGACTCAGGCCCACCACCCACACACCGTGCGGGTTTCCACGGGAGGGGATATTTGATCATTCTCCATCCAACCACACCGCTCAGGGTTGTTGAAGGTGGGCAGCGTAAGAAGACATCGGCGCATGGTGGAGGCGCAACGGTGGATTCTTGCTGCGACGCATCCCGCACGGCAGCGTACAACGTCTGGAATATTCCAGACGGTCGCCCATCTTCAGCGCTATCCAGGCTCAAATCAGCCGAGCGTCACGAGAACAGTTGAAATCGGGCTCATACCCGGGTGGGGGGGGGGGGGGACGTTTAATTATGAGGCGACGCATCAAAAAACGCCGTTCACAAAAAAAAGCAATTCCTGTGCCTTGCCACCACGCACTCGGCAAGGCACGTGGGCGCACGCCAGTTGCACGTGAACTCCCCACACCATCACCCCGTGACTGGCTCACATTATGACCGAGCCAGGGCCTGGCACCGACACACCGTGGGCGCCCCCCCCCCCGCCCCAGCTGGCAGGGAGGCATCGTTCACAGCAGAGCGACGATGTTCCTGAAGCGTGCAAATTGAGTCTATTTTCACTCGCTTCAGAGACGGACTCATTTAATTTGTTACCCAGGGGGAAAAAAAAACCATGACAAAAAAACCCATTGTACGATACGATGTCATTTCAAACAAATCTTGGCCTCAATGTGGCGTTCCTTCTGCCATGAGCTGTAACGTGGCTTTCTTTGGTAGCGGTGTGACCGAGGACACGGTTATAATTGAAGTTTAGAGTTGTAACGTAAATTAAACTGCATCTCAAGAGGTTGTGCTAAATAGCTTGATGTTCATTCGTAATGTCAGATGCAATTGAGTAAAATAAATAGTCATCGGCAGAGGAAAAGCGGAAGGCCTTGGACCTAGATTCGAACAGGGGGTATGCATGTTGAACTTCTTTCGCACCGTACGTAGTCAACTGTGCTAATCGGACGTGCGGGCGAAAGACCACAAACTAAACACACACAAAGTAGAGATTTGGCAAGGCACGAATGGCCGAGGGTGTGGGATTTCCAGGCCACAATCGCAGCAGCTGAGCAGGAGTTGACGTGTAGGCAAATAGAGTGAGTCGAGATGGGAGAGCTTGTTAGGGGTGAGTGCGTGGGGTTGGAGGGGAAGATTTCGATGAGAGATAAGCAGGGGTGAGTCGATGGAGGGGAGTAAAGTGAGAATGAGAGGCGTTCGATCGGTAGGGGTGAGCGCATGGTGGATCTCACGTAGAGGTGACATGCTGCCAGCCAGGTCGCGCTCCCATAGACTACCTCGATCTTTCGCCGTCGCTCGAGTTATCCTCGGTGGCCACGGCTGCTCAGGGCGGCAAATTGATGCGGTGAAAGTGTGCACATGTGCAAAATACCTCCCGCTCCGGAGAGATATATACCTCCTCGAGTCAGCTGTAAATGCGCTCATAGCTCGCCCTGCGGGCACGCTGGGACGGACACGCGTCACCTTTTGGCTGAATAATGGGAGCCCAGCACGCCGAAATACAAACAGCGAAGCCTCGGTAATGAACGCCTGCCGGCTGCGCAATTCCTCCGCGTGTCACTCTGGCTCCCTGGGCGTCTTACCCTGGGGTCCCTCTCGAGGCGGAGGTGGTGAGAGAAGCTGCGCCGCCTTCTCGCCCGCGCGGCCGCAGGGTGGGAGAAGTGGAAGAGGTCCTGAGCAAAGTGGAGCTGGGGAAGGGGGTGGGGGAGGGTTTGATGAGGGCGTCAGACTCGCAGCGGCCCCGCATACAAACCGTGATGCTTACATACACACACATAGCACGCAGTCACACACACATAGCACGATGCTCGCAGGCTGTCTCACACACACACACGCGCGCGCCGAACGAAAATGTATGTATGTTGAACTTCTTTCGTACCGTACGTAGCCAGCCGTGCTACTCATGTGCACGCGGTGACAGACGCTTCGTCACGATTATCTCTTTCAGGAGGGGTGCTGCCACGTTATCGCAAGAAGGACAATGTTGCTATGTGTAATCCCATTTGAGTGATTTGCAGGATTTTTTTCAGCGATAGGAAATTTGGCCAACAATACCAGTGACACTGTGTGTACCAACAACAACAAAAATCAAATTGCTTACATCACACAGAGACAAAGATCCCACATATATCCTTAACAGACTGTTGGGGCAAGTGCTGTCGAACCCGGGTCGCCAGGTTCCTAGTGCAGCGCGCTAACCGCTACACTACCGCTCCCCAGTCATTCACACACTCATACGAACATCGTGACACACTTACCAATGCACCATGATGCAAACACGAGGTCACCCACACCATGACAAACGCGCGCACACCATGGCACAGTACATGACGATCTCCCAACCAAAGAGACAAAGATCCCCCGTATAGCCTTAACAAACTGTCGAGGTAAGTGCTATTAGCAAGTATCTATGATGTCCGGCAAGGCACACGAGGGGATGGGTTGCCAACACACCGGTGGCGATGTGTACACACCGAACCAGGTACTAATTTGAGGCTGAGACGGCCTAGGGGAGGCCCAGGACCGGTTCAGATAATCGTCACTGGTGTTGGCTGTGAGCGGGAATCGAACTCGGATCGCCGGGTTCATGCTAACCGCTACACTACCGCTCCCAATCAAGCACGCACACACCAGCATGCACCCTAACGCGCACATACACACGCTACGCGGCACGTCCTCTGTTTCAAATCAATTGCTTTATCTGATGCGCCATTATTTACGTTGCGGTGATTTTTTATTATTTATTTCCCAGATTTTGAAAAATAAATACGAGGACAGCCATACATTTAGCCAACGTAGCTCTGGGTATATGGCCCAGTAAATGCTAACATTTTGAATATAAACTAACAACGCCAGTCTACTCCCATCAAAATATAAAAATCGGTCATTGATATACTATGTGCCCAGGTAGTGCAATATCTTACCAATTCGAGTTGGCCAAACATCCCAATATAGGACCACAGAGCTTGGATAACCCTTGGCGTCGGTTCTCGCTGTCCTCGATGCTTGTCGTTGGTTCTCGCGAACCTCGGTGTTAAAATTCTAGGCTCGTTACAGTACTTCGACAACGATCTGAGTTGCAATTTCCATGAATTATGCTATATGAAATACAATAACAATCAGCAATAATATTATAATAACAATGACTCTCTGGTCAAGCTTTAGACAAAACTGGAGTCTGATTCCGTGCGACCGGATTACATCACTGAGTCATCTGCTGTGTGGAGGCGCTGGCCGATAACATTGTGTCGCTGTTTGAGAGGAAGGACCTCCATATTCTGGGCAAATTGAATCAGCTGGCGTAATGAAGCAGCACATATTCATTTCACCGCTCTGTGGAAGGGGGAAAAAAACCCTGAGTGGTATTAGCCTCACTGAAATAGAAATATCCTTTGTGTGATGCATTGCAGCATGGTACATATTGTAAGGAGTAATTATTTGAAAATGTATCGCTTTGTTCGTGTAAAAAATGGCCACTTGCAGTTGACTTCCGTGAATACCAAGCGAAAAGATAAAGAACGTGTCCACCGAAGGAAGACGTCTCGGCTCTTAAGCGATTGTACTGGCAACGCTAAGTTAAAACCACCGAGAGACCATCCACCGTCCGAATTACACGGCCTGCTGGCACGTCACGAGGTGTCCTCCGGGGGGGGGGGTAGGGGGGTCAGGAACGCCGACGAGTCAAACGATTGCGGCCACCCTCAATTGGCCGGCGTCTCCGAGTCAAAGTCTCCGCGGCCGGTAGTAGCCCCGCGCCTTCGGTGGAGGAGGTAAATGCAGACATCGATCTCGCACCAAATCAGGTAACCATGTTTTCCCTCTCTTGCGGCTCCAGGATGATAAGCAGCATTGGAGGTTGGAGTGGGGGGGGGGGGTTCTCGCCGTGTGCCGTAATAGAGGTTCATCAAGATGAAATCACTCTCATCTGTCCGACGCTGACGACACAAGTCGCACATCAGAGACTAATAAACTAGAAGACGCAGCCACTACCGGGAAGGGGGGGGGGCTGGGACAGGGAATGGGGGTGCATCGGTCATGCATTGCAAAGATCTAAGAATGTGACCTTTAACATCGGGAGTGAATATGAACTCATGGGCGCTCTTTGTGGCCTTCTTGTTGGGACCAAGATATGGAAACGTTTAACAATACTGCTTGTGTTGTGGTCATTGCAAACATAATGCCTTGAATAAAGGTGTCAGTTTTTGTGCCAGTTAAAAGGGTAAAACCTATTCCTATTTCCAATATGCCAATATTTTTTATTTGTTTAATGCAATGGCTCTTGGCATGATTTTTAAGAACAGAGTGTTTGAAAAAGATGGACCCGATTTGAAATCGCTATATCTCTGCAACCACGAACCGCCCATGAATGAAACTCTTACCGCTTGAAAGAGTTGCAATTGATTACCGCTCGATGCCTCTCCCAGCGCACAAACAGCCCCTAGCCTCAGTCATTCGCAAGACAACACTGCCTCAACGTTGGATAGGTGCACGGAACCCCAAGACTTGGCGCTACACTCTTGGCCCCCTGCGACTTTTTCTTGTGCACTTACGTCAAAGAGCCGTGGTGTTTTTGTGCCACCATTAGCGACTAATCTGGATGACCTCAAAAACAGAATCACGGCAGTGGTGACTTCAGTGGAAGAAGACACTTTGAGAGGCGTTTGGGACGAATTCAACTATGGTCTCGATGTTGTCCGTACAGCAGGTGGAGGGCACATAGAGCATTTATAAAAGGGTTAGTAAAACTTGATAACGCATTAAACCGTTTGTAACTTTTTGTGTAATTGTAACATGTTGGCATCGTGAAATATACTGCTTTGAAATTGGGTCCATCTTTTAGATATGTATAATGAAAATGCCGTGTACAGTGTCGATTTCAAAGTTCACAGTCTTAAACCTTATCAATATTAAAATCAGGTCGGTTAACCTCTGCACGAAACATGTCTCGAAGCAAGCGCAAGACCCCTCACCCCCCCCCCCCCCCCCCCCCCCCAACGATGCATGCGCGGTATACAGTGCGCGCTCATCTCGTAATCCACACGGAAATCCGTCCCTCGTCTCAGTGTCGCGATGGTGGCAACCATATCTTCCGACTCACATTGGGCACTTTACAACAATATCATAACCCTATTTATAGCCACGGAGCCAGAGACGAATTTATGAGCCTCGCGAAGCCAGAGGCTGCTGCTTCCTTAGTGCTCACCCTCGTTTAACCCATGGCAGATCGTGTGGACAGCTTCTTGCACAACGCCCATTGCACTAAAATGGGAAATGTGCGCCATCATATTTATATACACGGCTAACCTTGCGGCAAAACGAGACCAAAGCATTCAGCAATTCGTAGCCACTGTACACCTTGTATATATATATTGCAGTGTAAATAGTTTTTGCATAATGGGATTGTAATAGCCCATGGACCAGAGCAAAAATAAAAAAAAAACATCTAATGTGCCTTTTGTTGTCGTGAAAACCATCTTCTGTCTCCGTAAAAAAAACAACAACCGGGTTATAATATAATTCACAACACAGTGCACAGTTTGAATACGAGCGCAAATGTAGACTGCGAGCAGGCGTGGGGAATTCAGCCGCATGCTCTTGGCGTGAAATCTGCAACCTACAATCGGAGCCACGCTGGGGGTTTTGCCACAGGAGGCATGCCTCGGGAACAGCACGCCGCGATTACACAGAATACAACCCAGGATCGGTGAGCACGGAACGCCTCTTGCAGTTACCCATCGCAAACGACGGTGATTAAACAGCAGTGGCGGAGGTGGGGTGGGAACGGATGGCATCATCATCACTCGGGCAGTCGCGTCAGTCATGACCGACCGAGTGGTCACTGCGCGTTTAAGGACATCGATGATCCTGAAAGACGTTGGTCCTCCAAACGTCGGCACGCGAGAACCAACATCGCGCCGTGCGAAAACCCGACCTGTGTATACGCTGAGCTCCCGCCGCCACGCTAACGACTCTTGACGGTCAGCGAGGTGCAATGAGAGCACCGCAGAGGCAAGGGAATGGTGGGCAAATGGTGGAGTGAATCTTCACACAAAACGAGGTGGCGCCTGCCGCTGCTGCACAGAAAGCGCTCCGTGCTCAATCCCGGCGACTCAGTCTGGAGGCAGTGGAGCTAGATTCTTCATTTCGGCCAGGCTGGTCCGGATCATGAAAACCCGGAAAATATTTCCGCACCCGGCACATCACATCCAGTATACCCCCTAATTTGACTGTGGAAAGTAGTCACGCGTCTATTCTAGTTTTACAGACCACCCTGAAAACATGTTCATTGAATATATTATGCCTTGACTTTAATAATGTCACACACACTGCGAGCTTGTATCAAATATAGAACATTCTAATCATGCGTCCCTGGGCAGCAGCTATCGGTTTTACAGCTCTGGAATTAAAATGAAGGCGGCGCTCGTGTAGTCGCGGTGTTAAGGTCACCGCTCGCGCCGACGCGCCTAGCGGGGAAGTTTGACGAGAGTTATAAATGTTACGACAATTATGACCAGCGATGGTGCGGACTGATCCATTTAGAGACTTGTATCCGCTCCTTAACAACGGTGGAATTCGGAACTCAATGAACGCCGCTGCTCGACTGAATAACATCACATGCGCACGAGAGCCGACACTATTGAACGCCCCTGTGCAGAGTGCTGCGGTCAGCGCTTTGCACAAAGCACAGCCGATACGACACACGCGCAAGGGGCTTGCGCGTGTGTCGTAACACGGCTCTAGCTTTAGACCGGCAACGTGTCGCCAAGACAATTGGAGGTCATTGCGGCCGATTGTCATTGAAGCACCCCACAACTCGCCGCCCCTCCCTTCTTCCATTCGCTAGATTATCCCTGGTTGTTGTAAAAGTCCACGGACCACAGCAGGCATTTGCATCACCGACAAAGGTAGAACAACTTTCGCAGTACCGATTTATTCACACGGCTAATGAGAGTGAATTACTCAATAACCCCTTTCATTTCAAGTGGTTATCACGTAATCCACTGTTATTTGGCCAGATAAAGAAATTGTAACCGCTACATTTATGCCACCTCGGGTGGTACCGGTAAGTGAAATAGCTAGTCTGGGCTTAAGGGTTATACAGCTGCAACCTGACCTTCAGGATTCACCCGTACATAAATTAATTGTCTCTTGCACGTATGCGCACTCAGAGAAACCCATGAACAACGCGTATGTATTACACATACTGTGTGTTGCATCGGCGTCTGGACCGCAACGGGTGCGCAGGCTAATGGACTCCGCTCGTAAAGCGGAGCTGTCCCTCCCGCTCGTGGTGCTGAAAGTGAGCGGCGCTCGGCCACAGCATCGCGCCCCTACAGCACGCGGTGCTGCGCACGAAGACATCGTGAGCGGATAAATAACAAAAAAAAAAGTTACAATTTCAAAGACGATTCCACTACGAGCAAAGTAACGCGAGAAATGTTCGAGCGATCCGCGCGGCTCTGCGGCGCCCGGCGGGAATCTATTAGCATCCACGCGCGTGTCGGGAGCGCGGATCGCGAAGCGCCCGTGCGGTGTGCGCGGGAAGTACCTGGCCATGGTTGATGAAGCCGCGGTCCCGCGCCACTTGCCCAGCAACGCCGAGGTCTCCCTGATGCAGCTGCACCAGAAAATGGTTCGTGAAGAGCGGGTCGCCGCTCACGAGAACCAAAGCGGTCAGCGGCAGCAACGCGAGAAGGGTCACCCCGGCGTTGCACGCGCTTCTCAACCGCATTACGCCTCTGTGGCTCCTACTCTCGTCGAGCGCACTCCACTCCTGCTACTAATAACAACAGCAGCAGCAACAGCAGCAGCAGCGACACTACTCCCTAAGCATTCAGTAATAACACATCGTTGGGCAACGTCTCAGCTCAAGTGTAGGGCCGCTTATGAGCGCGGCTTGCGCGGGTCGCCCCTCCCAGTCGGCATGTCTGCGCGGAGGGGAGCGGCGCGAGGAGTATAAATACGAGCGGCCGGCGCGCTGGCTGTTTGTTTCTCGGCGCTAACGCGGAGCGGATCGTCTCGGCCGACGGGACGGATCATCTGTATAATTCATGAAGGTTTGCGCCGCGAGCCGCGAGCAGGGAGCCGCGTCACCGCGCGTCACTCAGCCGCCCTATAAACCCTCCCGCGCACCACCCCCGCTGGAGTGGGCGCACACACGAGCAGCAGCAGCGCTCAACTCTACCGCGGCGCGCACTGCCTCGTGGGGGGGGGGGGAGGGGGGTTGCGATGACCTATTATTGTTGTTGCTATTATTAATCTAAGGGCGCAGCGTAGCGGCTCCGTCATGCGGAGGTGGCCCAGAAGAGAGGGGCGATTTCTGGAGCGGCCCCACAGTGAACACCGCTTGTGCGGGGTGTCCTAGTTACGACGAGCTCGCGTATTCGCTGATATTTCACGAAGGCGCTCGTGGGGTCCCGTGAGATTTAAAGGCTTGCTTCGGTCGGGCTGGTGTGGTGTGGGGGGTGGAGATATCCTTCCCCTAGCTCAGCCCGCGGATTCCGCTCGCTGGCAGCGCTGCCTGTAAATCGTGGAGTGGAGTGGGGCCGCGCGGAACGGGGCGCTCCCTGTCCCCGGCTAATTCGCACGGCGAGTTTCCCACGAGCGCGCGCCATCGACGGGGGTCCACGTCCAGAACGCACGGCACGCGCCGAGAGCACGGCCGAGGCATTTCTAACATGAAGCTCTGTGAGCGACGTCCCTTAGATGACTCATTTTTCCTCTCGGACTATGTCTCTTATATAACATATACAAATTCAGGGCGCTAGATTGGTGGCTTTAGTTCACAAGCGCACACGTTGGAAAAAAAAAACATTCGCCCCGTTCGTCATTCTCACTGTCTGGTAAGGGTAAAATAAATAATAGACTGACGTTTCGGGAAATAGCTCTTCTGCAGAGACATCCGAGATAATGGCTTATATATTTAAAATAAGCAGATAATATGATTATTTTTCTTATCTGCTCCTCCACGAATAAAATGTGTTTTAATTTTCACACATCCTATCAACCAGAACGCCTTCTGAGCGTCCATAATTCCAGCAGCATTGGTTCAACGCAAGACATTTATGGACTTATTTCGACATTCGACGTGGCATCAGCGGAGTCGGGCTTTGCTTGAACTAATGCCGGCAAACTGCCACACATGTTCGTTAAGGGCACTCCCCGAGATGAATCCTAGTTCGTCGCATAAACGATATAATTTGTTATTATATATTTAACAGCTGCCTCTACATAGGTCTATATTACACTTGACGTCCCTCCGAACAATGTGTCGACAAAAAACGATCGCATATTAATTTGTGCAAAAACCTGCGTTTCGTATTACAGTCCATTCCCGCCCGTGCGTGAAATTTGCAAAAACGCCTTGCTCCGAGTTAACGTGACTTGCTACCACTGCTGTGGCTACCGTTTATAGATGAAAGGAAATCGTAAAGCACAAAGGGAGAGACTTAGTCTCGCATTTAATAGACTAGAATCGACCCCGCCATGCTTGCGTACGCTCCCCCATCACTAACAACAACAACAACTACTGCAATGGATACTCATGCAGCGTCTAAATGCCACAGCATCTCGATGCGATTCACTTCGCGAGGCCATGACACAGCAGCATGGGTAGGGATGCAATGTGAGATTTTTTTTAAAGCCAATCCGGTGCTCCACCAAAGAACTCTAGTGACGTCATTGTGCACCCCCCCAGTAGTGGTGCGACTGTGGTCATCCAGAACAGACCATACAACGTATAACGACGCACTGCCCCGATCCATAAACTACGAAGGAGACGGTGATGCACTCTGCTGCTCCTGACGCGGTTATCTATCTGGCTTTGGTTACCTGAATGTGAAATTGTAGTTCATTCCCAGCATCTACATCAACCATACGGAAGAAGAAGCTTGTGCACGCCCCCCCCGCCCCCACTGTTCAATATCACCCCATGTTTCTATCACTCAGTGATGGGGACGTCACCATCGCGTTGATCGTCGAAGATCCCCACGATGCGCCAGACACTCACACTCCCCCCGTGCCACCTTGCTCATAACTCAAATCAATCGTCCATGGCGTGTGTGATATTTTGCTCAAACCAGCAGAGCGCTTGGAGACGCCATCGCATCGTCTTGCGGTCGACAGAATTCAGCAGCATCAGCTGAGATACAACGCCTGCTAGAGGCGATACAATCTGCAGGATACGCAGGACACGAGAACAGGCGGGGGTGGGGGATATAAGAGTGCGGGGTGGGGGGGGGTCCGGAGGGAGGGAAGAGGGAGGTTGGCAATGAGAGGTGGGGGGAGGGAAACCGGACTGCCGTTGCCGGCAGTTGCGCCAGGCTGAGTAATGGCCAGGCAGGAGGGGTGAGTTATGGCCGGGATGCACGCACGCAGTGTGCCTTTCGTGTCCAGCGGTGCTCATTAAACGGATGCCGTTTCAATTCCACCACGAGCTGATCAAGCCCACGATACAACCACAAGAACGCGCACAAGCGTTTGGAGCTGTGATAAAAAATATAATTTTATTGGCATTGCGTAACCGAGCTATAATACTCGCTCCGCTCCAGTGGAAGGCCGCGATCCGGCCCGCGCGTTACCGATGGCCCCGGGGCTGTGTGACTGGGACCCGTCGTGGCTCCATCTCCCGCGCCTGTGCCAGCCCACGCGGTGTCACAAACGGCTCCGCGTTGCGCACCCGCGCGTCGCAATTAACGGGAGCGTACCGAGCGCGAAACATTATCGCCCATAAAGGCAATCCCGCTTGTCGTTCAATCACCGTATAACCATTTCATGGTATTGACAATCTAGTTTCTGCCTTTGCGAATTTATAGTTCACTTGAATGATTTTCAATTCTGACCTTTTCACGCAAATAAATGTGCGCTTAATAGTCTTCCGCCCGATACGCACTCGCCAAATACAAATCCATATTCGTTGGAGGACACTGACGGCTTAAAAATCAACCAAAGATGTCTGGGGCTGAACTCTCGAAAAAAATATTTCCCCTCTACTACCGCTATCGGGGAGTTGGGGGGAAGGGGGGGGGGGGGGTTGGAGGGTTCCAGAAAATCTTCCATGAGAAATTCAGAAATTAAGACACAAGCATGGACCTTGACCATGACTGAACGCAGCACAAAAACCCTCGACGCATTGCTGATATTACATTTGGAAACGATGACGTCGACAACCCATTCGAGTCGATGCAATGCGCGTCTCGCTGTGCACCAAGACTCAAGCACAGCTCGCCAGCCTCGAATCCCTTCAACGTGGCCAGTCTCAATTGACAGGGCATCTCACATGCAGGGCAGGGGGGCGGTGGGGGGGGGGTGCAGATCAATACAGGGAGCTTCTCCCACAACAGCGACGTCAATATCTGGCTGGGGCCTACTACAGAAGGGGGGCTATCTCACACCTACCACAGGGCTCCTTCAATGCCCCTGTATATTTCACATTTCCTTGGCGCATGTTTTGCCGAGTAAACACCGCTCTCGCAGCCCCGATGGTCAAGTGAGAAGCACGGCAGTTATTGCGTGTTTGCGTTCGCTAGCAAGGCGTGAAATTGTCTGTTTGACTCATTCCGGGGTAACGTAGTGGAAATTCATATCGGCGCGGAGAGGCGCCGCTCCTGTTCCCTTGCACGCGAGGTGCCCTGCGGACCCTGCTCACACACACACACACGCGCACCAGCATCCTCTCGCGGACTCGCCTGCCCACGCGCGCACGCGCTCGCGTTAACACCAGAGCGAGGTTCACTTTCACACGAATGGACACGCGCTTTATGAGAAACGTACAAAGCAGCGAGTCGGGGACACTTGTGTATTGTAAATGATTGTATATTCGTGCATCTCGAGTGCTTCTCCTATGACATTTTACAAGGCGATAACGGCGGAGCGCTACGCTGTAAATACAGTTTAGTTTGTCTCTAACAAGCAGTGGGCGGTTGTCGGAGGGCAGAGGTTAAAATCATCAAGCGCATTCAAGATGTTCTCTCCGGTTTAAAACCAACACAGTGAGAGCCTTATCTCAGCGTGCGAGCAGCCTTCGAAGCGGGGGGGGGTGAAAGGTCACTCGGTCCTGTCACTGCAGGCACAGCCATCGCCGCACGCTCGCCACGAGCCCTGGAACAGCCGCTCGGAGCGCTCCGCGCTGACAAAGTGCATGTTTGCTCTTCCCCGTGTGCGATCGATGAGGGAGGCTGTTTTACCCAAAAATATATATCATTCAGCGTTGCAAACAGTTTTTATCCAATTCGTATTGCTTAGCAGCGTATTTCTCACTGCGCGTGCCTCACGTCACGTCACGGAGGCAGTGTCCATTCGGAAACGCCGACAGTAAGCATTGCATGACCTTGTGTTAGGGAACTGTCTATGGAAGAGATATCACAGAACTACTGACGTGACTCCTTCAAGTGACCTTTGATCCATGTCCTTTCTCACGCACCCTGCTTTCAAACACACCCCGCTATTGTTTTATGGCAGAACAACCCAATATTGTTTAATCTTAGAGCTGGCGTTTTTGCCAAAGTGAAACAAAACATTTAATCTGATGGGGCTGTTTCGTGCAGTCATTCGTAACTGGCCCGAGACCTTCACCTTGCTACACTCGAACAAAATCACTCAAGTGCTTTATATATATTTAGAGCAATAGATGCGATTTCCCACACTCACTCGAGACATGGTTTGCATGAGAGCCGAACCGATACGTTTCATTCTCAGAGCGGGAATATAGCCAAAATCAGATGCTAAATCAGATTTAATGATGGGTTTATTTTTTCTTGTGCAGTCATTTGAGAACTGGACTGTGATCATCATCTTGCTACGATTAAGAACCGAGCCTTAGCACGGACGGCTGAACCCCAGAATCAAACTCAGTTTCTCAGCAGTGCCGGCTCAGTGCTCGAACCCTTGGGCGACCTAAGGAAGGACGGTTACCAAGTGATCCCTGTGGGTGGGAGGGGTCAGCCGGTGGACAATGGCCAGTGTAGCCCGACTCTTGGGCCTCTAGGCCTATGGACCTCTGTGCAGTTGCACCGCCGGCACACTTGATAGTTATGTCACTGACAGTGGGTACTGTGGGATGCGTGGGGCAGCTGCTGCCCATGGCTCAGGGTTGCTTTCACTGGATCACGTGAACCTGAACCAGAGCCACAGGGCTGTGCACAAAACCGAGACCGCACTGGTGCACAGACAACACCTCGCAGGCAAACAAAGCAACAGCGTCTAGACAATGCTACGCTAGCGAAACGGATTTTCCGCCCCATGTATGTTACATGTGTAATACGTGAGCATCATTAACAATTTTACGAATTAAAATAAAACACACGGACTGTGCATAATTACCACGGAACCAGTTCGTAAGAGTAAATGAAACGTATGTTTAACAACAATAATATGTATATTCTTAGTTCTTTCGGTAAAGTCAGGTTGAAGGGAAACAACAAAATAATAAAATATATAAACAATAAAAATTCTCACGACGTTTCGAAACGTCGTGAGAATTTCTATTGTTTTATATATTTTATTATTTTGTTGTTTCCCTTCAACGTGACTTTACCGAAAGAACTAAGAATATGAATTACTGCAGTCACGAAAGCTTTAAATCAAAACAATAATATGCTGAAAGGTAGAAGGGGTACAACTCAATTGAACCATTGCTCGGTGGCGGTTAAACGTCACTCGCGCTGGTCCTCTCCCGTCGTGGGCACACACTCCCTGCTCCGGATGTTGATGATCACCTGAATCTGCCCACCCGTGTCCCCGACCACAGCCATCTTCGCTTCCTTCCATCCAAAGTCCCCGTGGCGACTCGCCCCAGCGTGCGCCGTCGGTCGACTTGGAGGACTCTCGGCAGCGGCAATTTGACCGTGGAAAATCTCCACAGCGTTGGCGCCGCCACCGCCGCCATCGCCGCCACCGTCGCCGCCGCTGCGTCCAGGTGGCTCGCGACATCGGTTGCCCGCCATGGTGGGGCCAGTCACGTCGAAGCTATTGTGCGGCTTTGGCACCGATGGCTTAAAGCGGGCTCGCGGACCCCCTGAAACCTGCTCCTCTCTCAAATCAGCGCCGATTGCGCATCGCCCTAGGAAAACACAAGGAGCGACGTCGTACGTTGAACGTGTACGGGAAGGATCAAAAGTCAGGCGTGGGCAATGAGTGTTGAGAATGAGTGTTGAGGCAAGGCAAGCAGAATTGCTCCGTTATTTCAGAATGTCTTTAATGTAAAGCCAAACTCCTTTCCGCAACCCAGGTCTCCCTTTGCAAAAGGCTCTCGGGAGGTTAATAAAATATGGATCTTTGCGGTAAACCCTAGTATCAAGGCACATGTTTTTTGATGAGGTTGTTGAGACCAGAAGGAATGGTGTCACAGTGATTAGTGAACCACACGACGACGAACCCAGAAAACCGAGTTCGAGTTTTTGGCGTGAGGAGGCCTTCATCCAGCAGTGTATTAACGCGGTTGGCTACGTACGGTGCGAAAGTTCAACATACATACAGACAAAATTACTGTACACTATTCCTGTGACATTTAAAGCACTTTGTTACCGCACATGAAATACCTCAAATACATCACATAAAGTACACACACATTTCATGCACAATTACATGTCGCAACATGGCTGTGTGTACTTAGTCATTGCAAAATCAATCCCGAGCCAATACTTCAATATATTTAACAAACGTAAGTTTTCTTTCTTGTTTTCATTTTGAGCTATCTCTCTCTCGCTCATCATCCTCTTTTCCACAATAATGTCACGTGCCATCTCCCGGCTTGCAAACACCATCATATCACCGTGCCGCTTCATAGGAATTTGCGAGGGAGGAAGGTGCTCCGTTAACCTATTATCGTCGGCAGTGCCTGCCAATCAACATGATCGCCGCTTCAGTGGGAGCACCTCTGGGACACAGATAATGATGTGAGTGGGCGGTGGGAACAAAATTATCGGCCAAGTTCTGGGGTGTTCTATTAGATGATGATTCTTGGCAATCTCTGATTACAAGATGACCGTGAAATCAATCTACTTGTTGCCTCGACAAGCGCCTCATTTTTGACTTGCACCCCAATTAAATAGTTTGGGGATACCGTTTTGTGAATACTACTAAAAACAGATTAATTGTAAACGTTTAAACCTATTTGTTTAACGAGGTGGTCGGGTGACTCAGAGGTCACTGCACTGACCCGGCGCCGCTGAGATCCTGGGTTCAAATTTAGGTTTCAGCCGCCCATGGTTAATTGGGATTTCCCATTGTGGTGAGTTAATGGTCTTAACGCAGCTCCCAATGATTGCACACAAAAAAGACCATCATATTAAACCTGCTATTTGACAAGATTTGGCTAAACTCCAGCTCAGAGAATGAAAAAAAACCATGAAGACTATCGGTTTAACTGTCATGTAACAATCTCTTGGATGAATGCATGGGAAATTGCATCCCTTTCTGTTGAGAAGATAAAACAACGACTTGAAGAATTTTTTGAAAGAAATCTTGTGAAAAATATCTTCCACTGGCTGGGTTGTTTGTCCCATGATGTAACTATGATAGCACGATTGGGAAAGTACTTAAAATCAATAGATTTCCAGTTTGAAATTATTTTAAGAGTACTTCGTCACCTCCAAAAGCATAAGCCGTAGCGTTGCGAGAAACCAACGCAAAGGCTCCTTCACTAACGTGCGAAAGGATGACTTAATCGCTTCTATGAAATTATTGACAAACGGCACTGGTGTTTTGTTGAACGCTCTGCATCAACCATTCACCCTTCCAAATCATACGACATAAAGGTTGTTCAGGAAGTACACTCATGCATGGCAGGTTGATTATTTGCTATGAAGGAGGAAAGCACTTATGAATAAAAAAAATGAATGAGAGTAAATGACAACCATGCTTCACCAAGAGCTGTTCTGATATAATTAACCGTGGACGTTAAGCTGTGGCTGAAAATTAACCCCGGGTTGTTGGGATCACAACGCAAAGCGCAAACCACTGTGCCACTACTCTCCTTTTAGGGTCTGAACACAACTTTAGTTAAGAGAACGATGCTGTTTCTTGTGAGGCTATACGTTCATAATAACCAAGCTCGCGATTATAAAGTGTTAGGGAATGCACAAACTGCGTATTGCACTGCAATTGACTGTCGGCACAATCCCATAATCCAGATGTTGTGATTTATTGTCCACCTCTTTAAGTAGATGTCTGAATGCTGACAAAATCCTGTGGGTGCCAACACTGGCTCAGCATGGCATCTGGATGAGATCATTTGAGCGATTGCCAGGACGCACTTTAATGCCAGTGGCAGGTTCAACAGGGAAATGCTTAAATCGGTGTGAGGACTCGGGCAGACCCCAGGAGTGCTGAGTCACTCCCCTTTGTGTTCGGGAGATGTAAGGGTCAGGGTGTGGGCGGTGTGGGCGGTCGGCCTCTGTGCCCGGGAGTCAGACGGGGTTGAAGGAAAATGGATGTGAACCACACTAATCAGGGGGGCAGTCCAAAACGCTTCATATTGAAACATATAAAAATCATAAAACTTAACTACGATGCAATGTTTTTTATCTGAAGGGTTTTTTAAAAATTTCGATTTAAAGCTTTCGTGACTGCAATGATTCATCTTCTTTGGTTCTTTCGGTAAAGTCACGTAGAATGAGAATAAAATAATAAATTGATAAAATAAAATAACACAATAGAACGTGGCTCTCTCACTCCAGCGCTGTCCTACCAGACAGTCTCGCTCCCTTCACCTGATGAAGGCCGCTTGTGTTGTGGCCGAAACGTCGTGAGAATATTATTGTGTTATTTTATTTTATCAATTTATTATTTTATTCTCATTCTACGTGACTTTACCGAAAGAACCAAAGAAGGTTTTTTTAACGTCATCTTTTTTTTATGGGTAGAAAAATAATAAAGCAGACATTCCCACCCCTATATATGTAGCTATCTTCATTGTCTCGTTTTCTTCTTTTGAAAAATCATCGAGCAATGACTCACGCACGTTGGGTTAATGTAACAAAAAAGTAAAAAAAAAACTTTTACTCCGTGCAAACCTCTCACAAAATGTTTGAACTGGCGTCTCACAGACAAAAGACAACAACGGCATTCTCATCGCACATTTTTAAAAGACGCGCCTGCTCAATGGGAGAATGCGGGTTTGCGGCGCAGGTATACGTGGCACGCGCACACAGGCGCTCCACAGGGAGATGACCCGGAACATTCTGTTCCAGGACAAACACTGCAGGTGCTGCATTCCCATTCTTTGCATTCAAGACAGCTCGGGCTACTTTCAAGGCCTTCGGACACAGCGAAATAAATAGGCGTTATAAACGCGGTGTGGCTATTATTCATTCCATCTGCAACTGTTGACCTCAGGAAACAAACCGGTAAACGAGCGGTTAGCGCAAATAACATGGCAACACGTGTTGAAAAACACACCTCCGTCGTGTGCTTCACTGCCGTTCAATTCCCCTGCCACCCTCGCTCCTCTCAGGGCAACAGGTATGTGTAGCCACACGCTGGGAGACCTCTGCAATGCACAACGCAGGACACGTGAAAATCACTTTGGCATTAATTTCAGCGACGAGCTGCGCACACTGGACTCCCTGGGGAACGGCGGGTTGGCGCCTCGTCCGTAATCTCCAGCGCTGGGCTGTTTGGGCCCCCGGTGTCCCCGTCGAGCAATGGATTAATTGCATCGCCGCCTCGATTTCATATCGTGCTGCCCGTCGTCTTGACATGCCACTGCACTTGGCGGTGCAGGTCAGCACAAACCAACCGCATCGTTGATTTTTCAATTAAATTTTTTTTTACAAAAAAACAACGCAATTTTTTTTGTTACTTTACACATGAATGTAAAAAAAAGTAAATAAACAACCGTTCAGCAAATTGGTTATTTTGACAAAATACACTGCTGAACCAGAAACTGTACTCCGGGTCAATTGGTGCTCTCTCAATGACTCCGCTCTCCATCCATTGCAGAAGCAGCCACTCAGATACTCATTCCTGCAAGCCCGCTGGCCGCCGGAACCCTTGAGGACCAGGCAAATGAGAACATTTGTTGTAAACGATGCCCTGAATGAAACTGCCGTTTGTGCCGTGACTGCATCGGTCACCTAATACCCCCCCCCCCCCCGGCCACGCTGATCAACGTCCTCTTTGCAATAAGTCTCTCGTGCGACCTCATGTCTGGGTTGCACGGATATCCACGCAAGATGTAGAATTCACATACTCGTGAAAAAAAAAAACCCCCAATAACAATTGCCACCGAGTTGTAAAAAAAAATATTCCGAAAGTGGGCAGTAAATCTATTGCAGCAGTCTTTGCGGATTCGACATGAGAGTTGCTGGATGTTTCGTAAAACTCAAATGAAAACAAACATTTTGTAACAACAACAAAACATAAATTGTGGCATTTAGTGTATGGGCCCTGTTCAGTATCAACACGGAAATGGGAGAAGCAGCACTCACAACGAAAAATTGCATATCAAATGAGGAGATACTCACATTGGTTGGTCGCTAAATAAATCAGGCTCTATTGTGGTGCCACAGTTGTGTTTTCATAGCTGCTGGTTCTCTTGAATTCACCCTCCCATAACACGAAATGGCAGCCCGATAGGATGCGAGCTGGGCATGCAAGGATTCACCCCACCGCAATTCAATGCATTGCTTTCAATGAAAAGCTGTTAAAACATGAAATCATTGACCTTCATTTCAATGTATTGCATGTTTGTATGTATGTATGTTGAACTTCTTTCGCACCGTAAGTAGCCAACCATACTAATCGGAGGTGCGAAATTGTATTGTTTACCTTTAGAAGACCACGTGTTTAACAATGGTGATACAAATACCCTGGTGTCTGAGCCATACTATAAATTGACACTTGTTAGGGGAATATTGTGCTTGCGTGGCATCACAGGATGGCGTCGTGTTCGCTCTCTACGGGACGAAGTCTCCTGCCCCACGCTGCTCCCCACAGAGATACACAAATCCCTCGTTAGGGGCAGAATCAAAGCGGTGAGGACCGGAATAATCAAAAAGCCAGCGGGCAGTGCCAGACAACAGCACCAGTGCAGAGTGGATATGCGCACGGAGGGGGGGGGGGGGGGGATCATTACCTGATCCGGGGAACGCCACGCGGTGTTCGGGTTGGCGCGTCTGCCGGGCCGGCCGTTCACGTGCGAGGCTCTCGCACTGACGTCACCGGGCGTGAGGGTCAAGGCCCTGCAGTGTCGCGCAGCTGGCGAGCTCTGCACTTTGTTCCGAACGGACAAACAGGAAACACAAAACCCTTGATTTTTTTCATGAAAAAAATAACTCCGAGAAAACATTAAAAGCGTTTTTTTTATTATTGCAGGAGCTATGGAGCTCTGTGATCGCACACGCCTGTGCCATGGCCTTGTGGAAGGCATCGCTATTGTGGAAATGAAAGACGGAGGACTGCAATCCCCCTTTGTGGACAACATAATGCATTCCATGACCACAACGCATTGCATGGCAAGACGTTTTCTGAAAAGATGATTATACATCTCGGAGCTACAAATAAACAACGGACACCGATTCAATGAGATAATTGCATCTCAAGGGAGATGGGTGATTAAATAGGCTAATGCCATGTCAGCTTGCAATATGGGCCAGCTACGCATGATTAAAAATACTTTTCACGTGCAGCAAGTCCATGCTTTCAGCATGGAAGCCAATGATTGTGTAAAATAACCTGGAGTTAAATGTGTGTTTCACTTAATTTCCCTTATGCCAGTGCTTAGACTTAAAACATGTTGTTTATGATGTGATGATAACTCGTTGCAATGCATATGGGGTGCCCCCAGTGTGGATAATGAGGCTTATTACAGTGTCCTCACAAGTTCTTCTGGGACACCATCTCCTGAAGCCACTTTCAGACACAAAGCAGTTCACTGCTAGCTGCAAGAGATGTAATAAACGTGCATTTTGTCCGATGAAACGATTCCAATCGTGCAAATATAAACAGAGTTGGGAAAAGGTAAAAATAATCCAGTGCAAATCGAATATCATTTCAAATTGGAAATTACTTGCTAAAGAAATAGCAGACAGTGAAGGACACTGTCAGAGTGCAAATGAAGTGCCATTCGCAGGCAAGTGGCTCATCAGTAACCGGCCCTTGCCAGTGGTGTCTGACGTCGCAGATTATACGGCAACAGTGGCAGGAGAAGTGAATGTTGCTCTCCTTCGCGCCTGGCAACATCAACGACTTCGTGTGAGCAGGGAGAGGCATGGGCAACCTCCACGGGCTGCGGTAGAAACTACGGAAGTCTACACAATTATCACGCTCACACACTCTTAAAAGAGAAAACCCCGTCGCCTCACACCAAGCAATTACGGTCTAGCGGTGGCTGCCCCTTTGAACAAAATGTGCGGCTTGGCTTGGCACAAAACCCCAAGTGCATTACCCTCGCGAGTTACGAAATGCAATTATCTCCCCAGTGCTCGGTAGCTAAGGGAGAGAAAGTTTCCGGATGGACAACTTTAATCTGTTTGTGGCAAACAGGGCTTGACGGCCGGCCAGCAGGCCGAGCAGGAGTTGGGGGGGAAGTGAGGCCAGAAGGCGCCAGGGCCCAACCTTGTGCGGGCGTTACGTGGCGCAGGTGAAGTATTGGACGAGGGTGTTTATAAATGTAACGAGGATAAACTCTCGATGATGTGGAGCAGCGGTGCAATTGTTCGTGCACTTGCACCAGAAACCCGGCAACCTGAGTATGATGCCTGGACACAGCTATTGCATCAATAGCTTGCTATGTTTTATTTTATTTTACCAGATAATGCCCATTGAGCTATATAGCTATTTTTACAGAAGCGACCTCGCCATAAATGACATTTCTACGAAGTGGCTTATCACGTGGAAATTTATCGCAGCCAAATACTCCTAAACGCATGTTGATTCTAAATGAGGGAAAAGCCAAAAGGGCCGGATAAAAATGCACACGACTACGGAGAGAACATGCAAACTCCAAATTTACGGGCGTTAGGGTCGGGAATCTGGATCAACCCCATGACCTCCTGCATACCATGCGAGGTAGTTAACATCTCACTACCGTGGTGCCCCGAAACGGTCCTGACCCCCCCCCCCTCCTCCTTGAACTGGTCAAATGTGGTCAAGCAAACTCCCATGAGCAAAAGGTGCTGGGCAAGATTTCATCCAGTGGTAGATTGACAAATGGATGATGATGATAATAATGATATCGTGGACATTCAGATCTAATTTCCAAGGGAAACCTGGTAAGAATGGCAAAACCATTAGTCCCATTTGGAATTCACAAATTTAGCCCACACGACCAATTCATATTGCACAACAGAGAAATATATAAATATATACACGTACATTTTTAGATGTTGTAATTGTAAGACTTTAGAGATTTAATGATTCACCATGCAAAAGACATTAAGATCAATTGTCATGATTCAGCATCACTACTCAATTCATTAATCGTCTTAAAAAAATGTGGGTTATGAAGTGGCAACAAATGACTGATGGGGTCACGTGAACCCACTAAAGCAACATATACATGAAGGGAAAACATTAATTCTTACACACAATTCAAAACGTGTATCGTGAGCTTAATAATTTATATTAATTCATGAATCCATGCATAATTACACCCCTACAAAGAGTTCAAATGAAATGAAAACAAATATTTATCATTTAATATATTACAAAATAATCAAAAGTTGGCTACTTTGTACAGATTTGGTGATAGAGAAAACGGATTTGGCGATCGAGAAAACAAGTCGCATCCTGAATTACAATCACTGGGTTTTACTGCCGCCAATTGCCAAGGGTCCTGGGCAAGTACGTAAGTTATTCCACTGCAGAGAGGCCACAGCAAATTCCAGCAGTTAATCTCAGATATGGAGCAAGAGGCAATGAAAGAGGCAGAAACCCTTTCACCAGACAGTATCACCTTGACAGAATCTGAATGGCTTTGGTATATCTTGCAAAAAACATTCCGTTGCTTCCCACATTTTTTTTTGGATAGCGACGTCCATTTTGTTGTGAGCAAGCTGTCGTAGAAATGCGCTGAGCGGGAGGAAGCTAAATAATTAAAAATATATATGTTGCAGCAGTTTGAATTGTGTGCTAAATATGACGATTTTCATTCAAGAGTTACGTCGATATTCATGTTCTTGGAGGGCACCTCAAAGGCATGCAACAGAAGCCGCGCTATGCGTTGTGTGCAAGGCTAAGGTGTGCCGCCATTTTTACACAAAGAACTCTCAAGTCAGAGCCCAGGATGATGTAACTATGGCGTGCGTCTGCAGGTCAAAATAACAAACGATATGAAGCTAAATTTTGATTTAAAGCTTTCGTGACTGCAGGGATTCATAGTCTTGGTTCTTTCGGTAAAATTCAACTTTTCTTGTTGTGGTTTTCACACCTGATGATGATTGCTTGTGTTGCGCAGTCGAAACGTCGTGAGAATTGTATTGTTTTATATTTTTATTATTTTATTGTTTCCCTTCTACGTGACTTTACCGAAAGAACCAAGGATATGAAGCTAGCTAAACCAACGATGAAAATAAAATATATCTCAGCAAGTATTAATCTTATTATAAAGGATCACTGAAAGCTAACACAATAATTGCAGGCGAACGTCTCAGCAATGCAACGTTGAACACTGTCAGCAGCTTCGGCCAAAATTATTCATTAACGTTCATATTTCACCGTCATCCTAATTGTTATATTTGTTGGCAAACTTTAACTCAAAATGAAGATCATCGTATAAAATTGTTGGGTACATTATGGCCCGACTACCATAAATATTTATTATACAACTGACAAGACATTACCGCAGCAAATAAATGTGCGAGGCTGTGAACGGTGCGCGGGTCACACTGACTGGGGGGTCCTTCTGGGTGGCTTCTCCTGCCGGCGCCCACGTTGCCAGCGCAGGTGGTGATGGGCCGGGCGGTGGCCACCAGCGACGCTGCGTGCCGAGCACCAAGGAAGGCAGGGTTGGGGCAGCTCCGTGAAAGATGGGATGGCCGCGCGGAGGAGCATTCGTGGAACGAGTGTGGAAGCAGCGAGAGGCACGGACCAGGCAGGGACAGCAGGCGGCAGCTGGCGAGCCCGCGCGCCCGCCTGCGGCAAACCTCCGACACCTGCTCGACGCGCCGTGGCTCGGCCGCCGTGCGAAGGCTCCTGCCGGGGTTGGGGAGCGGGGCAGTGGTGGCGACAACAGAACGCTGGTAATGACCAAACAATAGTGTCACCTTCCACTCCGAAGGGCACCAAGTTTGGCAAGTGAAATTCCCATTGCGTGGCGCTGGAATTAACGCAGCCAGTCAAGTTGTCGAGCGAATCCCGAGATCAGAGCTCTCCGTGCTATTCGACTGTGCCGGACCGGACGTGTGCTGCTCGACTGCCGCGTGCGCCCGATCTTAGTGCGACTTGACAACACCGCGGTGCGCAGCGGCCGCACCCACTGCCTCTGCTTACAGGACGGTGAGCGGGTTGCCGAGGGGAGACGCCAGGGGGTGGACGTTCCTGGCGCACAGCACCCTGGCGGACGCCGGCGGTCGTGTCGCGAGCGCGACGTCTCCCTGCAAACAGACGACGCGCACACAGCAGCCACACTCGCGTCCCGCCAACCCAAGGACATGCATAACACGGTCAAAGATGCGCTCGTTGAGGTGGCCGTTGAGGTGGTTCGGAGGCCAGAGTGCTTGGCTGACGCATCTGAGATGCTGGGTTTGAATCCAGAGTCAGCCACCCATGAACAAGCCGGGTTCTCACGTGTAGAGAGTTCATAGTCCCAGCCCACCAACGATTGAGCTAATAAAATGGTTTTGCACTTAAACTTGGCTAAACGCCAGTTCTCCGTTGAAAAGCAGTGACTTGAAGAGATTTTCGGAAAGAGTTCTGCGATACCCTAACTGATGGTTGCACTGCTGTGGGAGAGTAGTGGATGGATTATTTATCTCTTAACGCATGAAGCGTTATCGGGATAAAATTAGTAGCGGGGGGGGGGGGTGGGGCGAGGACAAAATAGAAGATGTGGATGCCATTTGATATTTGGTGACCTTCTCAAGAATCTGTCATGTTGCTGACTCACTGGCAACCGGTTCAGAAAGGGGACCGTGGGACCCTTGACACACGAAAGACGTGCCTTTCCACTGCGACACACGTGTTGACTGCTACTTGCTCAGATAGCTGCATTCGCCTGTGAAACGACACCGCACGCCGCCGTGCACTGTCCCTGCCGAGATGCATCGCATAGTGTGCGTACAACATCTCTGCAATTAGACGCCACTAATTTGCACTGATTAGGACTCCGAAATAATACACAATTCACGGTGGATTCCAATGACAGCGGGCAGGCAAAGAAGCGTAGAAGTGAGCAGGCAAAGCGGTTCCTTGAGGGCTCAGTGTGGGATCGAGGGCTGCCTCTCCGGCATCTGCTTGAATGGACCTCATCCGTAAACAAAGATGCATACATAAGATGTTCAAGTAGCAAACAGAGGCACAAACGAGAAACAACGATTATCTCTTGCCGTTGCCAACAAGACTGCGTACGCAGGGACCAAAACGGTTCCAGGGGTGCACGATCGAAACAGCACGCACCACCCCATTCGGAAACCACGCGACACGTTAGGTCACATGGGTAGCAGTGGCAGAGGAGGCAGCAGCAGCAGCCTTTGCGTTGGACATACGGGACAAAGGGAGATGGCAGTAGGGACAGCTGCGGTCTGTGCAGAACATTCATTTAACTTGTAGAACAATGGAGGCTCATGCGAGACCGTTGTGTGGAAAATCTATAGAAGCCGATGCAAATCGATGTAACGCAACAATGAATTGCCGATGGCCCATGGCAGCCTAGGGTCCAGCAAGAAGCACAGTTAATTGTTTAATTGTTCCTACAGGACAGTGGGAGTACAAGAATAACGACTTGAGCAATGTGGATCAAAGGATTTCCCATTCACCCAAAAAATACGAGCACCAAAAGGTCCTTGGCCCATTATTTATTCGTTAAAAAAATAACCAAAGGCATTTCATTAACCTTATACTCGTTACACATTATACGTCGCATTTATAATTTCCATGTTCTTTCTGAGCCGATTTTACCCTTTGCACCACGAACCGTGCACAGTTATAATTTGTTGTAATCTCCATTCATTATTAGGTCATTGACTACAGAGGGCTCTGAAACGAAGTTAATCATAAAAGCATGGTCAATTTGCAACGTGGGCTTGAATTGCATGTTTTCATTTAGGCGCACGTCATTGCCCTATCTTTAAATACGCTGATTTGATTTTTTTGTTTCGCCACGATTAGAATTTTAAAAGCCCCTAACATCGGGAATTGCACTCGTCGCCCGGATGAAAGCCCTCGCACATTAATGCCCCACGCGTCAGAATTTTCAAAATGCTATTTGACCAGAGCTTCGGTTACTTCCGGCGGAATACGCGAAGGAAAATAATTACATCTCATTTAAAGGTACCTTTTCAAGTAAATGACACGCAAACTAATTCTATTACACCAGGCGGAGGTTGACTATGATCTACCTGCCCACCATCTGTCTGCGTGTTTAGCAAGCTATGCTACTTATCAATTGAATGCGACTAAATCCGCAACCCTTTTGTTATTTAAAATGTGGAGAATTTTTGTTTTTTAACCAGAGGCCATTTTCCTTCAGGGGAGCTCGCCGTCACAGCATCGCTGGCCTCTCATCCTGAAACGCCTCTCAATAAAATCACTCTGAAATTTCCCAAACATCCAGTAAAAAGGCGATTTTGTGCGACGACATTATTGTCAACTCGGTGTCTGGAACACCTGGTACTTTCGAAATGAAGTGCAAAGAGGATTTTTTTTAATAAAGCGTTCTATAAGCAGTTGTTGCTGTTGAGCGTGCATGTTTACTCGACTGCGTAACAGCCCAGAATGCATTGTGGGGGCACCGTGAGTACTCTGGAGCTCAAACAATGAATCACATGTGCTCTTTTAAACCAATTAACAAATTTCTTTCATAAATATCTGTATGAGTGGGTTCTATTTATGGTGTCACTGAGAAAAAGCCAAACAATTTTTTTAAACCCAAAACATACCCAGCCCAATCGATAACGTTCATGGAAACGTCAGCACATTTCCCCTCCAAAAATCATATAAATTCGCACAATCACCAACCCAAGAGAAATCAGGCAGATCATCTCGAAAGCATCTGTATCAGCAAAATAAACTGACCAACAGAGATAAACAACTGCAGGGTTAACTGACAGCAGCTGTCCGCACGAGGTAGATGTAATTACAGCACACGAACCATCTGCGCCGGGGTTTCAAGTCGAGTCTGAATGAGTGACGTTGAGGCACCGCCCCTCAGTGCCCAGTGTCCTTCAGCATCAGAGCTCACCACATTTTCTATTAACCCTGCGTTATATCACAAATAAACATATATATAAAATGCTGACGTTCCAGGTACTGGCCTTCTGCTCAAATGAACGGTCACTCCCTGAAACATCGGCCTATTATTTTTCTGGTATAATTCAATGTAAATGACAAATGTGGTGATTTGATGTTTTTTTTGTATTGTACGTGCAGCGCGGAGCAGCGGGCAGTGGTGAGTGCATTGCACTATGAATTCGGCAACCAGATTTCAGTTCCTGGCCACACCCAACATCAAGTACAGAGTGAGAGTTGAGACGGTCGTAGCCACCCCTTCACCAACCCACACTGACCAGTGTAATGCAGAATGGTCAAAGAACGCCCACGATTAACACGACATGGGGGAGAGCTGCATGCAGCATGGCCTTGACAATAGGCTGTAATTCATATTCTTAGCTCTTTCGGTAAAGTCACGTTGAAGGGAAAGAATAAAATATATATTAAACAATAAAAATTCTCACAACGTTTCGACCATAACGCAAACGGTCATCATCAGGTGTGAAAAACCAACGGCAAGAAACATTTGAAAGAAGCCTCGGTTTGCATTTATTTATTTAATTTTAAACAGTGTATTTTTTTATGAAAAAACATTAGCGCCACGCGCAGCGATTTGGCAGTTTGTTAAGAAGGACGAGTCCATCTATGTTCTGAAAAGAGGAGGGGGAGACGAAAAATTAATGTATGCTGTCTGAAAGCCACCGTAAGCATGAACAATCAATTAAGACCTGAAATGGTTTATCAAATCCTTCCAATGATTGCTAAGCCAGAATCCATCTTCTCGGTTGAAATTGTCTCTGTGCTTGTATATGTGGATAGCCTCATGAACGAATCTCTCATGGTAGCCAGATGGCTTACAAAGAACCTCTGTCTTGGAGAAGTCAATGTCATGTGAGCCTACTGAATTATAACAATGATTTGCCACGGCCGAGGTGTTGGTCCTACAGTGTTTAAGGTCTGCTTTGTGTTCACGAATGTGGTCCGAGACATGGCGTTTGGTTTCTCCAAAGTAACTACTACCACAGAGGCAACTTAGTTTGTAGACACCAGGGTACTGTATGTCCGGAATCACATCTTTTACAGACGGAACCAGATCACGGATTTTATGTAATGTGTTGAAACGGACCTGGATCTTGTGTTTATTCAAGATTTTGGAGATCTTTTTGTGATCCCCGCAATGGTGGGTAAAGTGATGGTTTTGAAAGGCTCCTCAAGAGGGTCCTTCTTCATGGTTTGAGTGATAGCTTTGCGGATTGTATAGTCGGAGTAACCATTAGCCTTAAGAGCTTGGTGTACGTGCTTGAGTTCACTGCCTATGTGTTCCTGGTCGGATATGCATTGGGCTCTATGGTACAGAGTCTTGATGAGAGAATTCTTCTGTGATGGATGGTGGTGGGAATCCGGTTTCAGATAAGCATCCGTATGGGTAGCTTTCCTGTAGACAGAGTGGCTCATTGAACCATCAGGTCTCTTTTTTATTAGGACATCCAAAAAAGGTAGCTTGCCATCTTTTTCGACTTCCATGATAAATCTGATGGCTGGGTGTATGGAATTGATGTGGTCGAAGAATTGGTCTAGAGTAGGCCGGCCATGTGGCCAGATGACAAAAGTGTCATCTACGTACCTCTTTCATAAGGTTGGGCGCAGAGTGGCAGTCTGGATGGCGTCAGTTTCAAATTTCTCCATGAAAATGTTAGCTATAACCGGAGATAGGGGGGAGCCCATTGGGGTGCCCTCAGTTTGTTTGTAGAAAGTTCCATTCCAAGTGAAGTATGTATTGGTTAAACAGTGTCTCACCAGGGGGGTACCTCAGTGTTTAGTCCTTGATGAACCAAGTCTTCAATTATTGCGATGGTGTCAGGTACAGGAACTTTGGTGAATAAGGAAACTACATCAAAACTGACAAGTAGGTCGTCTGGGGACAGGAAATACCCTTGGTTGTCGATACCAGGTGAGTAGAATTTTGTACCGCAGAGGTGGTTTTTCCAGTGAAAGGACGCAGGATTTCAGACAAAAAACGAGCCAGTTTGTAGGTGGAGGAGTTGATAGTAGAGACGATGGGACGAAGGGGTGTATCTACTTTATGTATTTTTGGTAAGCCGTATAATCTTGGTGGCCTGGCAGCAGAAGGTTTTAGCGAAAACTGTTTAGATTGATCAATTAATGCGGTTGAATCAGAAATTATTTTGTTGGTTTGTGTGACGAGGCTGTTGGTGGGATCTCTTTTTATTTTTGTATAGCTACCATCATCGAGTAATTATTTAATTTTGTTGTCATATTCTATTTTATCCATAATGACAGTAGCATTGCCCTTATCGGCTGAGAGGACTACAATGTCATCCCTCTTTTTTAATTTATATAATTCAAAACGCTCATCTTTGCTGAGGTTGCTAGCTGGCATCTTAGCGTTTTTGAGGGTTGCAGCGATTTCAGATCTTGCTACGTCTGCAGCGATGTGACCCAGGCCCCTGAGAGCAACGTCTACTTGGGCAATTATATTGTTAACTGGTATGCGTCCTTTCACTGGAAAAACCACCTCTGCGGTACAAAATTCTACTCACCTGGTATCGACAATCAAGGGTATTTCCCTGTCCCCAGACGACCTGCTTGTCAGTTTTGATGTAGTTTCCTTATTCACCAAAGTTCCTGTACCTGACACCATCACAATCATTGAAGACTTGGTTCATCAAGGACTAAACACTGAGGTACCCCCCCTGGTGAGACACTGTTTAACCAATACATACTTCACTTGGAATGGAACTTTCTACAAACAAACTGAGGGCACCCCAATGGGCTCCCCCCTATCTCCGGTTATAGCTAACATTTTCATGGAGAAATTTGAGACTGACGTCATCCAGACTGCCACTCTGCGCCCAACCTTATGGAAGAGGTACGTGGATGACACTTTTGTCATCTGGCCACATGGCCGGCCTGCTCTAGACCAATTCTTCGACCACATCAATTCCATACACCCAGCCATCAGATTTACCATGAAAGTCGAAAAAGATGGCAAGCTACCTTTTTTGGATGTCCTAATAAAAAAGAGACCTGATGGTTCAATGAGCCACTCTGTCTACAGGAAAGCTACCCATACGGATGCTTATCTGAAACCGGATTCCCACCACCATCCATCACAGAAGAATTCTCTCATCAAGACTCTGTACCATAGAGCCCAATGCATATCCGACCAGGAACACATAGGCAGTGAACACAAGCATGTACACTAAGCGCTTAAGGCTAATGTTTACTCCGACTATACAATCCGCAAAGCTATCACTCAAACCATGAAGAATGACCCTCTTGAGGAGCCTTTCAAAACCATCACTTTACCCTACATTGCGGGGATCACAAAAAAGATCTCCAAAATCTTGAATAAACACAAGATCCAGGTCCGTTTCAACACATTACATAAAATCCGTGATCTGGTTCCATCTGTAAAAGATGTGATTCCGGACATACAGTACCCTGGTGTCTACAAACTAAGTTGCCTCTGTGGTAGTAGTTACATTGGAGAAACCAAACGCCATGTCTCGGACCGCATTCGTGAACACAAAGCAGACCTTAAACACGGTAGGACCAACACCTCGGCCATGGCAGATCATTGTTATAATTCAATAGGCTCACATGACATTGACTTCTCCAAGACAGAGGTTCTTTGTAAGCCATCTGGCTACCATGAGAGATTCGTTCATGAGGCTATCCAAATATACAAGCACAGAGACAATTTTAACCGAGAAGATGGATTCTGGTTTAGCAATCATTGGAAGGATTTGATAAACCTTTTCAGGTCTTAATTGATTGTTCATGCTTACGGTGGCTTTCAGACAGCATACATACATTTTTCGTCTCCCCCCTCCTCTTTTCAGAACATAGATGGACTCGTCCTTCTAAATAAACTGCCAAATCGCTGCGTGTGGCGCTAACGTTTTTTTAAATAAATAAATACACCGTTTAAAAATAAATAAATACATGTAAACCGACGCTTCTTTCAAATGTTTCTTGCCGTTGGTTTTTCACACCTGATGATGACCGTTTGCATTATGGTCGAAACGTCGTGAGAATTTTTTATTGTTTTATATATATTTTTCTATTTTATTGTTTCCCTTCAATGTGATTTTACCGAAAGAGCTAAGAATATGAATTACTTCAGTCACGAAAGCTTTAAATCAAAAGGCTGTAAATTATCATTTCTTCCCCTTACACACACGTGGATTTTTTTCCGGGGTGTTCCAATTTCCTCACACACGTAAACACATTAATTGGCCAATACCACGTTAATATATAGAGGACTACAGAGCTTGGACAACTGTTGGAACCAGCTCACCTTGTGGCCGCCTCCCCGCTTGCCTGCTGTTCCTCACACATCTGAGTCGTTCTTTCTATCCGAGAGTGAGCGAATACTGTTCGGCGGCGCGTTGCAAGTTGGCGTTATATATATGTACACACATTTGTATTATTCATCATTATTCGGAGAAGTGTATGCAAAACATCGGCACTCCTCCCCCACCTTGCTCGGGCTCAGAGGGCAGCTCGGTCGGGCAGCGTCACTGCAATCTTGGAAATGCACGGCCGTCGCCAACCTGCCTGTCTCTCCTGGCTGCTGGTCGTGTACCGGGGCTTGCCGGTGCTCGTTCCGGGCTGCCGTGCCCACTGCGTGGCGGCTGTTGTGAGCTGCCAGGACCACGTGGCCCAGTCCAGGCTGGGGGCTCTCCCACATATTTCTCCTGCGACACAACATTGCATGGTTTCAGATCCACGGGCAACCTCCTCTCGGTGTCTCATCATCATCATCATTTATTATTTACACTGCACCACCCATGCGGCACTTGTAGAGTCGGCCGAGAAAAGTGGTATTTGAGATGATTACTCGGGAAGAAAGTGATTGCAGACCAAAAATATAATGTTAAAAAACAACGCAATGCAGACGATATGCACAATCAATGAGAGAACCAAGTTTTAAAAGCTAAAATGTGCTCGAGTCTTGTCTCCAGTTTGTCCACTCCACTGTTTGATGGGAAGAAGTGACAGTGATGAGTATGGCACTACAGAGCAGCATGAATATCATAGAAGAAACTGGATGGGAAAAATGATCTGCTGTACTGATTTTAGCGCAAAACATCAGATGCTTATGTCACCCTAAAGTTCAGGTTCGTGCAAGGTGCAGATATTGATTCCTGCGGGCCAGGTATTGAATTTAATAAATATTAGTGCAGTTCTACCCACAATGCAATAGCTCCTCTGGTAGACCACATGCACATCACACGGGCTTTATTTATGTACCCGAGTTTTAATGAACGACTGTAAACATTTGATCTAAATTCGCTGGTTTTTTTCGAAATTTGGGGAGGACAAAAAAAAAGGAAAGCTCTCCACATGTGGTAAATGAAGAATTTGGTGAATGACGCTCATTTATCAGCGTCACACAGTCACTAATGACGGCGAGGCGCGGACAATGCAACCATTAATCCCCAGCTGCGGGAATCGATATAGCGTGCGCGCAGCGGGGCATAGAGTGGCACTGTCAGGCGCCGAGTTTCAGCGCCCGGCCGGTGGGGCGTGTGTTCTGGGCACAAGCTTGGCACTCATCATGTCCGGTGGCACCATCCGAATAAATTCCCCTGGGACCCGCCGAGTTGAACGGATTAAGTGAACGTGCCTCGTCACCAGCGTTCAATGCCATATCGTGGAGGAGATAGGCGCAATAAAACGGGGATAAACGCTCCCTTCTTATCACCGTGTATGTAAGTGGAAATATTTGTAACTAAAGCATTATTTACCATGACTAAAACTGCGACGGCCACATTGCGTTACATGCAGATCCGCTTCCTGGACACTGACTCACTTCACCGGTGCTGCCGCACATGCATCCGATAATGTTGCGTGACTATTAAGAAAATCTCCGCCATACCCGAATGCAATGCGGCTCGTGCGTACATTTATGTTAATGCGTTCAGCTACGGGAGACGCACAACTATCGCCGCGATCTTAATTGAAATGCACCGCCTCGCCCCGGCAGTTGTTCTTGATTTTTGTTGTTGTTGTTGCGAATGATAACGCCCGTAGCAGCATTTACACCCGGCTTCTTCTCAAACAGATGCAGTCCCCGCACGAAACGTCAACTGTCAGTGCGGACGCGTCAAAGCGTTACACCGATTAGCAATGGCGTGCTCAAAAGTTGCTTTAATCGTTATTCGCTTGTTATTTAAACGGGGCCGCGTGGCTCCGTGGAGACGAGCCGTCTCTGGACCACCATCACGCCCTGACAACGCCACGCGGTGGTGCGTGGGAGTCTTTGAAAGTCAAAGCGCTTCCGGTGGCGGGTGGACACGGCTGACAGACATCAGTGCACCTCCAAATACGCACGGTAAATTCGCTCTAAAGCGCCGCGCCGGCGGTCAGATGGCAAAACGCTGCAGAAATAAATGGTCGTCTTGTGAAGAATATCTGCCGTTAAGGTCTCACAGTCCTGCAGTCCCAAATTCAGAGGGAAGATAAAAACAAATCTCAAAGAGCACACTGACAAAACATCAGGCGATAAAACCATCATGCATGCGGCGGTGAATGGACGTCTTGTCTAAAGCCCTTTTCAGCCAATAACTTTAGTGTAACAGAGGTTGAATTGTAGCGGCGCTGCGGTGAGCACCGTCGGTGCGGGCAGTCGAGCACTGGTGCTATGCGGCATTATGCGAGACCAGCCCGAGGCAGGCATGTGGAGTATGGCATATTGAGAACTTTACATGGCAACGCTCCACGGACTTTGCCCCAAATTATATGCGTTACAGAGAGAAACAAACACGCGCAGCAAGCTGCAAGTGTCTTCGCAGTTCAGGCTCATCACACCTAGCGTCAGTCCCACACCTCGAAGATCACACACAGCAGCACATCCACAGCAGCACACTTCATCAAATAGGGCGCTTTATGCGTGAGTTTATTTCGCGTGTGCGTTTGTGTCTTTCCCCCAATTTCATCATAATTGTGCTATTGGTCTTGGGATAATGTGTCCATTCAGATATCTAGCCGAGCAATGCAAGCCTTGGCATTACGAGAACGATCCACGGAAATGTATATCACAGAGGTGGCTTTGAGATCCCTTCAAGTGACCTCTGGTCCACACTGCAGAGGACAGCGCTCTCTAACTTAATCTGCCACCGGGGATAATGTTCGTCATATGACAGGCAAATTAATTTGTTTAATTCTCAGAGTTGGAATTTAGACAAATTAAAAAGAGAGAGAGAGAGAAAAAAAACTAATTTAACGCGATGAGATTTTGTGCGATCATTGGTGACCGAGTTGAAAAAACTCACTCAACTTGAGAATCCGGTATTAACCACAGACCGCTGCCTGGATTTGAACCTAAGTCGTCAGTGGTGCCAACTCAATGCTCTGAACTCTGAGACACCTGGTCACCACTTGTGTATATTAAGCGTTAAAATTGCGTGCATAAAAAAAAACAAATACATTACATTTCAGTCGCACTTTGACTATGGTACGTGCTTTAAAACTGCGGCGGTTTGTAACGGCTATGGGTATCTTTTGCATCAATGTCAAGATGCCTCCAAATTCCAATTAAAAATTGGTGGCTCCCTTCGTATGTAATCCAATGGCAGCCTCAGGCCTGATTTGTCCAATTCAGGGGATAATTATCCAGTGCAGCGAGCGTGCAACATTAAATCAGGTCACGCTCGGGTTGCCCTTTCCATGACAATGAAGCACCTTAATATTTGCAGCTCCACCCATATATCTCACTCCTCCTACGCCTTCCACTTATTTTCTTATCGGTCGAGTAATAAACTGAAAGTATAAAACCGTTAGGAACTTCAATTAACACGTTAGATTTATCTTTAATGCAACTGCAATGGCTCGGGCATCTACTCTTGTACGGAAACCACAAAAACGAAACGATTTTAAATTATTTTTCAAAAGCTCAAAATATACAGGCGTTAGGGTCGGGATCGAATCCACGACCTCCTCAATACCGGACAAGGTAAATAACATCTTGCCACCGTGGCAGCCACGGTGGTGGGAAAACTGATGCTGTGAAAACCAACACACAGCAGAACGAAAAGAGGAAGTAATCGCACCAAACGGGAAGACATAGCGGAAGGATATAATATTAACAGCAGAGAAAGTGGCAAAGGATTTGGAAGTGAAGAGCATTTCGTGCGGATAGCGCATGCGGAAATGCATAACACTCCCACACAATGATCGTGACAAAGAATTCTCAATGGATTGCAGTACTCTAGAGCGATGTGTGTTGTTTCGAGACATCACAATGAAATGTGTACTTTTATTTATAGAAAATAACAACTGGCAGGAAACCATCGCATGAATTTGGCCATGTCACCAATCGCCATCCAATAATTACATTTAATTAAATCACAATGATTTGCAATCATACGATTGCTCCATCGAGTAAAGCTACGTGCACTTAAATCGCTATCAAAAAAGTGTCCATTCAAAAGATGTATTCCTGATGCGGTCACTGGTGATTGGGCTGAGCACATCATGCTTGGCGAGGAAGAGAACCAATTGAGTAAGAATCCACAGCTTCAACTCAGGACACCTGAACCAGTGGCTCGGCACTGATTGTGTGTCTTAGCACCCTCGGGCACATAACCACTTACCCATTATTTCCAAGTCAATATTTTTCAATCAGAGCAAAAGCAACAATCGTTAGCGGTGTTACAAGTTCCACACAAAAACGGCGCACTCGATCATCGAATCTTAGGCTAGCGGTGGCGACGACAGACCATGTGAAAGATGTCATTCTATCATTGAAATCAAAGATTTTGAGCTGCAACCTTTACTCAATACAAGCGTGAAGGGGTAGCAGCGCCTGGAGCAGTTAGGCTCAGATAAGAGGCTTTAAGGGCGGCCGCCCTGTGCGCTGAAGTGTGGCCCCCGGGGCTGCCGGCCTTCAGCTCCGTGTGAGCACACGGGCGATGGTGAGTGGGCGGCTCGGAGACTCTGAGCGTAGAGACCTTACCTCCTGGCAACGTCACACGGGCTGTCGCAACACACCATTTGCCGCAGCGGCAGCGTCCACAAATACGTGGTTCGTGAGTTGAGGCCAAGGGTCCATAATCCAAGGCGAGCAACTCCACCCCCGTCTTTTTTGTGTTGTGCGCCAAATACAGGAGCGTGCAGAGATATAGTAAACTTAATAATAATATGTTATTATAATAACCTCGACAAAGGTAGAAGTTGCGCAACGTGCATGATCGCTGGTGCGTATACACGGAGGCGTGTACAGATCCAGCCATGCATATTTCGGAAGCGCACTGAAATTTGTGTCTGTAAATGTGTAAAGAAAAAAAGCTACATTTTTTTCACAAATACCCACAGTAGACACTTCTTACCATTAAAAAAGGGCTTCTTAGCCCAACAGGCCTTACATAAACTAATCTGATGGACTGGCTGCTGGATAACAATGTTGGGCCCATCGTAAAAGCGGCGCCTGCATATAATTATTTGGCAAACGTCCGTGGCGATGATGGTCGTTTCACATTTACGTGCGCAATTAAATTTCGCGCACAAACGATGGCAGCACGGTATACGAGTGTGATTTCATCTCTTTTGCCATTTCCCCCCCGGTCTTATTCCAATTGCGCTTTTGGTGTCACGTCATGACGAAAACAGGGCACACGAGATGCGAAGGTCCGTCCACAGTGGGAAATACCACCGTGGCCTTTTTGTGCACACACCAGGCGACAAATTCGCACACGTAGTCAAATGACATTTTTTGTAATTTTCAGATTTTAAATGCGGTTAAATTAAGTAAAATACAATATGAGAGGGGTTTTTTTGCAGCTCGTGGTGACAGGGCTGAGACCATACATCCATACCGCTGGAGAACCCAGTTTATTCATGGACCAGATTTTAAACCCAGATTTTTTACCGGGAATCTTAGCAATGCCAGCCGAGAGCTCTGACCTCTGTGCCACTCAATACCTTAGAATATAAATGTACAAAGGAGCATATATTGATATTGCACTATTCATTTAATTGTTTAATCTTGATTACTGTACACCGATGTAGCAACTAGAAGCACTACTTTAGCTTGCGCGAGAAGTCTTCCTGTTCTTTGGAAACAGTGTGGGATTTTCAGGATTTTGAATGGAACATTTAAAAGTCCAAGCATGCCGGGCAGCAGTCGGGAACGTGGAACATGGAAAAAGTGAGGTGAGCACTTATCGGCAAAGACTGTACACAACTGAACAGGTGGCCAAGCGCTTGCAACAGGAAAGATGGACACACATCGCTGGCCACACTCAAACCAAAGTGCAGCTGACCCCAGGCCGACCTTATTTTCACCATTAGCGCATCCAACACGGAATTGCTCAAAGCTGCACGTTTCACAGAGCACTGCAACATCTGTTTATGTCTTGCTTGATTCGCGATGTCATGCAATTTAAGCGCACACACCTGCGGTGGCTACTTCAAAAGGTCAATCGGCTGCTGGAAGGTTGTCCAAACGCCAGCACAACCAATGCATTGTGTTTTTTTTGTTTTTGCGGCAGTGCTGTGCACAATGGCACGTCGCATTTTAATTAAAGAATACCGCGGGTTGTTGCTGTTTGCGGCTATGTTTAGTAAGCGCCATTTACAGAAAGAGTCTGCAATAGGGGTTAGATCAGGCCATCTGCACGTGTCGCTCTTCACGCTGGCAAGGTCTGCTCACCAGTGCAAAGTATCGCACAAAATACAATCGCAGATCCCAAGTTCTACAAAAATGTGTTTTGTACATGTTCCTTTTTGCATAACAGTATTGAATCGAGCATTAATTAGGCAGTCTACAATATTTTCCTTTATCTCTAAATACGGGCTCTTTACATTTGAAGGCTCTAAGGATTAATACAAAGAACATTGGACACAAAGGCACACATACACATGGCACCAAACTTAGATATTGGTTCAATCATAAAAGAAATGCCTCTTCATTTCCTCTCTCTTTTGCGCATCGCATTCGTTCATTTTTGGGGCACCGAGAGAATTTGGCATCGTTGTGATTTTAATTGTGAATGAAACGTGCGGACGCCACCACACGTGTGGCGACGTCGGGGACGGACATCGAGATCTAATATCGCGCTTGGAAACGGCAATTGATTTAAGTGTACGGGCTTCACGCAATCGGTCGTCACGAGCGTGGACGAGCAAAAGCCCCGGGGCGGCTCGTTACCTGGCCAGCGCGTGCAGCTGCCGAGTGGATGAGCGGGAGGAGACGTCTTTCCCCAACACGGCCAGGGCCCTGGACGGCCCTGAACGCAACCGCCTGGGCTCCCCGTGCTCCCCACGCACAAGACGCCAACGAGGGAAAAAAAAAACAAAGGCAGCAGCAGCAGCAGCGGTTGATATTCGCTGCAGCAGACCTCAATGTCGAAATTTACCGCAAGAAACCTCAGAAACCAAGGCAACGTGTCTTCCTGCTCTAAGAAGGTCGGAGGGGGCAATGCTCCGTACCGTTGGTGACTCTGAGACAGCGACGGTGATTCAAAATAATGGTGAATGACACTTTTTGAATGGAACCATCGAACAGTCAATGGTTACTTCTCATAATGTGCTACATATTTTGGTAACTCAGGAGGAACAATGGGCTGCATTGGCTCCTGTTCAGGGTTTGACCTCGCGGCATTCCGAGTGTGGGTCCAAAGACATGACGCAGCGCCGCTTGGCCAAATTCGAAGAAATATTTTTACAAACCTGTGTGGAATACACCCGTCTCTCTTTCCCCACCAACTTGCTTTGAAAAAAAGAATATCTACGTTAAAATCAATATGGAAGCAGATGACAGTCGTTGCACTATATTTAAACACACCTTATGCCTTCATGTTAACCCTGCGTAATATTCCCGGAAGTCATTACAGTAATTGCCCTCCTTGAAGGCACTGTGCCAAGATTAATATCATTGCCTTGTTTCTGCATGGTTGGCCTTCACGTCATCAGCTATTCCTTTTACTGTAAGTGATGGGCTTGCAGTGTGTTGCCGTCTGTCCTTATGCACATCTTGGAAACGTGTGTTCCAGCCCATACGGATAGGACACACGAAAATAAACCCATTAAAAACTATTTTTTTTATTATGTAGTTCGGTATTTATAACATCTACAAAATTTTATTAAAAGTAAACTGTTTCCACTGGAAACAATTAAAAGCAAATTAACGTGCAGAGAAAACCAAACAGATGATCGCAGCAATTGCTTGATTTCGGGAGTCCAAAGAAAGCTTTCAGTAATATTACGATGTCCTGTGTAACATCACCAGCAGCATTTGAGAAAGTGACATCATCGTGTATGAGCGGTACCATCTGCCTAGATAGCACTGCCTTTTTAAAACGTTATTTAACGCTTTATGGCTAACTCTTATCAGGGTTGCAGGGACTGTTGTTGAAAACTAACATATGTAATGAGAGAGCGCCATCCAGGGGGTGCCAGAGGGTAACGGGTACAGCCACCATTACGTCATCAGCATCCAATCCTGAGGGGGGATATGATCTGGGCCGGAGAGGACGGGCGGGGTTGCTGAGAGAGGTTCGGGAACTATCGAGAAGGTTCCCCAAGGGGGCGTGGTGAGAGGCGGGGCTTAGCTCCGCCAAGTAGGATATAAGGGACATCGGGGGAGGACTCATGGTCGGTGTGGGAAGCCTGGGTTCCGGATCGCGTCGCTGCTCATCTTCTCGCCACGGGCCACGTGGCGGATCCTCCCCCGGAGTTCACCTCTCCGCTTCCAGCGCGCCGTCAGCCAGCGACGAGGCCGGGAGAGCGGAGTGAGCCTCGTGGGAGCTCGGAGAGGGACGCCTCGTCCACGGGGTTGGAAAGAGTTGAACACCGAAGGGGGAAGGCGCGAAGCCGTGCTGTACTACCGTTAATTAAAGAAGCACTCGAACAAGCATCGTCTTGGAAGTACTTTATTGCAGTGGTGTCAGGAGTGGCCTTTCAAGACAAGACAATCACTGAGGGTGAAGTATGTCGAAAAACCTCAGGAAAAAGAACCCACCTGTGGAATCTTCCGACAACGATGAGACGGAGACTCAGGACCAGCCGACCCCCCGGGATCCGTGGTCCCGGTCACAAGCGCCACGGCCGAGGAAGTTGCCGCTCCGGAGGTGGGCGGAACGGTCGCGGCACCTCCGTCCTTACGGGCGGACGACGGATGGAAAAGGGTGGAGGAGCAGCTTGAGTCGCTGTGAGGCGTACTTCTGCAACTCGCCTCGCTCGTCGCGACGTCCACGGTGGCGGGGCGTCCACTTGCATTGCCTCCAGAAAGCGGTGATCGGGGAGTCGAGGCGGCGGCTCCGACGGGTTCCCCGGCTCTGGTGACGCCCGCCATCGCGCACGCAGAGGCGGCGTCCGCCATTGCGCGCGTGGAGGAGTCGTCCGCCATTGTTTGCGCGGCAGGGACGTCTGCCATTACGCGAGCGGAGTCGCCCACGCGGCAGGACGCCGCCATTTTGGACGTTGCGGTGAAGGCGGGTGGGGAGCCCGCCATTTCCAACGAGCCACGTGCTGGGAAGGGTGCGGCAGCCGCTGCTGTCACACGGAGCAGTGTCGATCGCGGGCGTCGACTTCCCCACATTAAATAATTAATCGCAGCGGGCGGCGACTGGAACGCCTTCACCTGGAGGTTTGAGGCGGCGTTCCGGTCGGTCCATTGGACAGAGGAAGAGGAACTGGTTGCTCTACCGACCGTGCTGGATGACGACGCTCTGGCGGTCTTCAGGTCCATTCCTCCGGAAAAGAGATCAATGGTACAGGGCGCGTATGCCGAGATGAACCACCTTTATACAGCGTAAGCAGTGCGAGTTTTTCCCTATTCGGCAAAACTCGCACCGGTTGAGCCCGGTGGAGAAGGAAAGCGTGCAACGGGCGGTCAACGACATGCTGGCCGCCGATATTACCTCCCCTTCTAATAGCCCTTAGGACGCGTATCCACTTCCGCGGATGGATGACTCTCTAGACGCCTTGTCCGGCGCAAAATATTTTTCCACCCTTGATCTGTCTTCGGGGTTTTGGCAGCTACCCCTGGACGAGTCGTCGAAGCCGAAAACTGCGTTTCGCATGCCTCAAGGTCTCTTTCAGTTCAATTGCCTTTCGATGGGCTTGAATTCGACTCCGGCCAACTTTCAGTGGTTGATGGAGCTCGTTTTGGCCGGCTTACAGTGGGAAACTTGTCTCATTTACTTAGACGACGTTATTGTTTTTAGTCGCACTTTTGACCAACATCTGCAGTGACAGCGCTCCGCTTTCGATAGAATGCAATCCGCTAACTTGCAATTTAAGCCGGCCAAGTGTCACTTGCTGCAGAACTCGGTGCGTTACTTGGGTCACATTGTTAGTTCCGAAGGCATTGCCACGGACCCTGAAAAGACTGCCTGTGTCTGCGATTGGCTGACCCCTGTAAGTTTGGGGGCGGTCCGCAGCTTCATAGGATTTGCGTCATACTACCGTAGATTCGTGCCGCATTTCGCTACAGTCGCTGGACCATTGCACGCGTTGCTTGCTAAAAATCAGAGGTTTAAATGGGGTCCGGAGGAAGAGGCTGCGTTTGTTGCCCTCAGTGAACGGCTGTCTAACGCACCCATGCTAGAATATCCCGATTTTTCGCTGCCATTTATCCTTGACACTGATGCTAGCAATACGGGCATCGGCGCTGTGCTGTCTCACATTAAGAACGGCATGGAAAAGGTGGTTGCGTACGGCAGCCGTGTCCTTTCACCTGCGGAATGCCACTAATGTGTTACCCGGAGGGAACTTTTGGCTATTGTTTATTTCATCCGCAAATACAGGCCTTACCTCTATGGCAGGGAATTTGTTGTCCGCACCGATCATGCGGCTCTTCAATACTCCTTGAAAATTGAGCAGCCAGCTGGCCAGCTTTCTCATTGGCTCGAAATTTTGCAGGAATTATCTTTCAGCATCGTTTACCGTAAAGGTTCTCGCCACTGCAACGCGGATGCTTTATCACCTCATTGCCCGTATCTATCTAGTACGAGTCGTTGTGGACCCATTGCCTCACGGACAAGTACGGCTATGTCTGCAGTTGCTGTTTCTGAGCCTTTAGACGCGGGTGCGCCAGTTGACAGTGTTTTGTGACTCCCCCGCTTCACATGGATGCGCAAGCAGCTGCTTGATGTCTCCTTAAGGGATCTGTGGCGTCGGGCTGAGTATAGGCAGGTGACTTCTGTTTCTGCTGAGGATGGCCGGTTGACTCATCATGATGGTCTTTTGATGTGGAGGGAGGAAACGTTGGATCGTTGGCGAATTGTCATTCCTCTTGCCCTTCGGTGTGGCTTGGTTCGCGCTCTGTACGGGAGAAGTTGTTACACCTTTGGGTGCAAAAGTCGCTGTTGACATTGCAACGGGATTATTATTGGCCGGGAATGACGGCCGATGTCTCCAAATGGATTAGAGCTTGCACAAAATGTGCTCAGAGGAAACCGTTGCAGCAGAAATGACACCCGCCGCTGCAGTCTATTTCGGTCTCGCCTATCAACAAGCTGGTGTCGCTCGATGTTTTGGGGCCCTTTCTGGTCACGTCTAGAGGGAACAAGCTCCTTTTAGAAGGTGTTGAATATTTTACCCACTGGCCGGTGGCTTGGCCGCTACCGGACCAGTCGGCGGCCTGCATTGCCAACGCGTTTTTGAACGGGTATGTTATGGATAAAGGTGCTCCCGAACAACTGCTTATAGACCAAGGCCGGAATTTCTCCTCTAAGTTGTTGCGCAAGGTTTGCGATGCGTTGGGCACTAAGAAAATCAGGATGTCACCGTACCATCCTCAGACGGATGGTATGGTCGAATACCTGAACAGGACCCTGTCCGCCATGCTCTGTCAGACGGTGGATGCCAAGCAGGCGGATTGGGATCTGCATGTGCCTAGGGTGCTCGCTGCATATACGATGGACCCTCACGCTTCCACGGGATTTTCACCGTTCTTCCTTATGTATGGGCAGGAGAACGTACCACCTATCGATACCCAATTGGGTGCGCCGATTGCTAATGCTAAGTATACGCTGCCGGAACACGTCCGCGATTCCTTGCGATGTTTTTCTGACACACGGGAGGCAGATAAAATTAACACCGCCAAGACACAAGCGCGCAATGAACGTCTTGCGCGCAGATCTGGCCGTGACGTGCCGTGATCTGTTGGTGACAGGGCTTGGTTGCATTGCCCTCAAGTACCCGTTGGCACATCCCCTAAGCTGCATAAGCACTGGCGCGGACCGGTGGAGGTGATCCGAATGCACGCACGTACACTTGAATGCATGCACGTGCACCTGAATGCATGCACG